CTAGGTACAAGTCTGATATCCAACATATAAATTAAACTGATATTACTGCTAGAAAATCATATTTTGGAGAAAGGAGTCTTGAGTAGAAGGCAAATAATGTTAACTCACTGCAGCAGATACAAGAACTTAGTTATCTAAATGAAATTTCATATTGAAAGTATAGCTAAACTACACAAACTTATTTTTTATACTTTATAATTCATTACACTCACTGAATTATGATTTAACGCGTGTGAACTTGGGCGTGTCACTTAATTAAGCTGGGTTTCAATCTTCTCATAGATAAAATGAAAGGGTTGAACTAGATGAGGTATTAAAGACCCTTCCAGCTATCAATCTAGGATTCTCCAATCTTGGTCCAGTCACTGAACTTACCTGGGACCCTATTCTGTCACACAGAAAATGAGGGGACTGAACTCAGTAATGTTCAAGGTTTCCTTAAAGTCTTCAAAACAGATAAGATCTCCTGTAAGCTAAAAATAAATACTTATGAGGCAGCTAAGTGGTGCAGTGAATAGAACACCAGCCCTGGAGTCAGGAGGACCTGAGCTCAACTCCAGCCTCAGACATATAATGCTCGCTAGCTGTGTGACTCTGAGCAAGTCACTTAACCCCAACTGCCTCACCAAAAAACAAAAAAAAAAAAAGAATAAATACCTATCATACTTTTTATAGTTACTGAATTATCACATATCAGTTCAATGTTGTTTAAAAAAAAAATTGATATATATCAACTTTAAATTGACTAGTGCCATCTTGTGGTCAGAAATGTGGAAAAAAGAAAGTATTTCAAATTCCTAAAGAGCTTTAGTTGAAAAAAGGTATTTTGTGGTACAAAAATACTTTAACTAGGTATAACATTCAAAGTATTTAAGTGAATTAACAATTTTAAGAAGAAAATATTTTTTAAAAATTGATTAAATGAATACTGTCGTATATACACACACATTGTAAAAATCTTTCATCATAAGTAAAGGCAGAGTTGATGCTCATTGTTGCAGTTCTCTATATTAATCTGATTGCCAATTAAGCTTTTTCATGTGTTACTTCTGTAATTCCTTTTCCACAGTTCTAAAACCCAAGGTTCTGTTAGAGTTTAATAAAAAGCTGAAGTACAAGTACTGAATGTTTTCCCACAGGTTCTCTGAAACAGTGAAAAGTGCTGGACCTGAAATCAGACAAAACCTGGATTTGAATTCCAACTCCAATGCTCAGGGCTGGTTATCTGTGTGACCCTGGACAGTCACTTATGATCCTTGAGTCTTTCTTCTGCTATAAACTGGAAAGATAATAATACCTGTAGAACTTATCTCTCAGTGTCAGGATGCGACTCAAATGAGAATGTATGTAAAATGTTTATAAACCTTAACATATTATATAAATGATAGCTATTATTACCAGTTGTATGACCTAAGACAAGTCATTGAATCTCTTTGCACTTACATACCAAAAGAATGTCAGGAGATTGAAGTGCTAAATGAAGCAAATGACAATTTCGTATACTCTTTATTCTACCCAAACTCACCTACTTGCTGTACCCTGTATATGGCATTCCACGTATCATATAGGTGGACCTGCATGCTTGGAATGCACTTCCTCCTCAAGGGAGGTTCAAGACCCTGAAGGAGGGGAGGAAGAGTGGAGATGCAAAGCAGTGGCCAAACTTATTGGCATTTTAGCAGACCTTCTATATAAATACATCCAATTTTCAGTGAAACTAAATTTCAAATAAAAGTTAACAAAGTCTAACAATGATTTTATTACAAATGACAGTAAATGTAGTCGAATGGATGTATAATATGGTATGAGGCCAAATTTGAGTCCAACACATGACGAATTTCAACACAGGTATCATTTGCAACCATGACTTTCATTTGATGTAACCTGCTTGCTACATTTTTGAGTGTGAAATGTATAGATTCCAACAATTTTTGCATAAAACTTAAAAATGTAATAATATCTGTTTTAGTTCTTAACATCATTCACTTTGGTAAACTAGTTCTCTGGCCTCCCAAACTTCAACTTTTAAAAAACTGTAAACTTGAACAGCTACAATACATAATCAATTGAAATGTTCAATAATTAAATTTAAATCCAGGGTTTTTTAAAGTGAAATAAAAGCTTTTTGTGATCAGTAAATATATAACCAATGTGAGGAAAATGTCCATAGGAATAGCTGTAACTAGCAAGACAAGTGACCCATTTTGAGACAGGGTTAGGAAAGGGCCTCTGACTTCACTGGTATTAGGGAGCTCCCAGGGAGGAATTTCTTCTGCTAAGGCACCTTCTCTGCAGTTCACCTTAAGAGTCTTAGGTTACCTAATGACTTGCTCAGAGTCACACTTCCTGACAGTGTGTGTCACAAGTCTTCTTGGGTCCAATGCCACTTCTCCACCCACTAGGTAAGCATGGCTCACTAGAGCCAGCTTAAGTAGTGGAAATAAAGAAATACAAAATAAAAACTCCAGACCCAGAAAATAAGAGCCACAAGCACCGTTACTGATAAAATTCTTCTGCTTGCTTTCTATGACTGCATTAGCTGCCAATAGGGTCCAACCTATTAAAGTGTATATGTGAAGTATGTGGATAGGGCAAGAGTTTTTCCAAAGAAAGTTACAATCAAAAGTAAACTTAAAGCCTCATCTGATAGAACTGTCTTGCATTTTGACCATGAGTAAACAAAGAATTCTCATTTATCAAACAAATTTTTACTGCCATTTACAACATCTTATTTGTGTGAAATAGGGTTTTCCATTGATCTTGAACAGTAGTTGAAAAAAAAGAAAATAAATACTAGTATCACCACTGACATTATGCTTTTAGAAACTTCATGTTAAAAAAGTTCACCTGTAATATTAGTAATAATGCAATTATTATTTTACAAATGTCTGTGTTACATTATCTTTATTGTATATTTGTGATTTGTTTGTGTATCATTCCAAAAGATATACTAAATTCTTCATTTTATTTGAATAAAACACGAGCTAAAAAGAATTATTTCCATAGATTGTTTTGTGAAAAAGGGAGGAGGATGCACAATAATGTTTTTATATAAAGAGTTGTGCTGCTACATAAAAGTTTGGAAACCACTGTCTTAAAGTAAATTTATATTTCTCTCCCTAGCTCAGGATTTCTTAACCTAGGATCTGTAAACTTTTAAAAAAAATTAAATTTGATAAATGAATTTCAATATAATTGGTTTCCTTTGTAATTGTATACATTTAACTTTATGCATGGGGGAGGGCGGAGAAGGCAGTTGGGGTTAAGTGACTTGGCCCAGGGTAACACAGCTAGTAAGTGTCAAGTGTCTGGTCTGAGACCAGTTTTGAATTCAGGTCCTGCTGAATCCAGGGCCAGTGCTCTATCTACTGTGCCACCTAGCTGCCTCAACTTTATGCATTTTAAAATATTATTCTGACAAGAGGCCCGCAGACTTTACCATATTGTTAAAGAAAGTGTCATGACATCAAAAAAGGTTAAGAATCCCTTTTTCTAGTTACAATACACTGCCACCCAGAAATTACTAGATAGCTTCCTTAAATACATATTTTTGTAATTAATTTTCTGTATTTGAATGTGCCTATATGTTTCACCCAATAAAATATAATCTCCTTGAGCGAAGAGCCTTTCACTTTTGTCTTTGTATAGGCACAGTCTAGTTAACAATGCTTGAAACATAGTAGGCCTTTAATTGCTTATGAATGAAGGAATATGATTCACTGATAGTACTAATAGCAAGTGTAAACAGAAAAAATATAAGCATAAAGGTGATATAAACACAATAATGGCTTTACACTGTGAAATAATAGTCACAGTCACAAATTTTAAAGTAGCTAGAATACTACAAAATGAACCCTGTGTACACTTGAAACTCAATAAACACTTAACTGATTCAAGGATTAGAGGAATTTTAATTGTAGAAAAATTAATGGTGAAGCTTAAATAGCCTCCAGAAAATTTCTATAATGAAAGGGTATTCACACTTCCAAAAGATTACATATCTTTTCACCTTCAGCTTGTCCCTGGTTACTAACACTTAGGAATGTTACTATAATGAAACAACAAAAATCACTCATCTACACAGGGCATTTTATGTTTTGGGAAATGTTTTCACGTCTTTTAATTATCTGTTTCTAACAACAACACTATCAGATAGATAGAATAAATATTAATAGCCTCATTTTACAGATAAGAAAACTGAAACACAGATGTTAAGTAATTTGCTCACAGTCAAACTACTAATTAATGGCAGAGAAGTGACCTAAGACCTACAATTCCTGACTCTTGACACAGTTATACTATACTATGCTATCCTTCCTTTTCCTCTTCTCCAATGGAATTAATACTGATTAAAGAGAATGTAAACAAAGGCACAAGAGGAAAAAGCTATTTACACACACACACACACACACACACACACACACACGAATACATGTTACATATATTGTATGATACACATGCACATATACATACAAATACATATGTGTGCGCACACATATATGGAGAAAAATAGATTCCTAAATTCTATATTGCTAACTTTTACTGAGCTTGCCATCCACTAAAATCACAATATTCTTTTCATAGGAAATGTCCTTCCACATTGCATTCATTCTGTACCTGTACCACTGAATACTTGAACTCAAATATAAAACCTTACTTTTATCTTCATTAAATTTCATCTTATTAGGTATGACTACCATGATCTAGTCAAACTGATAAAAAGGATATATCCTATATGCTCAGTTGCACAATTAAGACAAAAACTCCACAGTTATAATGTGCACTGGTAATTTAATTTTATAAGTACACAACCAACCACATTATAGTCTTTATTTAAGCTACTTCCAAGAATGAAGAAATAATTTACTGACCAAGATTGAGACGCTGTAAAATCTAAATCTAAAATGGCAAAGCGCGCTCACATAAAATTAATTGCATATTTGTTCTGTACCCAAATTGGTAATGGACTATCACAGAGACGAATGAAACATGTGACTTGCCTCGGAGGTGTGCAAAGGAAGTTTCTGACTTATTCTTTACGCGTATTACACGGGCTCGTACCGGCTTCTGCTCAGCTGGTTGAACTTCCTGATGTTGTTTCTGCTCGCCCTAAATATTTAAGAAATTCACAATATTGCTGTTTCACACTGGTTTCTAGAAATGCTACATCGACTAAAGTTATGCAGCTTTTTAGCCATTTATTTATTAGCACTTTCACCGGATAATGAGCAAGTAAAAATAAGTAACTGAATTCTATCCATTAGATATGATATATATATAATATAGGGGAAAAGTAGTAAATGACTAGAATGACAGCTTGAGGATTATTGAAAGATTTCACCAGGTATACTGAATACACCTTTCTCATGCTAACATGAAAAGTTAAATTGCATTGTATGGTATCATATAACAAAAACCATCATTTACATACAATGAGTACCTAATCACTTATTAATATACATAGGTACCTCTACATTTTCATTTCCTGCAAAATGTTTCCCCTACATACTATCTTCTAAACCTAAGCCCACCTAGATTCACCTTCACAATCCATACCTATTTTCCAGCACAACCCCTCTTATCAACTACCTCTGTTTATGAATCTCCCTACCCAGCACCTGAAATTGACAGCAGCCATAATTCCTTAACAGAAATCATGTAGGGTCAAAGAGAATTTAAGACACATCCTCAGGAGTGCTAATTCTAGCAGTGGCATGTACCCCCCCCTCTGTTGAACAGCTAATACACAGAATGCTAAGACCAACTTTAGGGTAAAATTCCTCTTACCCATACCAAGATCTGATTCTCCAAGAAAACTACCATATGGCAGGTTTGTGCCATGACTGAAGCACTCTGAGGTTCATTTTAGATGATGCTTTTTAATTATGAGAGTTTTATGTGAGTCAAACATCAAAACATTATGTCATGCTCTGGCTTCAGAAAGTGAGTCAAATACGCTCTCACTTCAGAGTGGAGATGGATGCTCCTAAGGAAGATGTGCCCTTCGTCAGCCCCTATTTAAATAACCCGACATCTAGTCATAAGGAATCTGTTAGCACCCTTCTCTCTTATATTCTTCCCTCTCCAAGGGAGGATTCACTGCTTTAATTTTAGAACAGATTAGCATGTAAAAGGAAATAACTTCCCTCCAAAAGAAATCTAGCTATAGAAGGATAACAGTTTATTACTGAGCTGCTTTTTCTTCAGCCTTGCCTGACTGTCCTTTGGCAGATTAGACATTGTGGCTGCTACATTTTTGTCACAGTGAGAGTATTCTACAAAGGTGGCAACCGACATAGCACCAAGAGATGCAGCTTTTTCTCTAACCTTCCTTCTGTATGACCTTAAAAAGGCAGTACAACCCTGTGCTCAAAATGGTCATGCAATACTTTTTGAATGAATCCACCAAATAATATCCTACACAGACAAGCATTTTCATAATGCAAAAATAATTAATTTACAATGCTGACATCACCAAAAATAACAACCTAGTTCTTTAAAAAAATCTTCTGCCAGAACAAAATTATCACTGTTATTATTACTATAGATGACCTTTCTTATGATCTAATTCTTAGTTTAAGCTTTTTCAAACAAATTACTTCTAAAGGCTATTTTTCAGGTACCGGAGCAAGATCTTCAGGTGCAACTGCCAACTTAATCGCATTTATCTGTGTTGCCTGAAGAGGGAGGCTTGAAATCTGCTGCAAATCTAGTTCCCCCAAACTCATCGGGCCATGACTGACGCATGAATCTTCATGAACTTCTCCTACAATCGTAAATACATAGACACAAATTTTAAGCAAATTATGAAAAAAAATTACTGCCAAAAAAGAATAATCCACTTGATTATAAAGCTAGTAAACTTAAGATGATGGATAAGAAGAAACAATACATTTAGTCATTCTTATACTAAGGACATTAAATAATAATCATTAATTTATTCATGTAAACTATCTATTATAATACTATTTGGGGAATTAAGTAGCTTTTAACAAATAAATGGTAAATAATAATAATGAGATAATAATCTGGGACTGGACTATCAAATCACAAAAATCATCATTCACTAGATTGGATAAATTAGCATACATAAGCTTTCCCACATTAGATTTAAATACCCACTTTTGAAAACGTATATGAAAAACTAACACACAGAATGTGAATAACATATGGTCAAAGATATGTATGAATTATTTTAGGGGGGATTCTCATGAATTAGTAGATCCACAGAACTCCTCCTAATTCTTGCTCTCCATATTTTAATCACTGCATTAAGGTCAACAGAAAAATTTTCCTTGAGTGTTATCTTCAAAAGCACATGGCAGACAATGTATTAAGTTGGTTTGAAAAAATTATTATTCTTTTGGCCTGTCTTTATACCTTCCCCCAAATCATGGAGAGATTCTTTTTCTTACCCAAAATGAGCCTCATTCAGATTCTAAATACCAATATGTAAAGAGGAATGACAGCAGAAGCAAACCGCATTAAATAATAAAACCTTGTAGTATTTCACAAATTACAAAGCACTTTCAGACACATTAGTTCACTGACATGTGCTTCACAACAACCCAGTGAGGTAAGCAAAGCAGTTATCATTCTCCTTTTTTTCAGATGAGGAAACTGAGCCTGGGTATTAGTGATATCTAATTGGCTCATAATCCAACTCTTAGTACAATGTTCTTCCAGTGTAATATTCTGTCTCTCATGATCTAATACCTCTCACTTAGTATTTTAAGGGCTATGACTATTTAGTTTGCCTATTTTCATTTGGCAAATACATGTATAACTTATTTTAATTAACAAATGTGTTCCTGAAAGGTAATAAGTAAATCAAATCAAAATAAAGCAAATCACAAATACTGGACTGGCAAAGATGACAAAAAAAGGAAACCGCAAATGTCGGAAGTGGATGTGGGAAAACCAGCACACTAATGCATTAGTGATTGACCTGTGAACTGGTCTAACCATTCTGCAGAGCAATTTGGAATCCCCGGAATCCCCAGAAGTCACCATACTCTTTGACCCAGAGATACTTTTACTAGGCCTATCCCCTCAAGGAGATCAAAGAAAGAGGGGAAAAAAGAGAGGAAGAGACTCACATACACAAAACATTTATAGCAGTTCTTTTCATAGTGGTAAAGAACAAGAAGTTGAAGGGACCCATCTACTGAAGAATGGCTAAACAAACTGTGGTACATGATACAGTGTAACAGAATATGACTGGATTGAAAGAAATTACAAAAGGAACAACATTTTTAGAGAAGTCTGGGAAAACTAGAACGAGCTGATAGAGAGTGAAGTAAGCAAAATCAGGAGAACTATACACTAATAGCAATAATGTAAAAATAAACAAGTCTGAAACACATAAAAAGTCTGATCACTGCAATAACCAACCACAACGCTGGAGGGCTGATGATGAAATGTGCTACCCACCCCTTGACAAGGAGATGATGGCCTCAAGATGCAGAATGAAATATGCATTTTCAGACATGGCTAATGTGTGAATTTGTTTTGCCTAACTATAAATGTGTTTTTCTTTTTTCTAGTTAGGGAAGGTGAGAGAAAGGCAAAGGGAAAGGGAGATGAAGATAAGGTAGCAAAAATCTTTTTTAAAAATGAGGGTCACTGAGGCATCTTTTCTTAAAAACGCACAGAAAAGAAGGAAGCCCAGAAAAAGACCTATGCAAGTAAGAGTTTTGAAAACTACTGGCTGAATTATAGAAGTAGTGGGGAAAAGCAAGCTGTACATAACAGAACTACAAAACTTCATGTACAATCTTTTTCCATGCTACTATGTAAATGGAAATGTCCATACACTTCATTTAAGTGTTTATTATGTTCAAAATTTTTTTTAAAATTTTGAAAAAATTTTATATTAAAAAACAAAGGATACAAAAAACACATGACTTAAATTACAACATACAACTCAAAAAGTATCCAGTTGACATAGTATATCAAGGAGTCTTGGGCAAGCAGTGAAAATGAGCAGGGTCCAAAATGGAAAGGGGAGCATACTGGCTTGGTACTGGCCCCTTCTGGCCTGAAATAAGGAGTTGCTGTGGCCCTCTTTATACAGCAGGGGACTTGTATTCTCCCTCATCCAGGGCCAATGTGAAACAGAGACCAAATGGCTTTGCTGTTAATTCTGTCTCTGTTAAGTATATTCTTTCCAGCTTTAAAAGGAAGGAAACAGGGCATGGTTATGGCCTTGTAAGTTTTGAAAGATCAAGAAGATGAGCCACCAGGAGGTAGAGCCCAGGCTGAAATTTTCTGAAAGCAAGAGGGTAAGGAGCGATAGCACAAATCACCTAGCCCAGCAGTATAGCACAGACTCGGGCGCATTCATGCACTGGTCACGCCACCTTTGAAAATAAACTTCGTGAAGCAAACACCACATACAAACTTACTTAAGTCTGAGCCCACTCTGCCCAGAGAATGAGCTGATGATGTAAGAGTGTGCCTCTCAGGTATAGAAGAAGAAAGAATGTTGTACTTCTGTTCTTGCTATAGCTTATAATAAATACCCCTTTGTAAAAGCTGCTGTTGTTTCTTTGGTTTTTTTTTTTGAAGAAATACCTTGGTCTGTATTTTATTTGGAGAACTACATAATTCTTTCCAAGAGGTTGAGCTGCACATAGTTCACAACGTCCAGTTCTTTAATACAATATTCCCTCAGTGATGGTATATATTCACTGATTACAAGATACAACCATCTCAGAAGAAATAAAAAGGCAAACAATTCAAAGAAAAATGGAAAGGGAATGGTGAGTATACATGAGTTACACATGCAATAAGTGATTGTATGTGACAAAGAGAAAGGCATCATCAAGGACGTGTGTGGCTAGAGAGATCATGCAATGGGAATGAAAGAACCCAGGTCCCCTGACTCAAAACCCAGGTTTTCTCCATTTTATCTTGCTCCAGTGGGTCCTCCTCCCGTCAGGAATAAACATAAGCCCCTTTGTCCGGCATTTAACATTCTCCACAGTCTGGTCCCATCTACCTTTCCAGTCTTACAACCTATTGCTCCCTTTCCCCAATTCTACAATCCATGCTCTGTTTTGTGATTCCTCCCACATGACACTCCATCTTCCTTATCTGTGTCTCTGCACTATTTGTTCTCCTTACCTCCACCTCTCAGAATCAGTTTTACTTAAAGATAACCAATATGTATGACTTTTTGCATAAGACCTTTCCTGGTCTGTACATAGCTGCTAGTGCCTAACTAAAGGCATTCTGTGTCTATTTTGTGTGTGTTCTGTATATATCTTTCTATAAACATGTTATCTTCAAGGAGCAAGACTATAAGCTCCCCTGAGGGCAAGGATCGCATCATTTTAATTGATATCCTCAGAACATAACATAGCATTTGACACATAGTAGGTACTTGATAAATATTTATGGACTGAATGACCAAGTCATCTTCAGCAGAAAATTATTCTGGTTGGAATTTGAGAATATTTTCCTTTTAAACCTCTTTCGATTGTAATAACATTGTATCTATATAATCTCTAACACTATAGAATTATCCCCAAAATCCCAAATACACAGATGAAAAAAAGCATTTTCTGTCCTGGTTTCGAAGAGACACCTTGAAAAAAAAATAAATATTTTGGTGACTACCTGTGGTTTTGTCAAATTGCTTTGATAATGGCCCATGATAACTCTTTTGCTCTGAACACTCTGTAGAAATGAGTGTAGGCCGATCCCTGTGATGTCCCATGAAGAAACTCTCCTTTGCTGCTGGAAGTCTAGGTCTTTGTCCTTCACTAAGTTCCCCTACACTATTTTCAGATTCCTATTAAGGAAAGAGAAAAAAATATATCAGGCAAACCATCACATCAAAATTAAATAAAAAATACATACCGAGGCACCTAGGCACATTATGATACTCAGAGAGAGTACCATCAATTTTAAATTATACTCTTTGAAATTTCAGTAATTATTAAACCAAGTAGTCATATTTTTTAAAAAAAGACTAATTTAGAAAATGGTCATTTCTGGAATGCATCTACCTAGTAAAAAGTAGACCTTTTGCAAGTAGCTTGTTTTTGTATCTTATTTTTTGCAAGTTAAAAAGCTCCTATGTCTGTCCATCAAATTTTAAAATCAAATACTCAATAAAGAAGAATTTGTTAAGCTCCTACTAACTACCTTGTGCTAAGTGCTGGAGACATCAAGACAAAAATAAAACTAACTGCTCTCAATGAGAACACTAGACTCTGAGAGACATCATGATGCATAAGTATATACAAAATAAATACAAGGTCATTTCAAAGTCAGGAGCTGGCACTAGTCAAATTTTAAAGGAAACTAGGAATTCTAAGATGTGGAGCTGAGGAAGAAGTACATTCCAGGAATAGGGGACAGCCTGTGCAAAGGAACAGACATGAGAAAGAATGCCACATGTTCGAAATAAGAAGAAGAGAGGTTTGGCTGCTCCACAAGGAACTAATGCATAAAGCTGAAAGAGTAGGTTGGAGCTAAGTTGTGAAGAGTTTTAAACGTCAAACAAAGGAGTCTGTATTTGATCACAGAAGTAATAGGGGGCTCCTGAAGTATATTGAGGACAGTGATATGGTCAGACTTCTGCTTTAGGAATATCACTCTGGTAACTGTACAGAAAGTGGATTGAAGAGGGCAGAGATGAGGTAAGGACACCAATTAGAAAGCTACTACAAGAGTCCGGGCCAGAGCTGATAATGGCCTAAACAAGAGGGTGGCTGTGGAAGTAGAATCTGTAAGAGTTTGCAACTGACCTGGTCTGGGGAAGTGAGTAAGGAGGTGAGGAGATAAGCACGACACTAAGGCTGCAAACCTCAGTTACTGGAAGGCTTGTGACGCCTCTGACAGAAGTAACAGAATTAGGAAGATGGGTGGGTTTAGAGTGAAAGATAATAAGTTGTGTTCATAGGCGGACATGCTGAATTTAAACAGGACATCCAGTGCTAAATGTTTAACAAACAGTTGGTGAAGTGAAACTGGAGTAGGAGGGAGACTAAGGCTGTATACAGACCAGGGAATCATCTGCAGAAAGGTCGATCAATAATCATCCAACAAGCATTTACTTAGCACCAAATAAATGCAAGGTATTGGGCAAAGTGCTGAGGTGAGGAGGAAAAAGTGCCTGCCTTCAAGGAGCTTACATTCTAATGGAGGGTACAAGTACCTAAATCGATATATACAAGATACATCCAGGAAAGATGAGAGGTAGACTCAAGAGAGGAAGGCACTAGAATGTACCAAGGACACAGAATGCCTGGAGGGGACTGGGGGAGAGACCTGCTTTAGGATGTGATGCTCACACTTGTGTCTTAAAGGAAGGTAGGGATTCTAAGAGGCAGAGGTGAGAAGGAAAAGCATTCTAAGTAACGGGGCCTGCCACTATAAAGGCAGGAGATGTGTGAGGAATAGAAAGTAGGCCAGTATGATTCGAGTATAGTATGTACAGAGGATTAATGTGTTAAAAGAATGTCTTGAAGACCTTTAAATTCCAAACAGAGGAATTTGTATTTTATTCTGAGCTAATAAGAAGCCATTGGAACTTACTGAATAGAAGAGTAATATAGGAGTAACAAAGGAAAATCACTTCAGCAGCTATATGAAGGCTGGGAAGAGACAAAGGCAGAAAGTCCAACTATAAGGCTACTACAGCAGTACTAGCAAAAGGTAATACAGCTGTGAATTAGGGAGATGGCTGGGTGAGCAGGAAGGAAGGGTTATACATGAGATATGTTCTAGAGAAAAAAAATTTTAAGATTTGGTAACTGGTTAGATTGGAGTAGATGATCAACCAAGCAAGAATTAGAGAGGAAAAGACCCATGACAGAACCTTGGGATTCAGATAAAATAAAACATGTTACATAGTCCAAAAGTTACACAGTTTTGTCAATTTCCAACATCAAATTTTTGAACATATATTTATACAATCATTTTATTAGCTACTAATATGGTATAGTAAATAGAGGGGAGCTTAGGTCAAGGAGATAGAGATAAAAGGTTTGCATCTCACATATTCTGACTACGTAAGCCTTACAATCAAGGCTCCCAATGGCCCCAAGTAACTATATAAGATTACAAATTGCAAAGAAGGTGACGATCATCATTGGTAAGGAAGCTCTTTTCCAGGACTTGCCTATACCAACAAAATCACAGGTCTAGTAAACAATTATGGCAGAACTAATATCATAAAAATGGTAATACTACCTAAATTAAATTACTTATGCAGTTTCTTACCAGTCAAACTATGAAAGGATTAATTTTTAAAAGCTAGAAAAATGATAAAATTCTTCTGGAGGAGCAAAAGGTCAAGAATATCAAGAGAAGCAATGCAAAAAATGGAAAGGAAGGGGGCCTACTAGTATCAGAACTCAAATTACAAAGCCAAAATCATCAAAACAATTTGGTACTGGGGGCAGCTAGGTGGCGCAGAGGACAGAGCACCGACCCTAAAGTCAGGAGGACCTGAGTTCAAATCCGGCCTCAGACCAAACACTTGACACTAGCTGTGTGACCCTGGGCAAGTCACTTAACCCCAATTGCCTAAAAAACAAACCAAAACAAAACAAAACAATTTGGTAGTGAATAAGAAATGGAGTGGTTGATCAGTGGAACTGATCAGATACGCAATATACAAAGGCAAATAAGCTCAGCAACCCAGCATTTGACAAATCCAAATACCCTAACTATTGGGGCAAGAATTCACTATTTCACAAAAACTATTGGGAAAATTGGAAAACAATATGGCAGAAACTAGATACAGACCATCCTCACTTCCAGGGAATTCTTCAGTTGTCCTACCTGGAACTGCAACCTCTTTTTTCCTACTGGACTCCCAGGTGTCATTGTACATCCACCTGCTCCTGCTTACTGACTGTGAGGTAAGCCTCCCCTGGCCTCAAAGGACACATCATTTCCACCTGCCACATTTCCATCCAGACCTTTCTCCTTTCTTATACCTTTTGGCATTTACTGAGACCTGGGCCCTTTCTGATGACAGTGTAGCCTTGGCTACTCTTTCTAGTACTGGTTGCACTGTCACTCATACAGTTCTTTTCCCCTCTTCTCACTGGTCACAGTGGGGAAGCTGAAATACTCCTTGCTCTCTCCACTGTCTCTTAAAAATTCTCTAATACCATCACTCAAATAAGTTCTACTCTTTTTGAGGTTATACAATACAGGTATTAATTGTCTATTAAAAGGTTTAGCGGAATTCTGCTATACATACAAACGAACCAAGAAATTTCACTCTCAAAGCCCCCTCCACCTTTGGTAGTTGTTTTACAACTAGATCAGTTTCCTTTCTGAGATTGGATTATTTAAGATCTCAATGTGATATCCTATTAATTGGATATTTCATATTTTTGTAAATAATCTACTTGAGTTCTCAGTTTTGTTAGCATATAACTCTATATAACAGATTCTGATAACTTTTAATTTCTTCTGGGTTTGTTATAATTACAATTTTTTTCTTTGTTAATTTGATTTTCCACTCTCTTCTTTTTAAGCAGGTTGTTTAAAGGTTTACCAGATTTATTAGTATTCTCAAAGAACCAGTTTTTTAGTTTCATCAGTTCTATAGTCTTTTGGGTTGCTAATTTACCGATTTTTCCTCATTTTCAAGATTTCCTCTTTTTTGCTTATTTTGGACTTTATATATTGGATAATTTTTAAAAACACATTCAGCTAACATCCTCTTTTTCCATTTTATTAAAGTAAGTTTTTAGGTACATAATTTTTCCTCTGAAAATTACTTTAGCTGCATCCCAAATATTTTAGTATGTTAACTCACCATTATTGCCTTTCACATACTTACTTGTTCTTTAATCTACTTGTTATATAGGGTTTCATTAATAAGTCTTCATTTTCCATTTAGGTACCTGTGTCTTTTGCTTATGTTCCCAAAACTGAACACTGTTTTAAAATGTGTTGTAGTCTGTAAATGATATGCTACTTTAGTATTATTTCTGCTTTTTTACATTTATTTGCAATTTCTCTGTTTCCTGATATGGTCTATTTTTGTAAAAGTGCCATGCCATACATTAGAAATATGTATATTGTTTAAGTAAGTCAAGTGGAGACAGAATTATCCATATTTGCTGATCATATTATGGTTTAGTTACAAAATCCTAGGGAATCAGCAAAGAAATTGAGACAACTCAAAGAAACTGAGTTACTTTCAAGTAACTGTAGGATGCAAAATTTACCAACTAAAAATATCACAAAAGCCAGAAGGCAATAATAAAATGGGAAATACCATTCTAAACAGCTATAAAATACCTGAGCCAAACTACCACCTGATACCTATATAGATAAAATTACAAAATGACCCTTTAAAGAAAAGAAAAAAGAACAATTTAAATAGCTGGAGGAATATTTAGTTTAAATTAATAGTCAGACCATGCCAACATAATAAAAATGTTATTATCTAATGTTATTTCAGTCAAACACCCAAAGGGATACTTTATAGCACTAGACAAATAATAACAAAATTCACTAGGAGAAACAAAAGATCTAGCATGCCAAGAGAAATAATGAAAAAAAAGGCAGGAAATAAAAGAGAAGCACTGGTTAAAAAAATAAAAATGACCATTAATGGAATAGACTAACCAAGAAGTCAACAAAAATACTTTAACTCAATAACCTATTAGACAATAATAATATAATAACATTACAATAATAACATAATATTATAATATAATAAGTCAGAAAACAAATTATTTAGAAAAGAACTCCCTATTTGATAAAAGCTGCTGGGAAAACTGAAAAGCAGTCTAGCAGAAATTAGGTTTAGGACAACATGCGGAATTGGAATCAAGATCTAGGCTTGAATCCTGCCCCAGATACTTACTAACTGTGTGACCCTAGACAAGTCACTTAACCTCTTTGTAAATGAAGAAACAGACTGATCTATAAGGATCCTTCTAGCTCTGAATCTAAGACCTTATAATATTACATAAGATTCTACAATAAATTCAAAATGGAAACTTAAACTTAATATTAAAGATCATACATAAAATAACAGGAAGAGAACCAGATCATAGTCCTTTTACAACTACAACTAAAGAATGAGTTCTTAAACAAGTAAGGAATTGAGGCAATTGTCGTTACTGTTTGGTCTTTCAGTCATGTCCAACTCTGTGACCCCATGTGGCTGAAGTTTTCTTGGCAAAGACAATGGGGCGGTTTGCCATTTTCTTCTCTAGTTCATTTTAAAAAAGATTTAAACAGACAATTTTGATTTGAAATTTTAAAACATGAACAAAATTAATACAACTAGGAAAGAAGAGAAGCAGATATTTGTATCAAACATCTCTGATATAGGTCACATACCAAGATGTATAAACAACTAACATTAATATATAAGACAGGCATTCTCCAACAGGTAAGTCCTCAAAGGATATAATCAAACACAATTTCCAATTAGCAAAAGAATTTCCAACTGTGTGGGACAACTGAAAGTTTCTCATGTGAAATGGAAGCTATGCCTCAAAATTTAGTTAAGGCTTTAGCATTAGCCAGGCCTAAGTTTCGTTTTCCTGTAAATCATGTGATTGGGTCATACATCTGTTGCCCACCCCCTCCCTTGTTTTGTAACCACCACCCCAGCCTTATCTTTGCCAAATAAGGCAATCTTCTAGCTCCCAAGCTTGTTTTGGGTAAAATGCATATTCGTTTCTAGGTAGAATTTAAGGTCTCTTACCTCAACCAATGGAGATAAAGAGGTTCACGTTAAAAGGTGGGAAGGTGGGGTTTTCTTAGAATTTGTTTGTCTAGGGGTATATAACTGCTTGCTTGCTGCTTGTATCCTGCCTCCCTACTCCAGTTCACCCTGGATAGGTGATGCCCAATTCTCATGAGAGACTTGCTAGAATAAAACTTCTGTTTCTACTGAGAGAAACTTCTGAATTTTTATTTGGGTAAGTGGTCTTAATCCCACTCACAACTATTAAAAAACATTCAAAAGAATTCTCCGTCTAATAATAAAAGAAATGCAAATCCAAACACCTTGGCAATTTTATCTCATACCTACCAAACTGTCAAAAAAAAAAAAGATAAAAGATAGGAATAAGTCAATATTGGAGGGGTTCTGCAAAAAGGCAGTCATAGTAAAACACTGTTAATGGAGTTGTTTTAGTTTTCTTCTGTCTCCTCCTAACAAGAGCTCTACAATCTCCTCTACTTCTCAACTTTTAAAATGATCAATTTAGCTTTTGTACCCACACCAACAATTAACAACATTCCTTTACTTTTTGTTTGGCAAACCAATCAATTACATTGTGTTTGATATGTAGAGAGGGAATTCATCTTTTTCTCCACTATTTTTATCCTCCCTCAGTGTTCAATGTTCTGATATAAATTAAAAGGTGCAGCTATCTAAAAGAGATCGATGTGAGTGCACAGGAAGAGAAGGTTTCAGTAACTATAACCGTTTATTTTAGCTTAAATGTTTTAGATTATTTTTTCAAATACAATTAGGTAGCCTAGTATCTTTTTCTATGATTTAAAATAATCTACATGGTACAGGCACTGTGATAAGAGTGGATAAAGAGCTAAATTCAAAGTCAAGAAGACCCACTTCTGACACATTCTGGTTGTGTGATTCCAGGCAAGTCACAATCTCTTGGTGCACTAGGCAATTCTCTAAGACTACAATTTGCAGTTGCTGGTTTGCATTGAAAAAGGAGTCGTTCTCATTGGAAGCTACCTACACTAATAAATTACAGAAAAGTACACACACACACACACACACACACGTATGTATAGTTATATATATGCATCTAATTATTTTATTTTTTAATATGTACATACACATAAACATATATTAAAGAGAGAGAGAAAATATGAATGAGAATATAGGAGTTACTTTAAGAGTCTAAGGTAGAATTCATCTGTGAAACTGCCTGGACTTAGAGCCATTGTGAAGTGCAACCCATCTACTTCTCCTTGACATTGTTCCATTTAAAGTTATCCTGGTATTTCATATTTTAATACTTCTATAAGCATATAAATCACTGATAATTTTCATGTTGTTTTTTGCTATTCTGCTATCATTTCCAACTTTGGCAATTTGGGACTGTTCTATTATTATGATTAGATTTGATAAATGTTTATCAATTTTGTGGCTTTTTCTTGAAAACAATTTCTTAGAGTTTATTATTCTTTTTTTTATTTTAAAGAAAACAACAATCTTGACTATTAGTTATTTTCCTGTTAACTTCCTGCTTTGTTCTGCTTGTAAGTTTTTAAAAAGCAAACTTGACTCCTTAAGTTTTTCTCTTCTGCTTACTGATGCAGACACTTAGCACTCTACATTTACCTCTGAGTATTGCATTAGTCTGATACCATAGATTTTCATGTACAGGGTCTGTATGGTTGTCATTTTTGCTATAATCTATCATTTTTATAATGTCCTCTCTCAACCAGGTATTTAATTAAGCCTTTTTTTTTTTGCTGCCACATGTACCTACACCTTCTGTTCATGTACATGCAGAAATCACTAAAGTTTTTAACAAATGCAACTACAGAAATAACTATTCAACAATGTTCTGATTATTAATAAAGGCACAAAACAGGGAAATGTATACTCCTTCCAGGTGTCCATCACTGTTACGGAGCAAAGTCTTGTGAAAGATGGTGAGGTGACAGGATCATGGATCTAATTTGGTGCTAGAAGGAGCCTCCTGTTGGCTCAGAGGCCCCTGGTAGTCCATCACTGCAGGACTCCAAGGCAATACTGGACAACCATCTGTCAAGGATGTTGTAGAGAGAACTCTTCCTCAGTTATGGAATAAGCTGCATGGCCCCTGAGGCTTCTTATAGCTCCCGAAATCCTAGAATGTTAGGTAAGGTTTTTTGTGGCCAAAGAAGCCAAAGTAAATGAGAAGCACTCTGGATCAAAAGATTCTAATCCTAACCTAGCCACTAACTAAGCTTGAATAAGTCACTTCATTTCTATGTGCCTCAATTTCCTCATCCCTAAAATGTGGGTATTAGAGTAAGTCTCTTTCCATTCTTAGGATTCTGATTCGAAGTTTAGTTAAAAGTTTGAGGTTATTACAAGACTAATTTCAGGATAAATTGAGATGTTATTTTATTTCAGAATTAAAAACTGGACCTCTGCTAGTTTTACTTCTAAGAATGAAATGAATGCTAAAAATTACCTCGGAATGGTAGACCACTTGCTGTGAATCTAATGGTTCTTGGTTTAATTTAGCAAGAAGTGAGAAAAGTTTATCTTCTTGATATCCTTTATGGGGTCTCTTCATCATCACCTGTCCTTCACTGGGAGAATCATCTTCCTAAGAGAAGAGAAACATTAAGAAAGGGGATTATCAAAACCTAAAGACATTTATATTTATTTTGACTTATCTTCACTTATAAAATAATTTTCACATTATACATTAAACTAAAAAGTTCTAGTTGAACTTTAGTTTTGATTTAATTAACTAAAAACATTTATTAAGCATTTACTATGTTCCAAGCACTGTGCATAATTTCTATTCACAAGGAGCTTACATTCCAAAGGAGAAGACAACAACGACATATGTAAATATATACACAAATATAAAGAGAATAAATGCAAGTAAATATAAAGCAGTTAAATTCAAGGTATTTTGGGAGGGAGGGCACTAGTAATTCAAAAACAAATCCATCTGGTTTCAAATCAAATTAATAACATCATAAATTGACCGGATTTTATTCACACTGGAGACAATAACAAAATTACAGTCATATCCCGAGTTACAAGGGTTGAATGAAATATACACACTTTACAAATTATGTTCAATGTGGTGATCCTCACCACATATATGATAAAGGGACACAACAAAATTAAATGTAACAATCCAATTGTAATGCAAATGCAATAATCCAATCATTTAAAAAGCATAAAACCATACTAAGACTTAGGGGACACCCAATATATCTCATATGCAAATAAAGATATGATTTTTGCTTGACAGATATATTTAGTGAAAGTGGTCTACAATTCTCTTTACATCAGAAAAATGAAAATTAATATTACCGTGCAATAAAATTCATAGGTAAAAATTGTAAAAGCTAAGTATTTGATATTAATGCATGTGGAAAAGAAAACTATTTTAACAGTATTTATTTCAGTAATTCACAATTTCAAATATTTCTTACTGATGGTTATAATAAAAGATGTTACACAATTTTAAAAACTACTAATAAGCTCTCCTGCCTTGCCATTTGCTTCTTATATATATTTCTTCCTTCATGCTCCAGAATATTCATCATGTAATGTTTCTAACTATAGCTACAGCTATCAAAAAACAGTTAATCAACTATATCTTGAGGGAACGTTATCTTGGTTAAACCAAATGAGAGATATTAAATACTTATTTTTATTCATTATAGTTATCATGTTTTAACACACGAAATGATTATTTTTCTTTTATATTAATAAACAATTATTAAATTAGGATTAAGGGTTTTCCTTCTCATTTCCTCATTCAGGAACCAGCTCTTGTAGATCATTCAGCTCATATCTGAAGGACAAAGCTAACAGATTAGATTGGCCTAATTCTCAGGGTACATGCTCCAATATTTTGGATGGACCCCACCCAACTAGGGGATTTTATTTTTATCATGAGTGTAAACATAATCTAATCTAGGTGCATTCTAGCCCTAAAGCATTGGGGCCAAGTCATTTTCCCCCTCAATTAGAGTTCAGGGAAACCCAGCTTATGAAGAAGAAAACTAATCAAAATGGTCTGAGTACAGAGAGACTCCTTTGTGTAGACTGCTGGAGACAGCTGAGTATCATAATCAACTCACATTCTCAGCAGGAAGAGCTCAAGACTTTTGGCCCACCTCCTCATTAATGTGTCCACCACCTCATTAACTGTTCACCAATCAAGGTTGATTTTTCACCTGTCAGGGACACATCCTTTTCCAAAGGTATTTAAGCATTCAAGGATTCTCATGGTTTTGTCTCTGGTTACCAAAGGAGACCACTGACCATCAATTTATTGATTATTTACTAGCCTAAATAATAAATTGATTATTTATTACCCAGAAACTCCATCTCTTGGAATTTTCATTCATCACATATATTTAAAATATTTAAAGAGGCTACAGTTTAAAATTTCATTTCTTAACATGCCTTGAGACTGCTTAATTTTCAAATTATATACCCTTTTCATTGTCCAGTTGCTAAAGTTATAGCCTAGCTATAAAGTTTACTCATTCATTCCCTTTAATCAACAAACAATAACTAAATACCTACTCTGTATGAAGCATTATGCTAAGCACTGGGGAAAATAGAGTTTAGATAAGATACAGTCCCATAACTTTATGGAACTTAGATCTAACAAGTCAATAAAACATTCTTGAATGAATGAATGGGAAAGCATTTGTTAAGCACTTACAGTGTGCAAAGCACTGTGCTGAGTACAAAGGATACAAAGGAAAAGTAAGACAGCATTCTCTTCTCAAAGAGTCCATACTGTAAGAGGGGGAGGCAGCAGATGGTGAAGATAAAGTCAAATGGAAAGGCCTGGAGGTATAGTGCCAAAGGAGACAGTAATGCATTTTCTTTCATGATTTCCTCACTTTGATTTTACTTTAAGTAATGATTTTCATATATTTTCAGTTGTGTGGTTCTTACACAGTTTCAGTGAGACTGAATTAATGAAATATTTATGAAAATTTTAAATTCTTCACAAATATTTTATATTTTGCTAACATGCTGCTTTTAGATAAATAAAAAAACTGCTCTAAGATAAACATTTAAACAACAAGTCCCTCATCATAGATGATCATTTTCTTACCATTTCATGAGCATCATGCAGAGTACTAGATAAACTATCACTGAAGTTGGTTAAAAACAGTCCTCCATCTGCTCTATCTGGAAATTAAAAATCAGAAAACAATTTAACCTTATATTTAACAGAAAGTTACAAATTTAAATTTACAACAAAACACTATTAATTAGCAGCTAGGTAGCTCAGTGGATAGAGTGTTGGGCCTGAAGTCAGGAAGATTTGAGTTCAAATCCAGCCTCTGACCCTGGGCAAATCACTTAACCCTGTTTTCCTAAGCTTCCTCATGTGTAAAACGGGCTGGAGAAGGAAACGGCAAACCACTCCAGTATCTTTGCCAAGAAAACCCCAAAAAGGGGTCAGGAAGAGTCGGACACAACTGAAAAAACAACTGAACAAAACAGCTTCTACTCAGACATAATTACAGTATTGTCTTCAGTTCACATGCAAATTATTCTCAGTTTTCAATGAGGCACTTGTTGAAAAGGAAACAAGATTCCTGAGACGACAGGGCAGTTTGGCTGATGAGCTCAATGTATGTAAAAGATTTCAACACTAGAGCAAAACAAATAGGTTTTAATCAAGGGGACAAATGCCATGATAGTATATCAGCACATCAACACTTCTAGAAAGAATTTTTAGTAAAACACTGATTTCTTTCAAGTAAATAAATATTTCAAATAGGTTAACTTAAAGAAGAGTAAGTACACTCATATTAGCCAATTCAGTGAAACCACCTGTGGAAAATTAACTTACCTCTTGCAGCCATCTTCTGCCCATAACTAAACAGAATCTCTCCCTCTGAAATGGGTCTCTCGAGGGTCTCTGCTCGGTGGTGGTGATGTAGCTCGAGCTGCTTTCCTGTGTCATCTGGTCAGAACCTGGCGTGTGCACCGGAGAAGGAGCTCGAGCTTCAGCAGGAAATGACTTAAAGACGACTGGATTGGGAACGGGGCATGGACTGGGTACGACCAAGTTCTCAGGCTCTTCATCTCGTGCCACAGACATCACACTAAACAACACCAACCACAAAAAGGCACAGAAAGCTCCTGGACAAATCTATTCAAAAAAAAAGCTACGACTAGCATTATAATTTGGTTACCTGTAAAGGCTTTTCTCTAGAAAATTATCTTCACTCCTTAAAATCAAAGGGTTTAAAAGGAATTTTGTCCAAAACTAATTCTTTACTGACTGAAAGAATGTTAAAATACACAAATGTCACACCGTTCACTGAGAATAACAACGAGAAAGAGCAAAAAGTGAAACTTTCCACTTATGGTACTTTTTTCTTCTAAGGCATCTAATGATTTAATAGCTTTATTAAAAGTTTCATTACTTACTGAAATTTCTTAATGTTATATAAATTATGCTAAAGATGCAGTGAAAGCAAAACCAAGAGAAAACTACACCCAAAGGCCCCCACTAATGAAATGACACCATAGAGCACTTAAGGTCTGCAAGTGCTTTACAAATGCTATTTCATTTCATTTTCCCCACAACCCCAGGGGGCAGGTCTGATTATTATTTCCATAATTTATATATGTGTGTGTGTGTGTGTGTGTGTGTGTGTGTGTGTGTGTGTGTGCAGAGTGAAACAAACAGAAGTTAAGTGGTTTGCCCAGGGTCACACAACTAGTGAGTGTCTGGGACCAAATCTGAACTCAGGTCATCCCATGGGCCACCCAGCTGCCTCTACAAGCAGAAATTACAATAGTGTAACAATTATATTGTTACCATTACAGAACAGTAATTTTTCCATTATACTAATTATAATAATATACACAAAAGAAAACAATAAAATGCATCAGAATTCAGATTAATGAAATGACTGATACTGATTCTAGATGATGAAGCATTTCCCTCCTTTCAAGAGAGGCAGTCGTACCACCGATGCTGCAGATGCTATCAGACATAGATATTATATTGGTTTGTTTTGCTTAACTTTTTCTTTACTAAAAGGAAGGACTCTGTGGAAGAAGATGAATTACTGAGAAGAGATATTAAAAAAAAAACTTTAAAAGCTTCCACAATTACACTTGACACTTACTAGCTATGTGACCCTGGGCAAGCCACTTAATCCCAATTGCCTTAAAAAAAAAAAGAAAGAAAGAAAGAAAAGACAAACAGGTGAAAAAAATGTTATTGCTTACACAGCTCTTGGGTGAAGTGGTTCCTCTTGAATAGGATTAGGAATCTCTTCAGCCAGTGGCAAATCATCATTACTCCACGGCTTGGGGAGTTTGGGGCTTGGTCTCTTCAGTTTTTCAGAGGACTCTTCAGAGAGAGTAAGAGTTGGTGTACCTGCTAAAGGGGGTGTAGCTGCAGGAGTAACTACAGGAGTAGTAACGAGAGTACTTGCAGGGAGATTATCATTTCCTAAAAATGTGAAACCAAAAGGGGAAAAAAGTCAGCCAGACATCCAACTGACAAGGGAAAAGGTATCTTGCTTTATAAAATTCCACGACACTTTGTTATAAAACATAATGGTGAGTACTCGAAATAAATATTACATTTAAAATAATTATTAAAAAAGAAACCATTAGTGTAAGTACACAGTAATTCTGAAAAAAAACAAACAAACAACACTAAATCCCTAAATTATTTCATTGACTCAGATGGGAAAACTTTTCAAAAGCATCAACCTATTTCTCACTATGAGAAACAATCTGATATTTATTTTTTAAAATCAATAAAGAAATAATAGGGTTATGCACTAATCTATAAATATAAACCCAACTTAAAATTCCCATTAATAAGATGTCACTGAAGCTTATGAAAAAATACAGTATTTACCTGTTTGAGTAAATTGTTCTTTTACAGGAAAAATATCATTGTGTTCTGAAACACAGGGCGAAGCCTCTGGAGTTTTTATTAATAGTGGTTCCTTAAGCGCACACGGAGGAGGAGACTGAGGTGGAGTAGGCTGTGGAGTTGGCACTGGAGTATGGTGAAGAGTCTAACATAAATTTAATACAAAAAAGGATAAATGACCCTCACAAACGGCCATAATCATATTTTAAATAGAGTAAAATGGACTTGTTCCTAAACTATAAAAAACTTACACAAAAAATTATAGAAAAGATCATGACTATAAGGAACCTTGCCAAACTAGACACTTTTCTATCTCCACACCTGAGGGACTGGAAAACCTCAAATGTCTGGAAATTGGCCTTTTACAGAACACTGGGCCTTCTGGACTAGCTCTGTATCTAGAAATAATTTCCTCCTCTACAGATCTTTGAAGAATCATGGCAACAAGATAGGGGCCTCAGAACAGGAAATGGGGAGTACGTTGTTCTGATTTTAAAAAGAAAAAAAAAGGTAGAAAGATTTGAAAACTATAGACTAATTAGCTTGATGTGTACTCTTGGAAAAATTCAAAATGGTTAAAAACATGGTTTCTGAGCACTCAAAAAAGTCATCACTAGGAGTCAAGATGGGTTTACTAAGAACATGTCATGCTTAACTGATCTCACTTCTTTTCCTGACAGCATTAACAGACAGATGAACGAGAAGAATGTCTGAGACATAACAAAGATGTCAAGCATAGTAACTGACAAAGTCTGTCACAATATCCTTATGAACCAGAAGGAGCAGTATAAACTTAGAGTGAGATAATATAGTAAAGTGAATTTATAACTGGCTGAATGGCCACACCCAAGAGTATCAATTAATGATGGATGCCATGCCAGGAGGAGGTCTGTGGTGTAGAGTTGCAGGTCCTGTCTTTGATTTTCTTCTGTTTAACATTTTTATTAGTGACTTGAATAAAGACAGAGAGCATGCTAGCTAAACCTACAATTGAATGCAAACCGTAGGGGATAATGAATATATTCGATAACAAAAATCAAGATCAAAGTATCAAGATCCATAGATTAGAATGATGGAACAGAAAATACCAAACCTAGACAAACCTGTGCTAAACAAAGAGAAAAAAAAATTGGAAACAATCTGAAATGGGTAAACAGGACAATAGGGATGAATCAGTAAAATACTGTCTCATTACTCTCTAAGATATCAGGTACGAGAAAGAACAACTATGTTTTAATTATCTGAAGATTATGAACCATTTAAAACTGTAGGGCAGTAGGATTCACTGCCCCTCGCTAAATAAAAAACATCCAATTCATTCATTCACTGAACATGTGTATATGCTTGGTATCTGAGCACAAGCCTATGTTTAGAGAAGCTCTTCAATGAAACTGGTCATGGAATAAACTTTTGCCAACAGACATTCTAAAGTCTTATCTAACTCTAATAGAGTAATGACTCTCTACACCAACAGCCAACATCAAAGAAAACAGTCTTTATGGAAGGTCCAAAGTGAAATGGCCAGATGATACTTCTTTCTTAGTTCCAAAACTCAGTAAAGAGGCCAAAAACTTTTGAGTGAATGCAGTCAAATGAGTCATAAGTGTTTTCAGATCTCTTTAGTCTCAAACACAGACATGGTATTAAGAAGACTATCACTAGTTTTTAAAAAAAAAAAGAGTTAGCAAATCATGATTACAAAATAAAATTCCAAAGATCTCATTTCTGGGCACAACAAATATGCATAATACTGATTAGACCAGCTTATTTTGTTGATTCTAACTTCTATGAGACAAACGTAAACCTAAAGTTCTCCTGGGATTTAAGAACTAAAAGGTTAACTGTTTTGAATGTGTCTGTGTGCCAAATAAATCCTGTAATGATTAAAAACTGCATAGTCCTAGAGCTTTCAAAAGATTCACACATATTTACCTATAAAAGCCAGCTTAGCTTCCATACTTCCATTTTAAAACTGTCCTCTTAAGCATAAAAAGAGGGGGCACATACACCAGATTCCTCCCCTTTCCTTCATAACATCAAATTGTTACTCTCTTCTGTGTCTAGAATGATGGTATCCATCTACTGAAGCCAAACCAATTAAAATGGCCCTTACATGCATGCCTTTAAGGCAGCTGGTGGTGCAGTGGATAGAACTGGACCTGGAGTCAGGAAGACCTTTGCTCAAATTCATCCTGAGACACTTAACTAGCACTGACCCTGGACAAGTCACTTAACCTCTGTTTCCCTCAGTTTCTTCACCTGTACAACAGAAATAATAATAGCACCTACCTTGAAGGGTAGTTGTGAAGATCAAATGAGATAATATTTGTAAAAAACACTTGGCACAATCCCTGACACATAGTAAGTGCAATAAAAATGCTTATTTCCTTTCGCTCCCTTTCTTTGCAATTACCATAAGATAATTTGAATTTAGATATTCAAGAAAAGTCTGGAACTAACTGTTCTTACTCACATAATGCTTTCTCTCCTTTTTGCTTCAGTCTCTTAAGGGACAGGAGCTCTCTTCTAAAGACACAGTTTCCCTAGATGGCCAGTTGATTTAATAAAACTTTGGGCAATCTGACATACCAAAACACAGAAAGATTTTTGTCCCACAATAAATCTGCTGCTTATAGAGTAAAGTTAATGCATAAATGCATAAAAATTTTTCAAAAACAACTCTAACACTATTTTTATGCCATACCAAAAAAAATATTTCAGAATCACACTTATATGAGGCTAACAAAGGTTTTCTATTGCTAAACAAGGACAAAATTCACTTTAAATGAATTGAAAAATAATTAAGTATTCACTATGTGCCCAAGATCTGAGCTAAGCTCTAGGGACACAAATAGAAAAGCAAGACTATTCTTGCCCTTAAGAAGCTTAGATTCTAATGGAGGAACCAAACACATAAGAGGACAGGTAGCTAGGAAAGGGTAATTTGATATGAAACTCAGAGAGATGGTTAGTGGAACAATGAGGTAGGCACTGACAAGCTTATTCCAGAAGTAATGGTAGTATTGATTTGATGGTTAAAAGAGGAAAAGGGTCAGTGGTCTCTGGATTGGGTGCTGTAGGAAAAACCAGTGTCTAAGGAATATTTTGCCATCTTCCTCCCTGCCTCTTAAATTTTATGTCATTAATATTGAAACAAAGATTCCATGAGGAAGTTGATCCATCCCATAGCTACTAGATAAGACATTCAATATATTAACAGCATCAAAGCATAATTCTTAATTTTGCTTATTCCTGATATCACTTCAATCCGAATTTAAAATTTAAATCAATTTTTTTTTAACAATCCAAGCCGGATTTACACTTGGCCACAACAATCTGAACTGAACGCTGTAAAGCAGAGGGTTAGAATATTTATTTTAACTTCTGCCTTTTTAATACTCTATAAACAGAAATTGTTCTTACTGGTAAGTATGTTACATCAGCAGGAACATTTGCAGGAAGAGGAGGAATGCCTTTTGTTATTTCCCTGTTACCCAGCATGATGGCAATAATCTCTTCAAGAGCTTCATTCACAAAAAGACTAATCACGTCTGAGTTCACAGGCACACCTGCATCAACAACGAGTCGAAATCCTGTACCACCTGCGGCTTCAACTGGACATTACAACAGTTAAGAAAGGTGAATGTGTTAAAACTTCAACAGAATCAGTATTTTAAGTCTGAAACTATTAGGCTTATAGGGAAAAGGAAGACATATTCTATGTTTTGAGTATGATTTATTAGGATAACTGATAAGCTGGACCACATTACCAACTGAAATGGAACTGGGGAGGAAATGCATGGATATGATCCCATTCCTACTACAAAAGGATTTGCATCTATATTTGCATCATAGTCACTAAAAACTAATGCATCTGAATGAACAAGAAGAACTACAGAAACTACAATACTCAGCTAAAGGTACAACGTGGACAACAGGGGAATCTGGGAGACCAGAAAGAAAGCTGCTGTATGAATACAAATGCAAACTTCTAGCCATCATTCTTGGATTCAGAGATTATGTGAACTACTCTATAGGTAGCAATGTTCTACTTCTATTAGCGTGTACCTCTTACAAAAATGTGGGTAAAACACAGATTTCACCTAGAGGCCTCAGGTGATGTTCTTTCTTGTAATGAAATAATGTTGAAACTACGGCAAAATATGTGATCTATGTATTTTATAAAGGGGACCCAAAAAAGTAGGGGAGCTATTTTAAAGAAACCAAATCACCAATATAAAAATTAACTTAAGATCTTAGGCACTGATCAGAGAAGAAAAAAAGACAATGATATTCATAAACTATATCAAGATACATTTCACTTCACTTGAAGATAAGCTCTAATTAAACACTAATATCCAGAGTTCCCTAAGATGTATTTTGGTCTCCTAGGATGACACATGTATGTAAGGGAGCAAGAGGGGTAAATCAACTTCCCTTAGTATTTACTCAAGTCATGGAAAAAATGGTTGGGACTTGTAATGCAAGTGAAGAAACTGTAGCAAACACTGTGATCCTAAATCACTATTCAAGAATCAAACCTTCCTTTTCTTATCTATACCAAAACATCCACAGCAGCACTTTTTGTGGTAGCAAAAATGGAATCAAAGTGGGTGCCTTTTTATTGGGTAGAATTTGAACAAACTGTGATACGAATTTCAAGAACTAGTGTCCCATAATAATAAATGGTGACTATAAGAAATTCAGAGAAATTTGGAAAGACAATGAAATGACATAGAGTCAAAAGTAGGGTCCAGAGAACAAAAATATACACAATGACCACAATAATGTAAAGGAAAATATGACTAAAAGAAATTAGAATTCAGATTAATGTAACGATCTTTATTTCAGAGTACTGAAATGAAACATACTGCCCTTCAAAATGATATATACCCTGACAAACATGTTTAATATGCTGGTTTGCGTTAAGTGTTTTTCTTTGTCACAAGGATGTGAAGGGTGTATCAGAAAATGGCATTAATGTGAAAAACAAAAAATATCAATAAAAAAATTAAGAATTCTGAAGACCTCCTTTATCATTATTATAAGGATATTTTCACAGTAAATTGAAGAGAAACACAGTCCCAAAATGCATCTGAAAAGAAACAAGTTAAAAGGCTAGCACTTACCAACATCAGGAGCTGAAGTTTCACTTTCTTCACTTTCTGAAACACTGACATTAGGTACTGCCTGTTGCTGGAATGGAAGCATCCTAGTAATAATTCTTGACATTATTTCTTGTTCTACCCTGGGAAACAAAAGTGAATGGCTTTTTTAAAATGGAAATTTATGCAAATGACAGACATATTGTTTTGACATTTTCAAACACTCCTTTACTCACAGACTACATATATGATATCTGAAAATGATATCTGTTCCACAAAGTGATAATAAGGCTGGAAAAGATATGCTAGTTCAGTAACCTCAACTACAGAACCAAAAGAATCCCAGTGGTAGAAGAACTTGCTTAAAGTCACTTTGGAAATCGGGATGGAAAGTATGACAGAACTCCTACATTCAGAAGAAAGCATGTGTCAGTGAATATGCCCGGCAAAGGATGCAGTTACAATACTTAAACTCTAGTGACCAGCACACAGAATCGCAAAATAAGAGCTGGAAAAAACCTTAAACAATCACTTGGTCTGTCCTTTGTCTTCAGGCATGCAGCTATCTAAAGAACCCAAGAGAAAAAGTGTTTTCATTTTCCAAGGTCATTAACTGCAACCATAATTACAAACAGTAACACTCACATTGCACTATAAGATTTGAGGCTTTTGACAACCTGATTTTACAGCTAAGTAAATTTGCCTAGGATCACAAAGCCCATTCGAACCCAAGTCCCATGTGATTTCAAGCTCAGTGAGTCATTACACTACTACACACTGTGCTGCTCTTCGAAATGCTGACTCAGAAGTCACCTGACACAACAGAAGCTATCTTTTCAAATGCTTTCTTACAACACCAAAAAAAGGATACACTTTTGCCATTGTAATGACAGTAGATTCAAATTAACAAATTTGGAGACATTTCCCATTGTTTTTAACAAAAAATGCGATGAAATAAGCCCTTTAACCCTACATCAAAGAGTAACTAGCAGAGTGGTTAAAGATAATTTTAACAGGTAAAAGGAAGAAATTTAAGTGTTCAAAGAAAGTCTCATTTTCTGGTTATATTTAATATTATCACTTTATTAATATCAATATCAATGTAAACTAACCAGTTAATAAGGCTATTTTCTAGAGCCTCTTTTTTCTCAATCACTTTCTCCAGAATATCAGCAGTAGGCTGAGCAGTAGATACAACTGGTGGAAATGGAGGACCATTATAATTTTGAGAAGTAACTTTAGCACTTTGGTTAAACTCCAGGACTGGTTCAGAGAAATCTGTAATGTCATCACTTTTTTCTTCATCCTAAAATAAACAAAAAAACAATGCATTCTTTCACACAATACTTATGTGTGAGGTATTGTGTTAGGTAAAGTAAATCTTTTGGATATTACATTATTTATATTTTATACACTGAGAAGCAACAATAATAAGTAAATAGAGAGTAGGCCTAGAAGCCAAGAGATCTCTATTCAAATCCCACCTCTTACCCAAACTGACTGTAATCCTGGGCAAGTCACTTGACCTCATGTTGCTCAAGGCAATGTTCTTAAAGTCTAAACCGAAGAGAAAGTGCCAACTTATATCGGCTGAGACAGTTTCTTCTTCTGGGGTTCCCTATACCAATTAAATAATAGGCATAGCCCCTGGCCCGTTCCCCTATTTTATACATGTCTTAAAAATTAAACTGTCACCAAGTCAGTCACGACAAACAGCAACTTTGAGCTGTCAAAGATAAAAGAATATTTAATCAAGCAATTATTTTACTCATATACATACACAGAAGACCAAGAGCCAGATTAAAAAAAATTTTTGTTAGCTAGCAGAACATTTACGAAATTCTTACTCACATTTAAAATATCTTATTCAATTTGCTAAACTCACCCTGTTAAGGTATAACAGCATTTAAATTGTGTAGCTTAGGAATCACAATAGAGAGAGAGAAATACAAGTAGGAGTATAATGAGAAAATGCTGAGATCATTATTATGATTCAGAAAAAAGGAGTAGTGGACACTTAACATTTAACATGTAGTTCTGTCAAACAACCTGCTATTGAATACTATCTACTAGAATATATTATATTATTATTATTATTATGTATTCTCTATCATTACCCCACCCTGCAAGATCAAATAAGTCACAGTACTCATACTTCGTGAGTACTCTCTGAATGGAGGGCAGAGCAGTGAGCTTCAAAACTCCACTGAAGGAGGAGAACCAGGCTACTATCTCTCCACCTGCACTCCTTTGGACTTTTCCAACAATCCCCAACTCCACCACCTTTCAAATTCCTTCTGTATGTTGTCTTCTCCCGGCAGACAGTAACCTAGCTGAGGGCAGGGACTGTCTTTCTTTTTCATATTTGTATTCCTAACATTAACAAAGTGTCTGGAACACGGCAGGTGCCTGGTGAATGTTAACTGACAAGTAACATGGCACAAAAAATTTAAGACTAGAACCAAGAATGTGAAAGCTACCTTGGGAAAACAAACATTTTTTCCTAAAGAAAAAGAATGTTTATTATTATTATATTCAACCTAATTTTCAAGATTTTTCCAGATTATATTCAAGAGAACCAAACAAACTAGATGATGATTAGATATCTTTATAATTCTAGGAATATAATTTTTCCTACCTCTTAGAATGAATTTTTTTTTTAATGCACCAAAGAAGGTCCCAAGGTACAGTGAAGAAAGTGCCAGACTTAGAACCAAGACACTAGGTTCAAATCACAGCTCCAACACAAACAAATTTTAAGATCATATGGAAATCATTTCACCTATCATCTATAAAATGGAGATAATATACACTATCCTCAATGGTTTCTTGGGAGAAAAGTACTTTTTAAACCTTGAAGTACTATACAAATGTAAGGAATTATTAACAATAAACATTTCACAGGTTATCTCTTTTATTATCATCATTACTCATATAAATTGTTTCTCTCCATTTCCTACTTCAACTGATCCAGGCTCTACAGAAGAAATGTATGGGGGAGATCAGTTAAGTATATAAACATAAATATGTGTGTATGTATATATGTGTACATACACACATATAAACATAAATATGTGTGTATGTATATATGTGTACATACACACGTATCTATATAGGTATGAACTATATACATATGTAATATATACAAACATAATATATATAACAATATACATACATATGCAATATACACAATATACATAAATATACAATATACACAATATACATAAAGTATATTTAAATTACTCCATGCATATATATGCAGATACCTAAACAAATATTTTTTCTTAGATTAAAAATTTTAAATATCCTTTGTATTAAATTTGTCAGAAAAGCAAACTGAAAAACTTCATCATTCTAGCATATAATCTTATGATACTTCTTAACAGAAATTTCTGAAGCAAATTTATTATTAAAAAAAGGCGGCTGGAGATTTCCACAAATGCAGAGTCCAGCCTGCCCAAGTAAGTTTGAGGGCATACAATGAATGAGAAGAATCCATATGACTCCAGATGCAGCCCATGATAAACTACTGACACTTTGTCTAAAGTAGAAAGGATCAGCGGTTTACTGGACTTTCAGGCTTCTGGAGAACCCATGTTCCCCAGCTAGGTACTTTGAAAGTCCTCAAGTACTAAATCACTTACAAGTTTGACTCTTTTAAGTGGGGTCTGAATGGGTTACAGCTTTGAAAGACCTAAACCTGATCATCCAGCATTCTGTCCCTCCTAGGTCTTTCTAATCCTATGGGGGTCTATGTTCTTGAAGGGCTCTTATCTAGAGGGGTTGATTCTGCTTTCCTACCTGTTCCTTTTCTCAGTCTGTTACCTGAGCTACCGTCCCTCCTAGGGCCTCTGCCACCGTAGCCTCATCTAGCCCAGTCTAGACTTGCAAAACCTTCAATAACTGGGACCTCTTTCAAGTCCCTGCCCACCAACCTGTGACAATGCAAAGAACAATTCAAACAACCCCGAAGTAAGATGAGGGAAATATACTGAACTTCCTCCTGGATAAAAGCAAAAGTCAATAACCAACCAACACTTACTGAGCGCCGACTATGCGCCAGGCCTTGTGCTAAGCGCCCACCTAGGGACTAGGCTGACTGATCCACTTGGAGGCCAACATGGAGAGAAGCCGAACAACTTTCTTCAGTTCCCAATAATCAACTGTTATTCACTAGCTAGCAATAACTGCCTCTTCTACCAAGCCACCCAAGGTTATTGCGAGGTACATGTATGCAGCAAAGAACTCCAATCTCCTCATTTCCATTCCCAGGGAGGAAATATCTTTCATTCCATTCAAACTGCCTGATACTGTTTAATAACAACTACACAGGTAGTGTTGGCAACTCCGAAGACTTCCATTTATTCCTATCTTCAATAATTGGCATAGGAGTTAGGCATAGGTGGTCCAAAAGGTCCAAAAGCACTAGCCCTGAGGTGAAGAACAGCTAAATTAAAATCCAGCTCAGACAATTGCTGTCTGTGTGACCCTGAACAAATTACTTATTTCTTGTCTGCCTCAGTTTCCCCATCTGTAAAATGAAAGGAAAGAAGGAAACAAGAATTTGTTAAATGCCATTTATGTCCCAGGGGACCAGGCTACACGCTTTAAAAATATTATTTCATTTGATCCTCATGGCAACCCTGGGAAGTAGGTGCTATAATTATCTCCATTTTACAGCTGATGAAACTGAAGGAGACAGAGGTTAAGTGACTTGCCCAAGGTCACAAAGCTTGTAAGTGTCTGAAATCAGATGTGAACTGAGGTCTTCCTAATTCCAGACCCAGTACTCTCTCCCTACCTACCTCAAAAGGGGCATAATAGCACCAACCTCCAATGGTGGTTGTGAGGATAAAATGATGTTTCTAAAGTACTTCACAAACCTTAAAGCATTATGTAAATGTTAACCATTATTAAAATTATTGTTACTATTACTATTGGCTGTCATAAGTGCCAGTATAAGTACTGACTTTCAAGAATTCATAAAATTCATGCCCATGATATACTCCTCCTATTCAGTCACAAATGAGACCCAAACAGGGAGGTTTTTTACCACTTCCACCTGAACAAGGGTACTTCTTCCCCCAGTGGTCTTCCCCCTAAAATCCCAATGTAAATTAGGGTTTCTCCATGGACACACTGAGGGACCTGTGGTATAACAGTAACCTAATTACTTATCAAAGATTAAAGGAGGAGATAATGGGGAATTATAGCCTCGTATTTTAAGATGAGGAAAGGGAAAAGAGGACTCACATCTAAATGGCTTTTAAAGCTTTTCAACAACATGGCCTCAACTCACCTCTTCATTCTTATATCTCACTCCCCTATCTGCACTCTCTGGTCCAGACAAATCCCTCCTTGATATTCCCTGCTGTGTGATGTCTCCACACCTTTGTTCTAGCTGTCCCCCAAGCCTAGAATATACTTTCTTCTGACATATAACTATCAGAATAATACTGATGCACTGTCTCATTCAAAACTTAATTCAATTCTACATGAAGTCTTTCCTGATTTCACCACCAGCAGCAGCAGATGCTAGTGCACTAGTACCAAATTTTTTTTTAACTTTGCACTTATATACTCATTCATGATTACCTTCCCCTAAAGAATGTATAGGCCCTGAGGGCAAAGACAGTTGCATTTTTTTTTCTTTATATCTCCAGGGTCTAGCACGGTGCCTGGCACACAGTAAGCATTTAACAAATATGTGATTTAAACAATGTAAATGAAAAGAACCAAACTCTGAATGGCTGATAAAACAATGACCATCCCAGAGAAGAGATAATAAAATATGCCTCCTTACTCACAGCAGAAAGGCTAAGGGCTACTAGGAAGAATATCTTGCAGTATGTATCTTCAGATGCAGTTACTATATCCAGTGGCAAGGGAATATTTAATCTTGAGAGGGGTAGGGAAGAGACCCAGTACAGAGCAGAGAAAGAAAGTCTCCCCAGAAATGGCTATGATATGGGAACAAAAGACATTCATGAAACCTTTTTTTAAAAGTTAAGCTGGAATTAAAAGAGAAATGCTATCTAACAAATCACTACAGCATTATAAATAAAACCAAACAATACTGAATCACATGGAGTTCCCATTTTTACCTGTATAACATCAATTACTTCATCAAAGTTGGATCCTGGAAACTTGGGGTCATCTTCGTCAGGCTGGGTAAATTCTGGATCCTAAAAGATATTCAATGTTATTTCATAAGGCCTCCTACCAACCTGACAACTATTACTTCTGCTCACATCTCCTTTGGCTTTTTCTAATCTTTTGGTCTCTTTGATCTACCTCTTCCATTTCATCCTTAGTTCGAAGTAAAACTACATCCCTGGAATAAGTTAATTTCATCCCACTGCTTAAACTCATTGTCACAAAGGCCAAAATTACTATAAAATGTATTAAAAAAGTTTCAGACAGCGACCACAGGAGAAGATGGAGGCGCCCGGTGCGTCCGGGATGCTCCGGCAGGTACGCCACTTCACCATTTCAGTGAGCAGACCATTTGCTAAACTCGTCAGGCCTCCAGTTCAAGTGTATGGTCTAGAAGGTCGATATGCCACTGCTCTTTATTCTGCTGCATCTAAGCAGAATAAACTGGATGTGGTAGAAAAGGAGTTACTCAGAGTAACAAAACTTTTGAAGGATCCCAAAATGATTGACTCTATTATGAATCCTCATATAAAGCGTTCTATTAAGATAAAAACCCTAAGTGACATAATAGCAAAAGAGAAGTTTTCCCCCATCACAACCAACCTCATGAAATTGCTTGCTGAAAATGGTCACTTAAACAATACCCCAGGAGTCATTTCAGCATTTTCTACCATGATGAGTGTGCATCGTGGAAAAGTACAGTGCTCAGTTACAACTGCATCTGCTTTAGATGATGCAACTCCTTCAGAATTAAAAACTGTCCTGAACAGCTTCCTAAGGAAGGGCCAAGTCCTGAAAATGGAGGTTAAAACTGACCCTTCAATCATGGCAGGAATGTTGATATGTCAGCAAGAACCAAGATCCAGAAACTAAGCAGGATTATGAAGGAAGCTGTTTGAAAATAACATTTTTCCACAACTCATCAATGAAACTTCTAAAAATTGTGTAAACAATAAAGTACTTGGAAAATTAAAAAATAAATAAATAAATGAATGAAAGTTTCCATTCCTCCTACATTGCCTTGTGCAAGAACCAATCTTAACATACAAGAACCACAAGAATAAAGTAAAACCAGTCCCAAAGAATAATCTCGGAATGACCACTGGCCAAAATCAAGAAAAACATGTCCTTATAAAACACCTAAATGCAAATATTGTATTTTTTTCAAAGCCCATCAGCCTTTAAACTTTATTGCCTACTGGCCTCTCCCTACCCCTCCCCCAGCTCTACCCAACGTCTAAATTCACATAATAGTTTGAATCCATGTTTGCTAACACCTTCTTTGCCTTTATTTATTCAACTTATCTTAGGGAAAGGAAGCTTTATATGGATCAGCATTAGTTAACATCTACAGGCCACATGCTTCAGAATGTGTTAAAACTCTGGAGGATACCTGTATCCATGTCTGTGGGGGATGAGATGCTTCTATGAAACTGGCGGAAGTTTGGTTTTCATCCGTGCTTTCATTTGGAAGGCTATCAATATCTAAATTGGGTAATACCTAAAATAAATAGAAAATAAAATAGAAAATGAAATGGAAAACCAGCACCATATATGAAGATACTTTCCATTCACAATTTAGACGTAGGTGTCTATGTTGGCAACAGTCTATCACCTGATAACAAAACAGGTGTACAGTCTGAGCCCTTTCTTTTCTACATGTGGTACAATGACCAAGGTTGAACTCTGGCAACTTAGGCTCTTGGTTTCATAAGAGCTAGAAGCAGAAACCCTGTGGAAAAGAACTCTGTCTCATACGCCTTCTATGATCCACCATGTCCACCTAGCCCCATAGCTTTCACAACACTGTGTGCCTCATAAATGCTCAATAGGCATTTAAGTAATTAAATCAATGAAAAAAGTTGCCTTTTAAAAGAAACATACATGGGGGCAGCTAGGTAGCACAGTGGATAGAGCACTGGCCCTAGATTCAGGAGGACCTGAGTTCAAATCCAGCCTCAGACCCATAACACTTACTAGCTGTGTGACCCTGGGCAAGTCACTTAACCCCACTGCCCAGCCAAAAAAAAAGAAAAGAAAAGAAAAGAAAAGAAACATACATCCTTAAAAAACTAGCAACACAAAGACAAAAGTTATTATGTGGTGGGGAGGCTCAGGTGCTTATAATGTAAATAAAGCCATGGCTGCCCCTTTAATCTGATATGGATTAAATAACTTAGACTACACTCCGTTCTCATGACTGTTCAGGCTGGAGTGCAATTTCTGCATCTCACGAATGCAAGCTATTGGGCAGAAGAGGGATGCAAAGTGTATGTTCATGAAAGCGGTGAAGCCATCACAATTATTAGAAAAACAAACACAAAGCACGTGTCTTTTTCACGCAGGCCAATAGTACTTTCACACACGAATGCGACATTTATCTCACATTACTAAGGAATTCTCATCATTAAAGAACAATGTTTCTCAACAACACAGTAATCCATGAAAAACTAATATGACATTTAGTTAAAACGTTTCTCTCTTCATTTTATCATTTTTATACCTGTATAGTAAGCTGAGGAGGATCCTTTTTTTCTGATGTCATCTCTATAACTGCTGTGTTGGGTTTCTTTGGTCCAGTTTGTTTAGTTTGAGTGGACGGAGGAATAGAAGTAGTTACTGTTACAAGGTGTGGTTTTTCTATAATTACTTCAGCAGGTGGCACAGAATCACTATTGCTTTGGGTCTGTCCTAAATAAGTTTAAAAAGAAATTAAATTATGGAAATTGGCTAGGGGAAAGTGAAGCACTGAAAGAGGCTGGTTTAGGCACCCAGGAAGTAAAGGTACTTCATAATCTTTAATATCTACAATAAATCTGCTAGTTTTATTTTCTAAATACATTACTATAATCATGGTATCTCAAGAATATAAAGGAAATGGGAGAGAGAACAAATACAAGAGCATTTATCAAGCATCAGAGGGTCTCCAAAGATCACAAAGGAAGCAAAGAATTGGAAACAAAATAGATGACTGTTCAGAGAATGGCTATACAAATTTTGTTATATTAAGGTAATGGAATATTACTATGCCTTAGGGAATAGTGAACATTAAGAATTCAGAGAAGTATGAGAAGAGAGATACAAAGTCATATAGAATTAAAGAAAACAAGAGACACAATAAAAATCACATAACTCAAAAGAAAAAAAAGGAAACTGAACACTCCGTAATTACTAGGGTAACAGTTGAGAAAATGCACCCTCATACAATGCATATCATATATCACATTTGGTTGGTTTATGTGACAACTAGTTTTGTCATAACTGCTTCTCAACACACACACACACCATTCACTGTTTTAAAATTTCTGTTACAAGGGGGTAGCTTTCCAGAAATAAGAAGACAAAGAGATAGAGTCAGAAATGATGGTGATACAAAATTAAAGATGCTAATTTTTTAAAAATGTAAATATCATAGGAATGCCAAACCAGCAGAAACAAAGTCAATCTAAAAGCATTTATTAAGTGTTTTCTATGTGTCCAGGTACAGGTGCTGAAGGTACAAAGCCAAAAATGAAACTGCCCCTGATCTCTATCCGAAGAAACACGCACACACATAAGGCAACACAAAACAAATACATACAAAGTAACCAGAAGGGAATTCGGAAGTGGGGCTGAGGCGAGGAGGCTCTGACACTAGAGAGAATCAGGAAACAGTTCATGAAGGTGGTGTGAATGTAATCCTAAACACCGAAAGAGGCTGGTGGAGATGATGACAAAGTACATTTTGGCCACAGAAGGACCACGTGTCCTTCCACGACACAGAGACAGAGACAACATAAGGTCGTGTGTGAGGAACAGCAAATAGACTAGTTCGGAGAACCATAGTCTAAGAAGTGGATAATTTTTTACAGTCTGCAATAGCAGGCTTGAACCAGATTATGAAGGGCTTTCAGTGCCAAATAAAGCAGGTTATATTTGTGTTTACTGAGCAGAGGAATAATTTGGTCAGACCCGTACTTTAGAAGGACAGAGTTAGGATTTGTGCATCTAAATGGGTTGGGGAGGGCTTGGAGCAAGAAGACCAATTCCAGGGCTAGGATTGTGCTCCAGGAGAGATGTGAAAAGGGCCTGAACTAGAGTCCAGCTATTGCAAGTGGAGAGGATGAGACAGTTACGAGAAATGTAGATGATGGGAGTAGAATCACCAAAATTAGATAACTGAATATGTGGGGCAAGGGGAAGTGAAAAGTTTCTAAAGATTCCAAGGCTGTAAATCTGCATGACTGGAAGGATGGTGCCCTAGAGGAAAACAGGGAAAGAATAAAGAAAAGTATGTTTTGGAAAAAGATAATAAATTCTGTTTTAGGCATGTTGCCTCTGAGATACATATGGAACATGCAGTTTGACATAGTTAGGAGGCAGGCAGTGTTTTGAAACTGGAGAGAACCCCAACTGATAAACAGTCAAAGGATATGAACAGGCAGTTTTCAGATGAAGAAATTAAAGCTATAATCATATAAAAAATGCTCTAAATCACTACTGATTAGAGATATGCGAGTCAAAACAACTCTGAGGTACCACATCACACCTATGAGATTGGCTAACATGACAAAACAGGAAAATGATAAATGTTGGGAGAAGATGTAGGAAAATTGGAACACTAATACATTGTTGGTGGAGTTGTGAACTGATTCAACCATTCTGGAAAACAATTTGGAATTATGCCCAAAGGGCTATAAAATGGTGCATATCCTTTGACCCAACAATACCATTCCCAAGTCTGCATTCCAAAGAGATCATAAAATTAGCAAAAGGACCCACATGTACAAAAATATTTATAGAAGCTTTTTTTGTGGTGGCAAAGAAATGGAAATTGAGGGGCTGCCCATCAACTGGGAAATGGCTGAACAAGTTGCAGTATATGAATGTAATGAAATACTATTGTGCTATAAGAAATGATGAGTAGGTGGACTTCAGAAAAACCTGGAAAGACTCATATGAACTGATGCTGAGTGAAGTGAGCAGAACCAGGAAAACACTGTACACAGTAACAGCCACATCAGGAGATGACTGACTTTGATAGACTTGGCTCTTCACAGCAACACAAGAATCTAAGACAGCTCCAAAAGATCATGCTGGAAATTGCCATCCACATCCAGAGAAAGAACTACAGAGTCTGAATGCAGATCAAAGCATACCATTTTCCTCTTTTTTGTTGTTTTGTTTCTTCTTTCCTGTGGTTCCTCCCACTGGTTCTAATTCTTCTTTACAACATGACCGATGTGAAAATATGTTTAATATGAATGTATATGTAGAGCCTGTATCAGATTGCATGTCATATTGGGAGGGGAGAGAGAAAGGAGGGAAGGGTAGAAAAGTTAAAACTCAAAAGCTTATGGAAGTGAATGCTGAAAACTTTTTTAAAAAATAATTAATTAAAAAAAAGAAACTGGAGAGAAAATGTAGCTGGATATGCTGACTGGGCAAGCATTAGTAGTGAAAGTGAGTAAGTGAAGGTACAAGTATTTTCTAGGAGTTTAGTAGTGAAAGAGAAGAAAGATATTGGACAGTAGCTTAAAGGGATAGTAGAGTTAAATGAGACAGTAAATTGAAGAGATTAAAGATTAGAGAGGAGATGACTATAAGCAAAGATTAGCAAAGAATGAACTAAGTCACCAATATGTGATGAAAACATGTTACAAAGAAAACAGATAAGGACCTCCTCCCAACTGAAGTCTGAATTGTGTATGTGGCAGGATTATGCCAGAGACATTATAATGAGAGATAAACAATAACAGAGGCTAAGCCAGACTGGTGCTTGAGCCTGGAAGGGAAGTGTGGAGGAAAAGAAGAGCAACATGAGGATTTTAAGAAAGAGAAATGTGCCTTAGAGATGTAGGATGAAGCATTCCCTGGGAAAAGCTAGTATTTCAGCTCACACTTGCATAGCCATCTGAATCTTCAGAGCTACTAGCTGAAGTTAACATAATAAAATACCTGGATGAATACCCTACCTCCTATTATCTTCAATCACAAAAAACCATAATGGAAAGAAGGGTGGAGAATAATAAACTCAACTATATTCAAATGATTCAGCAACAAAGCAAGAGAAGCAGCAACAAAGCATTCTGCTCAGTGGAATGTTACTGTCACTGATATTGCAAGAATTCTCATTAAGAAATAGTGACTAAAGTATGATACAACGATTATTTTCAGATTCTCTGGATAGAAGCATTGAAATTAACCCCCAGACAAAAAAATTAGAAGCAAAATAATTTTGTGGAATCCTTTCTGAACAACCTGCAGAGCTATCAATTTCCTGTGAATTTTCAATTAGAAAATGCCACTTCTGTTTCCCAAACTCCAATTTCCTCATTATGTCCTTGCTTTGTGGCACAGTACACAATAAAAAATATATCCGTATCACTACTCATTCAATAAATCATATTCCTTAATTACTTTATTTATACAAAGAAAAACCTTCCTAACATTAGAGCTACACAAAAGTGGAACAGGCTACTTCCGGAAGTAATAGGCTTCCCTTCATTGGAGATTTTTAAGCAGAAAGGCCGTAGAACCATTTGTGGGGGATGCTAGGTGAGGCAGGGTCCGTAGGCGGTGGTTCTTTGGTAAGGAATGGGTTAGACTAGATGGCTAGTAAAATTCAATGAGTAACTGGAATTAGACTGGGATAAGAGGTGATGATATGAGCCTCTCAGAATCTATTTTTAGTGATATATATGACTACAGTTCTGAGAAGCCATCTGCCATCCAGCAACGTGAAACTGTTCCTTGAATCAAGGATTACGATGTGATTGTTCAAGCCTAGCCTGGGATCAGGAAGACTGCTACCTTTGCCATTTCCATTTTGCAATAAGGTGAACTTGACTTTGAGACCACACAAAACCTAATTTGGGCCCCTATCAGAGAGTTAGATCAACAGATCCAAAAGATAATAATGGTACTGATCAATCTATTGTCAGCATAAAGAACATAAAGCAATAACATAAATGCAAAAGTCAGTGAGGCATATTTTAGATATCGGTAAAGAATTCTTTTCCCACCACACACAATCTAGTAGGGAAAATATGATAAACAGACAAAAAAGACAATAAATGGCAAATGTAATAACAAAAGTAGAAAGAGGAAAGGATACACTTGGGAAATATAGGTGACATAGAAACAAAAGATAAAAATATAAGTTGAAAATCCAACCTGGGGGAAAAAAAGGTACATAAAAGCAGAAGATAAATTCAGAAAAATCACATTCTGGCTGAGTTGATTAGATAAAGTTTCATGGAAGAGGTAACATATAAGCTAGACTTTAATAAATAGGCAGAATCTACAGATGGACATTAGAGGAGAAGGCACTGTATTTCACCACAAAACTGTTGTAGAATTTATAACAAATTTTTTTGCAAAAAAGTAAGGTGTGACTATTAGGTGAAGCTTCTTTAAAACGTGCCAGTGTTACTTAAAAATCATTTATTACTAAACTGTCTTTAGTGCAAGATTAGGATGTATAGAACATTTGTGAATACATGTTAAAATTGAATACTGACAATGTGCGTGTTCTGTGAATTCTAGGCTCACAATGCGCAAGAAATAAATGTATACCCATATGCCACTGGTGAATATATTGCTTTCCATTTACCGTTTAAGCAGCAAGACAAACAGAATTATACCATGCAATGATTACGCTATGAAAGGTTATAAATCAATTTTTAGACTGAAAAGAACAGGACGATGATTATGTGGTGGCGACGATTACGCAGTGGTGATGATTATGCAGTGAAATACAGTATTGTAGAGGAAGGAAAAGAATAAGTAAGAGATATAAGCAAAAAAGTGCATATTATATTCACAATACAGTTGTTTTGGAAATGCCCCCTTTGCCCACTTGAAATGCCAACATAATAGAACCCATTATAACAAAACTTGTTATACAGATTTGGATATATTATGATTCAAATCATAGTGTCTAAAATATAAGAACTTCATTCACTAAAAAACTGGCCAAAAAAAAACCGGTCAGAATAAATAATGTCATTCTTTATTCTTGCCAACATCAAAAATATTCATTTTGCTATAAAAATCAACTGTGCTGACATCTAGTGGTGGAAGAAAATCTATTTATATGCACTGCTGCTGGTGGTGGCTGTTAAGACTTAAAGTTCATATTTGATTTAAAACATGTCCTGAGGGGCGGGGCCAAGATAGCAGAAAAAAGGCAGTGACTTGCCTGAGTGCTCTCAAATTTCCCTGCAAACATTAAAATAACACCTCAAAATTAATTCTGGAGTAGCAGAACCAAGAAAAGGACGAAACAACTCTGCAGCACAAGACAACTTAGGTCAGCAAGAAAGATCTCATATAGAGAATTGAGTCAAGTTTATAAGAATACAAGTCATTCCCCAATTACTAAAACAACAAAGCACATGAACAGGCAGTTTTCAGATGAAGAAGTCAAAGCTATCTATAGTCATATGAAAAAATGCTCTAACTCACTACTGATTAGAGAAATGCAAATTAAAACAATTCTGAGGGACCACCTCACACCTATCAGACTGGCTAATACAACAAAACAGGAAAATGCACTGTTGGTGAAATTGTGAACTGATCTAACCATTCTGGAGAACAATTTGATGAGATCAAGAGAATACTACTGGTGGAACTGTGGACAAATCTAGAGAGGAATTTGGAACTATGCCCAAAGGAGTACAAATCTGTGCCTGTGCATACCCTTTTACCCAGCAATACCACTACTAGGTCTGTATTCCAAAATTTAAAAAAAAAAAAAGGAAAAGGACCTATTTGTACAGAATATTTATAGCAGCTCTTTTTGCGGTGACAAAGAAGTAGAAATTAAGGTGGTGCCCATCAACTGGGGAGTAGCTGAACAAGTTGTGGAATAGGGTTGTGATGGAATACTATTGTGCTATAAGAAATGATGAGTAGGATGATTTCAGAAAAACCTAAGATTTACATGAACTCATGCAGAGTGAAGTGAGCAGTACTAGGAGAACACTGTATATACAGTAACAGCAATATTGTACAATGATCCATTGTGCATGACTTGATCCAAATACAATGATCCAAAACAATTCCAAAGGACTCATGATGAAAATTGCTATCCACACCTCAAGAGAAGGAAAAATGATAGAGTTTGAATGCAGATCGAAGCATAGTATTTTTCACTGTCTTTTTTTTTTCAAGTTTTTCTTTAAGAAGGGAGGGAGGGAGAGAATTTGGAACTCAAAATTTTAAAAAACGAATGTTTAAAATTTTTTACATTCAATTGGGAAAAAATAAAATATATCCTGTTATTCTTATTTGTTCTTACCTAAAAGAATTGCCATTGGAATAAGATGACCTTCAAGTGTTCCTGAAACAGAAGGCACTTCTCGGCTCGGGCTGAACAAATATTGCTGTTCCTGGTGAGAAGGTAAAGAAAAGGAGCGTGGCTTTCTTGAATCTGTCCCCACTGATCTGGTTTTCTCCAACTCAGTTTGTGTTCTTGTTGACCTTACCTTAGTACCTGCAATGAGCATCAATGGAAAACATCATATAATGTTATGACCACTAAAATATACTAAGCTGTTAATTCAAAAGTTTCCCTTTCCTCAAGACAAAATAAAGTGATCAATACATAAACAGACCATGTAACCACAATATAAACTGATAAAGGATTACTAAAAATAAAAACCTACACATCCTTATTCTATGTAACATTGAAGACAACATCTAGAAAGAAAATTTAATAAAGGCTCATCAAAAATATGATTTTTAAGTTTCGGTTTTTGATTTATTATAACATATCCTCCAAACATATGTCCAAACACTCTTGGCAAAGTATATATTCAAAAACTGAGTTTGTCAACTGTTAATCAAAAGGAGCAATGTGACTTTTAACTTAGACAACATGGTACTAATGTTGAACAGGTATCTGACTAGTACTTGCAGTCATTCCATGTTGATATTATTTGCATAAGATGTCATCTCTTTTTACCTCATTTCATACCATGCTTCTCAGAATTCTCCATATTTGTTGTTCTTAATGGTACGGTCACATTCCACTGTATCTATCTACCATTATTGTGTTTGGTCACTTCCTAATCGTTAGGAATATTTTATTTGGAGATTTTTATCACAAACAATTTTGTTATGAATATTCCTGAATATAGGAGTCTTGATGTCAGTAACCTAATCTGGAATACACTTAGGAAAATAATTTTTAAAATAATTGCTTATAATTCTTCAGAAAATTCAAAAGCTTAAATATAAAACTGGACACAGTTCTCATCTCCTATGATCTGTCTTTTACCTATGACATTGTTCTGAATTGTACTAGCTTATTGCAATTATTTATGGGTAAATTTTTGATCCCACAGCTATCCAAACACTGATATTTTTAAACAAATCCTTATACATATAAAATATAACAAACTGCCTCTATTGTTATCATGAGGGTATAACATAATTTCCTGAAAATTAATATTTCCCTTACTGTGGCTCTACTTCAGGGGGAAGGATCACTTTTATTTAAGGCACAGAAAAGTGGTGTGGGCGATGTTGAGGAAAAATATGGGAGAGGGGAAAGAGAAATAACTGTTGTATTTCCTTTCACCTCGATGTTAAAACATACTAAAATAATTAAAATTATTAGTTAAAACATTTTTCTTTAAGACTGTCTCATTGAAACACAATATTAAAGAATTTTTCCATTTATAACTATCTACTTGGCAGAATACTAATCAAAGTATTTATACACAAAGTATCACAAGGTAATTTTTCTAATCTAGAAAACTGTTACGATCCATTATTACACATAAAGGAGGAAAAGCACCTGATACCATTTTTAATTGATAGCAACACTCTCATTGAAAAAGTCAGTGTATTTTAATATGATGAGAGATAGAAATATATTTCTATATTTCACTGAAGCCTATGGACACACCCTCATTTTGCACAAAAGTAGGATACTATTTTCTATTTCATTCTGAATAATTTTCCTGATAATGTCCAATATTTGGTCTATACAATGAATTGCTATAATTACTATGCCCCTTTCTTAGGTCATAACTAGTGGCTCAGATTCCACTTCATTAATACAGTTTTGATAATAATTCCATGAAGCCTCTAGGCTTTGGCTTCTTTCTCCACAACTGCCCCCACCATCCTATTAGGCATCTTAAAAGAACCAGGACAGCTACAGTCCATTCAGTCATCCTAATGACTGATGAATCCTAATGAAAATCAAGAATGTTTACATATGAAAACAGAAAAAAGTCACAAAGGAACCCACTCCACAAAAGATTATAGCTCTGGCACTGAAATAGACCTCATATGCCATCCTGTAACACTCTCATTTTACAGATGATGAAACTGAGGTCCAAAGACAGTAACTGATCTGTCCAACATCAGAAAGGCAATAAACATCAAAGGCAGGATTTAAAACCATATTCTCTCACTTTAGAGCAGTGTTCCACATAAAACTATGCAAATTAAAACCAGTATTTGGTTTGTTTTTTTTAATTTCCTTACCTTTAACTTGTTCTATTACTTTAGGTCTCTGCGGTTTGGATTTGGCAGATGGTGAATTAAATCTAAGATATGGACCTTTTTTAAGAGTGCTGCGATGACCTTGATAAACTGGTTTTCCGTAAATCTGTAACAAGTAGTCACTACTTTGTGCCACTTTGATTGCCTTTAGATGTCCCTGCATTCAAAACCAAAATTACTTGCTCAGAAATGAATATCTAAAATTGCACTTTCATTTTTTTCAAGTAAAGTCTATTTATATAAAATATTATTCAAATACTGAAACAGATTTATTGTCTCATCAGTTTGAATGCTCCCACCAATGACGGAGTTTGCAACCCCACCTATAATCATGTCCATCCCCTCACGTTTGCCATAGAAGGTCCAGTCAGTATCAAGGGGGCCTTATTCACTTTCTGTTGACATTTCAAGATAGTAGTAAAACATTCATGCTACCCACCTTTTGTACCTAATTCTCACCACATAACCAGCCCATTTTCTTTTAATCTTCTATTTCTCAGATGATATCCTTTATTTACTATTCTTCTTCAAAGTTCCTTATTTGTTATATAACGCAGCATGCTCATACCTACCAAAGGAATTGCCAATGTGATACTCATTTTCAGTTCGTCAGAGAATGCTGTGTCCCATGACTTGCAGCTTTAAAATATTAGAAGACTTCTGGTAATAAAAATATGGGCCATTTTGATCTCATCAGCTCCCATGGATTTAATTACCATCTATAAGCTAATGATTCTCAAATCTACCCATCCTACTCCAAAGTTTTTCTGCTGACTTCCAATGTCACATCTCCAACTGCCTTCCAGATATCTCCAACAGGATGTCCAGCAAACATCTTAAACGCATCATGTCCAAAACGGAACTCATTAACTTTCCCCCTAAACCCTCTGCATCTCCTAATTTTCCTATTACTGACAAGGGCAACACAATCCTCCCAGTCTCTCAGACTTGCAATCTAGCTATCATCTTCAACTTCTCATTATCTTTCATCGACTCTGTTGCCAAGGCCTGCTGCTTTCACCCTTGCAGCATCTCTCACATACGCCCCGTTCTCTCCTCTGGCATTGATATCAGTTTGGTGCAGGCCCTCATCACTTCACTCCCAGACTACTGCAATAGCCTGCTGGTGGGTCTACCTGGCTCAAATCTCTCTGCACTCCAATCCATCTACCATTCAGTCACTAAAGTGATTTTCCTAAAATGTAGGCTCTACCATGCCACACTCCTCCCCTCATTTGATAAATTCCAGGTTTATTATTGCCTCCAGGATAAAATACAAAAAAATCCTGTTTGGTGTTCAAGCCTTTTATATAGCTAACATGAAAACGTATTGCATGATTTCATATGTATACCAGATATCATATTTCTTGTCCTCTCATTGAGTGGAGGAAGGGGTAGAGGGAGGGAGAGAATGTACAATTTCAAATACAAATTTAAAAAAAAAAGCCATGGCAGTTAGGTGGTGCAGTAGATAGAGCTCCAGCCCTAGAGTGAGGAGGACTTGAGTTCAAATCTGGCCTCAGCCACTTGACACTTAGTAGCTGTGTGACCCTGGGCAAGTCACTTAACCCTGACTGCCTCAAAAAAAAAAACCCTTCATAACCTAGCCGCCTCCTACTTTCTATTCTTTTACACCTTACTCTATGCCACATACTCTCCAATCCAGTGACAGTGGACTCTTTCACAAACAAGACACTCCATCTCTCAGCTCCAAGCATTTTCTCTGGCTATTCCCCATTCCTGGATTGCTCTTCCTCCTCATCTCCACTTAGTGGCTTCCTGAAGTTACAACTGAGATATTATCTTCTGCAGGAAGCCTTTTCCAACCCCTCTAAATTCGAGTGCTATTGCTCTTTTAATTATTTCCTGTTTATCCTGTATGTACGTAGAGATGTACATGCATGCATGTGTGTATGTGTGTGTGTGTGTATATTCATGCATATGTGTGTATGTGTATACACACACACACACATGCACACACAAACATACACACGCATGCATACATGTAACCTGTTTGTACGTACTCGTTTGCTTGTTGTCTCTTCCATCAGATTGTGGGCTCCTCGAGGACAAGGACCGTCTTTGCCTCTTTTTGCATTCCCAGAGCCTAGAACAGTGCCTAGTACATAGTAGGCACTTAATGTTTACTGACTAACTGACCCTAGGCAAGTCACTTAACCTCTGTATACCTCAGTTTTCTCAATGGTAAAATGGAGAAAATAATAGCACCTACCTCCCAGGGTTGCTGTGACAATTAAATCATATTGGTAAAGCACTTAGGCCAACACCTGGCACATAGAAGGCATTTAATAAATGTTTACTTATTTCCTTCCTTCCTCCTTCCTATCGGATGAAATATGAAGTCCATAGGACCTAGCATTTAGGACCCCCAGTCTAGCTCTAACCTACTTTTCTGGCCTTATTTTAAGTTATTCTCCTTTATACAGTTCTTATTCCAAACAAAACTGGTCTCCTAGCTCTTCTGTGAATCTCCTGTGCCATCACCTCACTCTACACATTTGCTGAGATCGTCCCTCATTCCCCCAATGTCATCTCACTGCCTTGTTTCTGCATTCTGAATCCTCTTATTCCTTCAAGGCTCAGCTCAGGTGCCATGCCTTCGGTCTTCACCAATCTTCTTCCCAAATTAAGATCCATCACACCTTAAATAACTTTCCTACGGTATTCTGTCCGCATCTTCCCACTCCCTCCCCTGAACTTTTGCCAAGCATTATGCTTACTGGGCAGACACTGTATCTTCCCAAGGCCAGCAGAACAAGCTCCTGGATATCAAGGACCATTGTATTTCTCACCTTTGCATTTTTAGCACACAGCCCAGTGCTTTGCACATAGCACACACATAACATTTTTAAAATCTGCTCAACGTGGTTGTTTTCCATGAGAAAATAGCAAAAAATTTAGTACAAAACGCAAGCTCTGACAATAACAGTTTATCTGATCATTATACAACTTGGTCTGTAATTGTTTTCATCATTTAATAGACAAACATACAAAAGGTGCATCAATATTCAACAAACAAAAAAATCAAGTACAAGCAAAAAAGCAATAAATTAAATTAATGACTACAATTTCTCATATGTTTATCAGCATTCACATCTTTTGGCATATGTTATTTATAGTATCACTGTTCACAACCAGGAAGGGTATGAACACATACATTAAGGATTCTCTATTATAGAGCATTTTTTTAAAAAATTTACATAAATTTATACAAAAACCTTGATGGACTTTCTCAAATTTCAAAATTTTACCTTCTACTGTCTCACCCAATGTATACAATTTCTCTTTACTTTTCAGTCATTACTTTAAGAGAAGCAAAGTACTTTGAGGTAAAACCAGTAATTTTTTTCTCAAATAAAAGTTCTTCCTCTGTAATTAATATTCTTTGAAATCTTGAGGGTATATAAAGGACTCAAGGACAAGGGGGAGACAAAATAAAAAAGTTCCTACTGTATCTGGATTTATAGCTTAGCTAAATTAGCAAAAGCACAAAAAATAAGGAATATATTTTAAAAATTATAAATATGCTAAAAAAATATAGATGCTGCTGACTTAAGATTATGAAATCTCAGAGACAAGTTTTATGTTCTGAAAAACAACTATTCAATATTAAACAATATTAACAAAAGTTGTAGAAATCAAATATGATTAGTCACAGAAACTACTATGGTCTTACCTCTTTTCTGTCTTTATCTAAATTTGAAGCACAAATGTTCTTTAGATATGTACTTCTATAACTCTCTTCTAACTGCTTATGGAGATGTTTTGCTGGAAACACAAATCTATTTATAGTTTTATCTTCAGCACTAGTTTTAATTTCTCTGCTCGTTTTTTGATGTTGGTTATTTAAGGCTTTTTTGGTGAAACTTGACCTTCGATTCTTATCAAATTTCTTATGTTCATAATCTTTTCTTGCCAATTCATCCTAAAAACAAACAAAAAAAAACCAGCCAAACAATTTTAAAATGGTAAAATCTAAAATTTTGTTTTAAAATAATATTTCTTCCTGTATTAATGATATAAGTTAACAAATCTTTGTTTTCAAAACTAAATAATTATATAATGAAACAACTAGTCAATTATTTATAAATTTTATTTTAATTTACACTTTATACTTACTAAGTATCTACTTTTTCAGGGCACTGGTGATAAAAGTTTAGATACAACCTGGTCTCTGTTCTCACGGGGCCTACAGTCTAGTATGAGGATGAGACACAGAGAGCAGTAATACAAAATAACACCAAAAATGTTCATCACAAAACATGAGAAGAGTTGCTTGAATTGATCGAGAGCAAAAACAGGACAAGATACACAGTGACTAAGAGAATGTAAATTAGGACAGTTCTAAAAGACAATATAAACCACATCAAATATCAAAGTCAATGTTGATTCCAGCTGGCAAATATTAAGGCTCCTTTCCTTTCTGTTAAGAAACTGTAAACCAGAAGTATAAGAAGTTACATGTGTTGTAGATCAAAATCTTGTTACTAGATATCTTTGCTTACCTTTTTTTAATGGGAGATACTAATGGTGTATGTGGTACTTACTAAGATGTGATTACTATATCAAAATGAAATTTATCTATTAAAAAAAGCACATTGAAGAGCTGCAAGTGATCTAAGAGGTCCAAAAGAAAAGAGACAAACAAAGTTTCATAAAGAAGGTAATAAGATTTTGAGTGAAGTTTTAGGAAATGTGTAGGAATTTAATAAGCCAACAGAGGAAGGAAGGATATTCCACGAATCGGCAACAGGGTGAGATGTGCCACTGACTAATGTACTGGCATGCTCAGTTTGGCCAGACTATGAAGGCCTTGAATGTCTAGCAAAGGAGTTTGACTCTGGTAGGCAATAGAAGCCACTGAAGATATCTGAAAAGAAGTATGACCAGATAGCCATATATCTGATTTGATAAGAAAGATCAGTCTGACAGAAATATGAAGGATTGTTTGGAATGGGGAGAAAGAAGAGGAAAATCTATTAAGAGGTAATAGTGATAAACAAGATGAAAATGTGTTATACACTGAGATGGTGGCAGTGAGAATAAAGAGCAGATGAATTTATGAGATGTTGGGAAGGCAGAATCAGCAGGATATAGTATCTATCCATTTGTATATGAAAGGTAAAATAAAGGAAAGCATCAAAGATAACATCCTGATTTCAAACACGAGAGACTGAGTCAACTGTAGTACCACTATAAGAAACAGTGAAGTCAGAAAGAACAGATATGGGGGGGGGGGGCCCTCCATTTTGGACACATGAATTCAAGATGCTGGTAGACTTCAGCCGATGATGTACTACAGCTAGCTGGAGATACAAGAGATAAGATCAAGAGATAAGATACAGAGAAAAGGTCAAGCAAGTGATCAAGAAGGAGCAGTAAAGGATTTGCTCTCTCTCAAGCCAAGAAAAAACAGATTATCTAAAAGAAAAGGGTGCTCAACAATCCTGCATGTTGCAAAGAAGCCAAGGAGGATAAAGACTACAGAATTTCAATTATAAGGTCAATGGTTACCTTTGGGAGAGCAGTTTCAGTATAGTCCTAGGGACACAAATCAGATTTAAAAGGATTAAAGAAGTAAGCAGTGAAAAACTTAAAGTACTGAGTATAGACAACCTTTACCAGAAATTTGGCTATGAGGGGCAGCTAGGTGGTGCAGTGGATATAGCACCAGCCCTGGGATTCAGGAGGACCTGAGTTCAAATCCAGCCTCAGACACATAACACTTACTAGCTGTGTGACCCTGGGCAAGTCACTTAACCCCACTGCCTAGCAAAAAAAAAAAAAAAAGAAAAGAAAAGAAAAGAAAAGAAAAGAAAAGAAAAGAAAAAAAGAAAAGAAATTTGGCTATGAAAAGGGGGAGAGAAATGGGACCAAAAGGCCAAAGGAAAGCATTTTTAGTAGTAAGGAAAACAGCATGTTTATAAGTGAAAGGAAGAAGCCAGTGGAGGGGGAGAGACTGAAGACAAATAAGAGAGAAATACAATCAACTAATGAACATTTATCAAGGACCAGGATCTGGGACAAGATCCTGGAGAATACAGGAGAGGATCAAAAACAGAGATAAAGGAGTTAGCCTTAGTAACCAGAGAAAAGGAGAAGAGAACAGATGCCAATCCTGATAAGTTTTTAAGACTGTCTAGAGGACACATGAAGGCGTTCCTGATGAATGAACTCAAACCTTCTGATGAATAGATAGTTATAACGGCTGGCAGTGAGGGAATAGGCAGGATGTGAAGAGAAGAGAGAAGAAAAGATTTAGAACAGATGCTGAGTAGCATCAAGTGCCAATGGGTCACTGGGAGATGCTACAGACCACATTCAAGTCAACATTAGACTAAGTTTCATTTTACAGATACTTTTAAGAATTCATAGAATTTAAGGACTAGAAGGAAGTCTGGAGATTATTTAATTTAATCACTCAGGAAACAAAGATTCAGAAAGATTATCTAATTTATCATATTGAGTTTTCAGAATAGTTGGGAGTTCTGACACTAGTAATACCACACTGTTTCAAATACTTCATAATGGCATCATAAATACATTTTCTTAAAACAAGGTTTAAAAGGCTCAGTTTTTAAAGTTATTTTTGTTTTTAAATACTTTAATTATCTTAATTATTCAATTCCTTTTCCATTATAAAACCATCATAAAATTTTCCAAATAAAAGGACAACTACAATTGCAAAGTACGCTTGTTACTATTAGGAATAAAGTAATGGTAGAGATAATGTCATGGTATCAGGTACATAACAGAAACAATTACAAAACAAATGTATTTACCCGCTTCAAGTTGAGATCAATGCCATCCTCAAAAAAAAAAACTCATTTATTCCTCAAGCTTTTCCTAACCATACCTGAATTTCCTGAGTGATTATTTTAATCCATTCATCCACTGTCTTTCTAATACGAAATTTCTCCAACATGTCTCTAAAGGAAAGAAAAGATAGTTTCCATTAGATTGGTGCTTGCTGTCCAGTCTTCCCATCTACAAGAGAAAAGTGATACTATTAATTTTCCTTCCCAAAATGTATGAAGAAAAAATAATTGAAAAACATGCTAATATAAGAGCAAGTATGTAACAAAGATAAAGTAACTTATTAATGAAAAACAAAACCACATTCTGGCTTCATCAGTAAAATTAATAAAATAGTATGTCCATTTGCAAACTACTAATTCCATGTCTTTTATAAGCTTTACATCTTAATAAGGACTAGGAAACCTCCTCTGACCATCAAGGAAAAACATAGGTGGTACAATCCAACTGCTTGAAAATATGACAAAGCCTGCAGAATTGATAGATTCATTGAGAACCTAAGAGGTGCAGAGGAATAGGGTATCAACAACTTTATTACCGGTTAGTAGCCAGGGCATTAATAAAGGAATACATGGCAGCTCCATCTTTTGCATGAATAATAGCTTCCAGGTTTTCTTCAAGAACTTTTTTATTATTTTGCACTCCTCTTAAAATTTTTTCAGCATCTTTCAAAATAGATCTTGCTGTTTTGGTTGACTTAGGATGGACTGGACTACGTGGAAGATCATCAGCTCTAAAGGCGCTCAAAGACTCTTCTGGCTACAATAAAAAATGAATATACAAATAAATGCTTGACTGAATATATAAAACCTTGTACACTTTTGTGTACACCTTTTTGTTTTCGTTTATTTCAATTAACAAGCTCTTACTTTCCTTCCTGCTCAGTGAAAAAAAAACTCCCTTTCCTCACATTAAGAAAAAAAAATCCTTGCAATACATATGCATAGTCAATTAAAACAACTTCTAATATTGGCCATCAATAAAAACATATGCCTCCTTCTGCATCTTGAGTTCATCACACTGTCAGAAGGCAGGGAGCACTCTTCCCCATCAGGCCTCTAGAATTCTGGTTGTTCAGAGTTCTTAAAAGGTCTTTCAAAAGTTGTTTGTTTTTAGAATGTTGTTATTGTTTACATTGCTCTCTTGGTTCTACTCACTGCATAATGTATCTATTCACACATGTCTTCCCTAGTATTTCTGAAACCATCTTTTTGTCATTTCTTACAGCACAACAATAATCCATAATACTGATATGCCCTAATTCATCCAGCCATTCTCCAATGAATTCCTTCAGTTTACAGCTCTTTGACAGCAGAAAGTACTGCTATAAATATTTTTGTATATATGGATCATTTCCCTCTTCCTTCGACCTCTTCGGAGTACAGACTTAGAAGTCCTATCAACTAGTCAAAGAATATGCAGAAAATGCTTAGTAACTCTTTCAGGTATAATTTGTTTTCCAGAATGGATGAACAGATTAATGAACAACTGGAAACAAAGTAAGTCATCCACTTATTGGGGAATAGCTAAACAAGTTAATGAAATAGTAAAATGTCATAAGAAAGATGACGAAGAAAAATTCAGAGTCACACAGATCTATGAGCTCATCAAAGGGAATGTTTCGCATTGCAGATCACAACCCATCCATATCTAATTACCCTATACAATTCTAGTTTCTATTCTCCCCTAAAGTTCAATACAAAGGGCTTGCTAAATGTGATTGGGGTTTTGAAGTTACAAAAATACCAATGGAGCATGTAAGCAGTCCATCAGTTACCACTTATGGTTGTCACATTACCAGCTAAAACTGTTTTACTTTATAATTCCTTTTTTGTAATGTGCTGCTGCCTGTTTGCACCTACCATCAGCCTGTTACCCTTTGCATATTTATTCCTCAATTTAATTATCTAAAAACTATATGAAAGACGTGAAAATACTTATAGTACCTCATTTGTATTCATATTTATTGCTTTTAGGACAATAAGGGATAATGTTTGCAATGTGTTTTGTAACTATAAAGCTCCATGAAAAAAAAAAAAGAATTAAGAAAAGCATGGGGCATAAGAACTGATGCAAAGTCCAGCTACCCTGGAAAGTAATTTGGAATTATATCCCAAAAATCACTAAATTACTCATACCTTTTGACCCAGTGATACAACTACTACACCTATTCTTCAAAGAGATCAAAGAAAGAAGAAAAATAGCTATATGTATAAAAATATTTATAGCTGCTCTTTTTGTAGTGGCATGGAAACTAAGGGGGTACTCGTCTACTGAAGAATGGCTGAGCAAATTATGATATTAATGTCATGGAATATTCTTGTACCATAAGAAATTAAAGAGGTGGACTGAGAAAAACCTGGCAAGACATGCATGAATCAAAAAATCAATCAATAAACATTTATTAAGCACATATTACGTCCCAGGCACTATGCTAAGCACTGGGAATACAAAAAGAGGCAAAAGACAGCCCAGCCCCTGCCTCCAAGGAGCTTACAACATAATCAAACTGCAGCAGAAAGAAGTGAGCAGAACCAAGAGAACAATTCATACAACAACAATATCGTAAAGACAAACAATTCTGAAAGTCTTAAGGCCTCTGATCAATTCTATGATCATCCACGATTCCAAGGCACCAAAAATCAAGAGTGCTACCCCACTTCCCGGCAGAAAGGTGACAGACTCAAGACGCAAAATGAGACCTACGCTTTGGATGTGGTTGGCGAGACAATGGAAACAGGGTGAGACCTCTCAGATGGACGGAGTGTGACAGTTTTGTAGACTGTTACAAACTCAAGGTTGGTTAAGCTAGCCTGAATAGGCCCAAGTTTCAAGCTCCTAGAAAACACATGATCTGTACTGTTACATTAGTATTAGGTAATGGCTAATGCTAAATAAGGATAAAATAGCTAGGATTGGTAGTATTATAATGAGATTCCTCGTTTCTGGGGTAGATTTTCGCGTTTTAGATTGTAAGGCTGAAATTCCTGTCCGATGGGAATTTACAGCCAGTGGTGGGTGGGTGTCTCTGCATTAGGACTATATAACCTTTGTTCTGGCCTTTGTGCCCCGCTTCGCTCGGACTGCCTGACGAAGCAGACACCCGCTTCTCGCGAGAACGTGATAAATCTTTCACTTTATACCTAGAAAATCTCCGAGTGTTATTTTTGGGTAACTGCAGCACACATGGTCAATATGGAAATTTGTTTTTCTTGCTACAAAGTTTTTGGTTTTGTTTTTGTTTCCAATGGAGAGGAAAAGTGAAAGAAAATAAATACTTTTTCGTTGAAAAAAGTAAAATACAAGTTACTTTTTTAAAAAAGTGAAGTGACCTAAACAAGGAAAACAATATGTACAATACCTTGGAAAGAATAACAAAAAGACTCAGTATGGAATTATGACCAATACTGATTCCAGAAAAAAGTTGACAAAATACAACTCTCTTGCTCCACTGCAGAAACAGGAAACTATGGACCTGGGTTCTGGCACATTCTACCACACCCAGGTGTGTTGGTTGTTTTTTTACTATCTTTTTTAATCTTTGTTATAAGAGAGATGGCTCACAGAGCAGGGAAGGCAGAGAGATATGCAGAAATGAATGTGATATAAAAACAAAAGGCATAATTTTTTAAAATGTTAATATAACACCAGCCAAATTATGTGCTTGGTATCATGAATCTATTTTTTTTAAATAAAAATAATCTAAGTCACCTAATCTAAAATTAAGGTGATGACCACAACTATTACAATAATAATTCCCACATCAGTGTCCAATTTAGAATAGGATTATGCCATAGGTACTCAGGACTATAAATCTGGAGCTAGAAGGAATCTTGGAGGTCTTCTAGTCCACTTCTCACTCTACAGATGAAGAATTTGAGGCCCAGAGAGGTTCAGTGACTCAGGTAAAGTCACAAAAAAATAAGTCATATAATTTTTAAATCCTGATCCTCAAAAGCTACTGCTCTTTCTAATGTACCATGCTGCATCTCAATTCACAAGCAACAATAAAAACATTTTGATTAAAATTCATGGGGCAGCTAGGTGGTGCAGTGGATAGAGCCCTGCCCCTGGAGTTAGGAGGACCCACGTTCAAATCCGGCCTCTGACACATAACACTTACTAGCTGTGGGACTTTGGACAAGTCACTTAACCCTAACTGCCTCACCAAAAAAATAAATAAACAAGTAAAATAAAAAAATAACAAATAAATAAAATTCATAAAAATCTGATCCCAGCAATACAGAAGTATTACTATAAGATTTTACTTGTACTTTTACACATATTCCTCTTTCTTCGATATTACTGGTGTATAGACCTAGTAGTTGCATCATGGGTCAAAAAGTGTAGCTAGGTGGTGCAGTGGATAAAGCACCGGCCCTGGATTTGGGAGGACCTGAGTTCAAATTCACCCTCAGACACATAACACTTACTCTAGCTGTGTGACCCTGGGCAAGTCACTTAACCCTACTGCCTAGCCAAAAAAAAAAAAGTCATTACTGCTTCTTCCACCCACTGTTAGTGTGTCCCATAACTATCCTGAGTCCCTTCTTTTTGGGGGCAGCTAGGTGGCGCAGCGGATGGAGCACCAGCCCTAAAGTCAGGAGTACATAAGTTCAAATCTGGCCTCAGACCAAACACTTGACACACTTACTAGCTGTGTGACCCTGGGCAAGTCACTTAACCCCAACTGCCTTAAAAAAAAAGTATAAACAATTTGGTGACTGTTAGGACACAGTTCCAACTTGTATTACAATAAGTAAATACCTGCAGTAATAAAAGAGATATTGAGCTCTTTATCAAACAAGAAGCTAGATATCTACAAGTCAAGGGTGTTATAGAAAGGTTTCATGCTTCAGGTAGGGGTTATGCTAATGACCTCTAAGATACCTTTTAATAACACTTAAGATTTTATAATTACATTAGGCCTTCTATTTCGCTTTTTACTTTACCAAATCATTACATTAAGCTTTGTAATCCTGCAGAACTTCTAAATAAGATGCATAATTATCACTCGTTGTCTGACCTAATAATTCACAAGGAGAAAACAAAATAAAAATATCCATTGACTAGAATTTGATGAACAATTAGGTGGATTGCCAGTTGAATCATTCTATCGATACACATCTTGGGCAGGTGCTATATAGGTAGACCATGAAATACGCTTAGCCAGACTTAAAATGTAAGAAGAAAATAGTTTGGACCAGGGGTGGGGAACCCGTGGCCTAGGTCCTTGGGTGCAGCCTTTTGACTGAGTCCAGGTTTCACAGAACAAATCCTTTTATTAAAAGGATTTATTCTGTGAAGTTTAGACTCAGTCAAAGGGCCACACTTGAGGAGCTAGAGAGCCACATGTGGCAGGTTCCTTACCCCTAGTTTGGACTGTATTTAGGAAATCTGACAGTTTTCAGTGGTCCCATGGTGCTCCTTGGCACAAAGTTCTTTCAGTGATGTTGTATTATGGTAAATTATGGAATGCTACAATCTCCTAAGAAACAATATTGCCTTTAGCTGGTTGAGTAGATATTATCTGGGACATAAACAAGCAGGTATAATTGGGTTGACCTCTCTACCAGTGGAAGGAAAAGCACACTGAGGAGATCAAAGATATATTGAGATACTGAAATAACAAGAATTTTGACTGGGAAATCCTAACTAGATAATCTCTTAGGTTTATAATATCATGTGATGATACCTAACTCAATGGTTTATTTTCACTTTCTTAAGTCAAGACAATCAACACCACAATAAATTAAGCCCTGATTTGTAGTATTTGAGAATTTCTAAGTTGTAAATGGTCACACTGAAAATCTAACAATTCACTCTTTTGTGCTGGTATAAGCTGGCTCCTACACACCCCTGGGTCCAGATTAGGAAGAGCTTCAAATACCACACAGAAGACTTAATATTTGATCATTGAAGTGACAGAGAGCTAGACAAGCTTACTGAATAGGTACGGTGAGATAGTCAGATCTCTACTTTAGAAAATCACTGTGACTGCTGAAGAGAGAATGTATTACTCTTGGGAAAAACTTAAGGCAGGGGGCAGCTATCTGGCACAGTGGATAGAGCACTGGCCCTGATGTCAGGAGGAACTGAGTTCAAATCCAGCCACAGACACATAACACTTACTAGCTGTATGACCTTGGGCAAGTCACTTAACCCCAACTGCCTCACCAAAAAAGAAAAAGAAAAAGAAAAACTTAAGGCAGAGAGATGAAGAAGAAGGCTACTGCAATAGTTCAGGCAAGAAGAAATGGGTCAGGGCAGCTAGGTGGCGCAATGGATGGAACTCCAGCCTTGGAGTCAGGAGGACCTGAGTTCAAATCCAGCTTCATTGACATTTACTAGTTGTGTGACCTTGGACAAGTCACTTAACCCTGACTGCCTCATCAAAAAGAAAAAAGAAAAAAAGACAAAGAAAAAAGAAACGGGGTCCTGAACTAGGGTTGTGGTTATATAAGTAGAGAGAAAAGAAGACATACTTGAGAGACGTTGTGAAGACAGAAACAAGATTTGTCAGTATATTATATGTTGGGTGAGGAAAAAGCAAAGAGTTAAGAATGGCACTTAAGTTACATGCCTGGTGTATTGTGAAGATGATGGTACCTTCAACAGTAATACAGAAGCTTGAAAGAGAGGATGATTAGGAGTGGGGAAAAAGATAATGAGTTCTGTTTTGGGCATTTGAAGTTTGAGATACCTACAAGAAATCCAATTCAAGATGTCTAAAAGTCATTTGGTAATGAGGACCTGGAGCTCAGGAGAGAAGACTACATGGCTGAATATTCAGACACAAGAATCCTTTGTTTACATGTCATTGAACTTGTGGGAGCTGACAATATCACCAAGTGACAGAGCAGAGAGCAAAAAGAGAAAAAGGCCCAAGACAGAGCCTTCAAGAACATCCACAGTTAGAGAAAATGGGACCTGGGTGAGAAGCCAGCAAAGGGCAATGAGAAGGAACAGTGAGACAGTAGAGAAGTTCAACTTCTAAGAACAGCTGGCAAGAAGAGTATTCAGGAGGAAAGAGTACTCAAGAGGATGAAACTGTGCAGAAGGCAAAAAGGACAGGGACTAAAAGAAAGTCGATAAAATTCTATAGTACCATGATTCATAATTCATCCTGTAAACTTTCTTATCATTTAACTTTACCAATAATGGTTTTTATTAACAAATTTGTGTTTATACATGAAATATATGATTTACCTCTTTCTTCCTTCTGCCAAGACCACAAAAGACATCATCGATGTGCTGCATAGTCTTTTCAGCTATTTGAAACTCTTCACGAGAAGGAAATGATTTCGGGTTCAGAGCGCAACACCACTGGAGGGGAAAAAAATATCTTCTAAAATATCATACTGTCCACTGTAACAAAAATGTATGAAATATAGACCACATGTATATAATGATGTGCATACGACAATATTACCCCTTGATATGTTCTCAATCAAAATATACTAGATTTCTAAACATAAATATGCAATCTAGTAATAATTTTAAATTTTAATAGAAAACATCTTATTTTTCAATTTGGTGCTGACATTGATTCTTTCATGCAATATAAATACATTATAGAAATACACTCATCATAATTACATATGCATATCTCAAATAATTATGTTTAAATGAAAACAAAATGCACTTAGTGTCACTAGAATCAAGGATACACTGTAACATCTAGTCTTTCACTCACTTCAACATAAAGCATCAGGATTCTAGGCCATTAACTGTTTTGTCTCTTCTGTTGTGATACTAAAACTCCCATTCAACCTTTTTTCATAAAAGGCACAGATAATATAAAATGCTGAAATCTTAGCTCTTTGAAGAAATTAAATAATAAATTTTAATACATCTATATATGGATACAAAATAGATGCATAGTCTAAAGCAACAAAAATTCATTTATACTAATAACCAAAGACTCTAAAATATGAAATAATCCTACATTAGAAAATATTTTTAAATTTGAAAAGTCCATTTAAAATTACCTTGAAAAGTATTTTCCTTTTTTTTCTTTTGGTGAGGTAATTGGGATTAAGTGACTTGCCCAGAGTAACACAAGCTAGTGAGTGTTATGTGTCTGAGACTGGATTTGAACTCAGGTCCTCCTGACTCCAAGGCTGGTGCTCTATCCACTGTGCAACCTAGCTACCCCCAAAAAGTGTTTTCTTTATCAATAAATACAAATCAATAATGTTTATTAGTCCACTAAAATGAATCCGATTAGAATATGTTCCACCTACTAGCTACTATCATGAAACAACAACCTAACACAAACATCTCAAAGGCTTTAATGTGATAAGAGCAAGAGACCTTTCAGATTCAAGCACATGAAAATGTGTTTTTTCATATGAAAATTATTAGCAAGAATTTTAAAACAGATGTATATTGATGTGTCTTAAAAATAAATAGGAATATCATCAACATAATTTTTAATTAGTGAAAAAAACTTGGGCTTCAAAGAAAATACTGAGAATTTCAAGGTCTAATATGGATTCCAGATACTAGCCATGAGGAAGTTAATTCACAATAGCATAAAGATTGTGTTTAGAAACAATTCTTTTGTTAAAGAAGTAAAATTTTTTTACCAAATGATCTGAAATGTATAGAACAAACATGTCTGATTAAAGATGAAAGAAAACTCAAAGAGCAAAAAAAGAAAGCATTTTAATAAAATGACTAATGCTGCCACTTTACTTTTTAAAATCTAATTTTCAATTATAAATTTTTCTATATGTTAAACATTTTCTTTTTTTCTAATGCTGAAAAAATATACTCCACATCTGACAAACTCCACAAGGAAATCCTATTGTAATGCTCTACCATGAAGTCCTAGGATATGAACAGGGAAGTTTTCAGATGAAGAAATTAAAGCCATCTGTAGTCATACGAAAAAATGTTCTAAATCACTATTGATTAGAGAAATGCAAATCAAAATAACTCTGAGGTACCACATCACACCTATCAGATTGGCCAACATGACAAAACAGGAAAATGATAAATGTTGGAGAAGGTGTGGGGAAATTGAAACACTAATGCATTATTGGTGGAGTTGTGAAATGATCCAATCATTTTGGAGAGCAATTTGGCACTATGCCCAAAGGGCTATAAAAATGTGCCTACCCTTGGACCCAGCAATAGCTTTAAATGTAATAATGGTATTTCAACATAATTTGTTGCCTTTGCAATCCTATGTATTTTATTTTATGCACTTAAAAACATTATTCTGAGAAGGGGTACACAGGCTCTATCAGACAGACAAAGGGATTCCTGACACAAAAAAGGTTAAGAACACCTCCGACAGAATAAAATATAAATTCTTTTGGTTCATACTTAAAGCCCTGGTTCCAAATTATCTTTCCAAAATGACTACACTTAAATTTCAGACAAAGTGTGCTACTTGCTATTCCGTTTACACAAAAGTTTGATCATCAGCCTCTATATATTTGCATGGGCCAAACCCCATGCCTGGAATGCTCTTTCACTCTCCCCACTTCTGCCAGTGATAGTTCCTCGTTTAGCTACATTAATTCCTCCAGGCTTTTCCTGATCAAGGGATCCTATCTGGAAATTATGTTGTATTTTCAGGAAATGGGGTACAGAAGTCTATCCTGCTCTACAGGAAAATAGAAGTGCAAGGGGATAAGAGAAGGGAGGGGGGAGAGATAAAAGAGAAGGCAGACCAGGGGAAGGGGTATTCAGAATGCATGCCATCTTGGGGTGGGGGGAGGGGTAAGAAATTTGGAACTCAAAAACCTGTGGAAGTGAATATTGAAAATTAAAAATAAATTTATATAAAAAAAAGGAAAAGAAAAAGAAATTATGTTGTATTTTGCATTAACCTATCTGCATATGCATTATTTCCCCCAGAAGAATGTAACCTATCTGAGAATAGAGACTGTTTTCATTTCTAACTTTGTATCCCCAGAATCTGGCACAGTATTTGACCCACTGCAGGTGCATAATAAATGTTTGTTAAAATGAATTCAACAGATAAGACAACAAATAAGCAGGACTTACAGAAAAGCCCTAGATTGGGATTCAGGGTCAGAGAGTAGTTCTAATATCCCAGGTTCTGCCAATAGTTAGTAGCTTATGATTTTAGGCAAGTCACTTCACCACACAAGAACTCAGTTTCCTCATTTACAAAATAAAGAGATTAGATCAGCAGTCACTTCCAGTTCTCAATTTACTGATCTAAACATAATGATCTAAGCATAACACAATAAGGTATAGAACTGTAATTTCTCAAAATTTACAAAGACGTTCATGTCTCAACTTCCTTTCTTTGGGGGGGAGGGGCGGCAATGGAGTTAAGTGACTTGCCCAGGGTCACACAGCTAATAAGTGTTATGTGTTTGAGGTCGCATTTGAACTCAGGTCCTCCTGACTTTAGGGCCAGCGCTCTATCCACTGCACCACCTAGCTGCCCCTCAACTTTCTATTTTTTCCTTTTTTGATAAACAGATAATAAATCTTTTACTTCATTCTCTCTTTTTTTACCTGTCTCTCAGAGGATCCTGTTTTATTCTTGATGTGGCCAATGAAATTCTTTCTGAAGACTCACTCTCTTTTACACAGGTGTACTGATTATTTAGGATCTGCTCCAACAATCTTCCACTTTCTAAGAAGCAAAAATAGTTTCAAATACTATCACTAATTTTTCATAAACTAATAAAATTTAAAATCTGCCTAAGTTTATATAACTAAAAATATAATTGAAATACAAAATCAGCAAATTTTATTTTATAGTAACACTAAACAAAAATAGCAAGAAAATTAACATTTCTACAGCATATATTTCTGTATAGAATTCTATATAACACTACCAATAACCTAAGGGGGAAAAAATTATAAAACAAGGACCATGATTATTAAATTAAAATGATTTGGTTTCAAAATCCAGCAAGATTTGAGTATTGTAAAATAGTTAGTCCAAGGCAGACTTAACTCTCTCTTCATTACATTTCTTAGTTAAATGACCTCATCTGCTATTCCTCTTCCTAAAATACATAATTATCTTAATATTTAGGTGCGTCTTTTTATAACACAAACTATAAGTTCTAGTGTACCCAAACTATAAATAAATTAAAAATCCTTCCAACAGTGTAATACTTTTAAATCATAGAATTATTTTTCAGTACTTATCAATCACATATATTTCCACTAGCCTGGAAAAATATGCTCCAACTATATCTACCTAAACTAATAATCAGCAAATTAGATTAAGAAAAACATCATTTTTCTTGCTTATTAACCACAAAATTCACCAATGTTTTAAAATTATACTATGTAAGAAATGTTTCCAATTTAATGAAGTATAATAAAGATGAATATAAAATCCAATACTCAGGTTAAAAAAATTAACAAAGTACAAAATGAGTGAAAACAGCTGGACAGCATCACGTGACAAAGACCTAAAGGGTGTCTGTGGACAGCAGCATGACTTGGATTCTCAAAAACACTTCTGTCAAATTAAAAGAAGAAGAATATACAGAATAAAGGAGATGACAGTCTTGCCATACTCTGCACTGTCAAACTAGATATAAAGAATTACATGGAATTATAATGTTTTTATTACAATCTCAAAGTTCTGTGAAATCTGCCTTTTCACTGTGGATGTTTAGAGTTGTAAAGAATAACATCAGTTCTATAAATGCAATCACAAGGAAGTATTTCAAATTCTAAGAAATTATTAGACTAACATTTCTTAGATGATGCCTATAACTGTAATCCTTAAATAGTTCTGTTATAGTTATAATGGTAGGACTCCAATATGGAACTCCATAAATGGTCCTAATAATACCCATAAAGCACATAAGCAGTTGGGTTTTTTTTTTCACTTTTCTCCTTTTAACTTTTCTCCTCTTCTGACCTATTTTAACTCTGTGTCAAGCAGTTAATGCTCACAGCTTCTCTCCCAATTTCTGGTTCCAATAAAAAAAAACTCCCCCTACCCAAGCCTGGTATTGATAAGTGACTCCGAGACCTTCTCCACCACATTTGGGTCTAATTAAGAATGTCCCTTCTGACATCTGGCATCAATTACCTGTTCTCCACCAAACCCATTTTTAGAGTATATAACTTTACCATCTGAAGCCCAACTTTGAGCATGTTTCCTCCTAGACAGAATTCCTCTCTTTCTTCAAGACTCAAAGCAAGACCACCTTTTACTCAAAGCTTTTCCTGATCCCCTCCAACCACTAGTGCCCTCCCGCTCTACCTTCTCTGCATTTATTTCATGTTTGTTATGCATATTTTTATCTTGTGTATAAATACATATATGATACATATATATCACACACATGCATGTTGTCTCTGCAACAGGATGTAAGTTGTTTGAGAACAGAAACCACAAGATCGTGCATTTAGAGCTAGAAAGAACCTGAGAAGTCACCTCATACATCCCCCTCGACTTTTATAAATGATCTCCCCAATGTCCACAGCTACGAAACAGCAGAGCCAGGATATGAACTCAGATCCTCTGACTCCAAAGTCAGGGCTTGCTCTGCTGTGCCTTACTGCCTAGCAATTCAAAAGCAAGTCAAAAGTCAAATAGATCAACAAATTACAAAAATAATTTTTAAGTGTTCATTTACATTCACACATACAATATGTTTTACCATGAAAGCATATTTATAAAGTTCTTTGTGGCCAAGGCCTGTTTGTGTATATATCAATACAGCCATCCACTGTATTAACACAGTAATTATTTACTTCATGCTAATAGCTTAATTAAAAAAAAAACAAAGCCTCCAGAGCATTATTTTTAGCACATCTTTAATGTATATCCAAGAAAGGGATATGTCATTTACCTTTTGGTCTACCACTTTCTTCTGTTGTATCCAAAGCCAACTGTTGTACTTTAACCTCTTTAAGACTGCTTCCTATATTTGACTTTGTATCACCAACATCTAGCACAGTACCTGCCATATAGTAGGCGCCTAATAAAGGCTTGTTGACAGAATGTCACAAAGCATTTTTAAAAAAAGTCCAATAACTTACACATTACAAGGGATTCTGATAAGCAGAGATAGCACTTGGTATAGCAGATAAAAGGCTGGCCTTGCAATCAATCAGAAGACCTAAGTTTAAATCCAACTTCTAACATACGTTGCGTAACTAAAAGCACATTTGACCTTTAAATATTCACAAGCAATTGTTATAAATGAGGTACAGACCTCCATAAGTAGGAGCTCCCCACACCAATAAAATCACAAATCTAGACTTAAAAATTTAACAAGCTAAAGTAAGTCTAGGAAGGGAGCAAGGAGAGTGAGAAGCATGTTATATGAGAAAGGATTAAAGGACTTACTGAAGTTTTGCATGGGGAGAGGACGACTTGGGAGGGACACAAACAGCCCTCTTCCAACATACAATCGGATATCATATGAAAGGGAAATTGAGTTTCTATTGTATGGCTTTAAAGGTGAAAAGAGGGCAGAAGGTAAGGAGAAGGTTGACTTCTTAACCACTAGTGCCGTCTGAAAATGAAACAAACTGTCCCGTTAGGCAGCGAACTCCTCATCAGTCAGAGCCCTAACATAGACGTTAGCTGATCAGCTACTGGACATTCTGTGGAGTGGATTCCTGTGCTGACCGTTCAGATAAACTCTAGAATCCCTAACAAGTTTTGGATTTTCTGATTCTATTACTAATCTGTATTAATTACTCAGTAATGAAGAAAATGATGAAGAATATACAGATAATTCCAGTATAGTTACTGCTAGGCACAAATGTCACAGTATATGACATAAACTATTAAGTCTTAAAGTCCTAAATCCAAAAGAATCAATTCATACAAGTCAAATACAACCTTTCAGATCTGTGTATGTTCAAGTGGTCTTAGCTCCTCTTAGAACCTCTTAGTTGGAATAAGGTAATCAACAAATATTTATTAAGTACCTAGTATGCACCAGGCACTACTAAGGATACAAGGAGGCAAAAGACAATCTCTGCCCTTAAGGAGCTCACAATCTAAAGGAGGAGACAACAAACAAACATATATAAACAAGCCACATAAAGGATAAATGGGAAATAATTAACAGAAGGAAGGCACTAGAACTAAGAGGGGTTGGGAAAGGCACTCATGAGTCACTGAACAAATGATGTTTGTTATGCCTCAACACAGCAAGGGCACATCAAGGTTACAAGAGCATTCAGCTTCTCTGGCCTTAGCCCTCCATCCAGAAGCAAGACTAGTCAATGTGTTATCAGGGGATGGTAACTCATGTGGTCTCAGTCACTCACCAAGTCTGAGAAGGTAGCCACCACATGGGACTGGGACTTTTTATGCTCCCAGACCAGAAGGGAAGCTGGGGCCAATCAGACTGCATGGGGCAAGAAACTGTGTCAGGGAAGTCAAGGAAGTTGAATAAGGAAAATGCTGAACCTATCACAGCATGGTGTCGCGATATGTGTTGAAAGACAAATATGTTCCTCATCAACGGGCAATTCCAAAATTGGAGCCATCGAGCAAAATGCCTCCCATTGACATTAAACCAACAGCAATCAGAAAAAGGCTATACTAACAGACTGCAAATTTATAAATATGAATTCAAAAATATGAGTAGAAACTATTGTAGGAGATTTTTAGCAGATAGTTGAGATTCAACCAGTGTTTACAACTTTCAATGGCACAGAAATAAAAGAAAACAAAGGCAAATTGTTACAAGTCTATTACCTTTGCAAGATAATATCTGTAAATTTTCCTTTTCTTCCCCAGGTCTTGCACTCTTGGAGATTTTATCATCTTTAGAAACGGGTATAGGAGCAAATCTTCGGGGTGCTGGGGTCTCAAGTGGAGATTTTTGATTGTCAAATCCCAAATCTTCAACTTGCCTTAAATATGCTTAAATGCAGAAGGAAGAGCAACCTTAGCAATAAAATACCTTTGCATTTTTAAGTTGTCCTAGTTTAAATATTTTTACAATGTAACCAAGATGTAAGTATGTAACCATTAAAACCAAAAGCAAAGCAAGCAGAACTGACTGAAGAGACAGTATGAAATAGTGAAAAGAACACCGCATTTTGAGTCAGAAGAACAAGATTCAAATTCTGCCACTATTGCTTATTACTTGTTTTGACTTTAGACAAGTCACTTGTGGGCAAGTAAACTCTCTGGGCATCTGCTTCCTCATCTGTACAATGCCTGGGTTATTGGTAGCATTAATAATAAAAATGAGGATAATGATAATAATAATAGCTAGCATTTATATAGTCCTTTAAGGTTTACAAACCACTTTACAGATATTTGATCTTTATAACAACCCCATGAGATAGGTTCTATTATCTTCATTTTACAGATAAGGAAACTAAGGGCTAAGTGACTTGTCCAAGGTCACATATCTAGTAAGTGTCTGACACAGGATTAGAACTCAGATCTTCCTGAACACTGAGAAGCTGAAGAGTATCCAGTGGAAGGCAACTGCGATAACAAAGAGCCTTTAGATCATGCCATACAAGAATTGCCTGAAGGAACTGGGGACGTTTAGACCATAGAAGAGAAAACTCAGGGGGACTTAACAGTTAGTGGTCTTCATGTATCTAAAGGGCAGACAGGTGAAAAAAAATCAGACTTGTTCCACTTCGTCCTAGAGGCTATAACCAAGAGTAATAAAAGGAAAATTAAAAAAAAAGTTCACAATCTACATAACACAAACTTTCTAAGCATTAAAAGCATCCAAAGTGAAACAGACTTTGAAGAAGCCTTAAAAAAAATGTTTTCCCCTTCCATAGAGCTCTTCAAGCCAAAGCTGAATGGCCACTGGTAAAGTACATTCCAGAGGGGATTCCTTTTTAAGTTTGAAAAGGGCTAGATGGCTTTTGAGGTACTGTCCAATTCTGAGATTATGTAATTTTGTTCACAAAATCCTTCTTGTTCTCCTTTTCTGTTTTCATCAAGAATACCCCTGATATGCACACAGATCACTCTCAAAGATTTTAAAGAGAAAAGAAAGGAGGCCTATACACATCAGTAGTTACTGCTATATTCTCAATTGCCTTTTTGTGATTTTTCTAAATCCTTTGGCATCTTCTATTCAACTGTTCTGAGAACCGATTTCTTGCTTTATTCTTATAATTAAATTTTTTTCAATTAACAAAAATCTATTTTCTCTCCCCTACTTCCCTCTCCCTCAACGAAAAAGAAACAAAACCCTCGTAACAAATATATGTAATTCAAGCAAAACACAATCCTATATTGGCTATGTCTAGAAAATATATACCTCATCTGCACCTCTTTGTCAGGAAATAGGGAGCATCGGGAGAATTCTAGCATCGTGGTTGGTTACTTGATGCTGCTAGAGTTCTTAAGTCTTTCAAAACTGACTTCACGATACTGTTGTATAATTGTTCTCTGCTTCCTCTCTAACCTGGATTTCTTCTATGTAAACCTAATCTGGCCCAGTTATTCTAGGCTCCTATCTTATTTTGCATTAGTACCTTTGTCATATCTTTATTTAGCATATTAGGGGGTCATGCTGAGAGTCCAAAACGAAGGTCATGCGTGATAACATATAGGCATAAAGCTACCGAGTAAGCAATCTGCAAGCTCTGGCCTATTTTATTGCTTAAACCCAAAATTTACTTTCCACTATTTTCTCTTGTACCCACCTTGCACTTAAGTCACTATCAATAATAAAATCAACTCCTTTGCCTGTACAAGGAGAACCTGTGAGCCACCTTCCCTTTAGCTATTTCTTTTATCTTCTAGTTTCATTTAGCCTAAGAATGCTAATATCAAGGTAGTGACAATAGTTTGTTGGGTCACTGTGGGTCACTCACTGGCCAAAGATCAAATCTTTAGAGTATCCAAAGTTAAGTTAATGATTATAGATAGTCTAAAAACTGAGGTTCCTGGCATTCCTTTCTGCTGTTCTATCAATGTCACTGCAGAAGTAGAAAGGGAACATACAAGAAGGAGGGTCATTTTAAATTTTATTCTGTCACATGGGATGTCACGGCCAAAGAATTCATCGACCAACCTACTGGTGATGAGCTTTCTCTTCATTGGTCTTTAAACAGCAAACTGGTTCTGTCACAGAGACAGATTTATCTGAAGTTGTTCTGGTATTATAAGGCCAGAGGTGTCATGAGGTCCAAATCAAACAGTAGATGTCTACAAAACACTTGGTAAGCCTTAAAGCGTTATCTAAATGTTGTTGTTGCTACTGTACAGCAGAGGTGTCAAACTTCCCAGCAGGCGACAAGATTCCTCAGTGGTTTGAGACAGATTAAAACGTAACTAGGAAATGGTTCAACAAAACAAATAAAAATACAGTAAAATATAATGTTGATTTGTGGTTTTTTAAGTCAATATGCCACCTGCTGGCAGGGATTCATTTTTAATCTAATTCTGACACCACTGCCCTAGACTTACCAGGCCTCCAGTCTGGTGATAACTTCATTCCCTGAGCTTTCTACTACAGTTGAGCTCAACCAGTTTTTATGGAGCAATACAAAGGAGTGCTGGTAAATACAGCCTGACCTTGGGCAGGAGGGGGTAGGGGGAAGTAGAGAGAAAGGGGAAAGTATGTATACACATACATTCTTAAGTTTAAGCTATATTACTGACAATTTCTTAAGTCTAGACAATCAACAAGAAAAATAAACCAAGCCTCAATTTCTGCTATAGCTGGCTCCGGCACACTCCTGGGTAGACCCTTTCAGAGTTTAAGCTCTACTGGCACAGACTTTGAAAATCCAGGCTCACCTCTCACAATGAGGCATCAAAGAGGAACTTTATGGAGCCATAAATACCATCGATGGACAGATTGTTGCACTAGTACTTACAAAAGGTAAAAAAGACCTAGATGAAAGTATCTAGCTGACTGCACAGATCCCCTGTGGAAGATTTCTGTGAGGACATGCACGTAAGCCACAAAGGATAAGAGGGTATATATAACCTGTGATCTGCATTAATAATAGCAATACCAATAATCAGCTTATACGATTCACTGAAGTATCAGTTTTAATTGCACAAACTGGGACTTACACACTCTATTTTGACCAAAGAGGTATTAACAGCTCCTTTAGAGTAAAATTATTTCATTCTTTGTACCTCTGTCTCCAAAACACTAACACAATGTCCGACAACAGATACTTGCTAATGCACACAAAAGATAAGAAAACTAATTTCATGAAACATCAAAAAAGTAATATAGGTTAATTAACACAATATTGTAGTCACTTGCTACTCATTTGTATAGAAAAATAGGTCAAAAAAACAGGAAAAAAGCAAGAAAATTAATTTAATGAAAATAACATTCATCAAGATTGAGAACTGAATCAGTATCAGACATGACTCACTGAATTTAACACTATTTACCTTGACTAGGAAGCTCTGTGTGTCTGTGATGTGAAGAATGGTTACTGGTAACAGGACGTTGAAGTTCTGATTTTACAAATGATTTTTCTACTAGATTGGAAGGTGGCCCATTGACAGGCTGGAATCTGCCAGTGTTGAATGCAGAGGTAATTAAATGGTTCTAGAAGACAAAATTGTTTTATGACTTTCTTTTTTAAAATGCATTTTTTTGGGGGGAGATTAATTCTGTCTTGAGACTACAGATGCTTCCTAACTTAAACCAAACAAAACCCTCTAGAAAGTACATTCCTCAAAAATGGTTAAACAAAGAACAGTGTGATGCCAAACACCGCCCAATTACATTTTAATGTCTTAGCACTGAAGCACGAGCTGGACACCTGCTGTACTGACTCTGACCTAGAATGAGGAATGGTAGCTGTGCCCCAAGCATCCTCCTCTACAATATGGCCTCAATGTTCCTGGTAAGGCTCCTGTTCATCCATACTTCTCTGCATCAGAAGACCCACTATAAGCAACAAACCTTTGGCCTCACTCGCTACATATACCCAGTCACTGAGATTTAAGTCTCAGTCCTTTCCAAAAGAAAAGGCCAGACCTGGATTTTGTGGTCTCTGCTGCGATTCTTATCCAGGGTATCACTTCAAGAGACTCCTCCCTTGCTTATTATCTTTTCTGGCTGCCTTTGTCTTTGCTTTGCTTTTACCTATACTAAACTGCACTTCCAGCACTGCCCAAGCTAACCTTCTGGCAACAGATGCTGAGTTATCTAGTAATGGCTAGTGATGAAAAGATCCTAGAAGGATCTTTTGCTACCAAGAGGCGGGATCTTCTGGAGCAACATTTAATCCACACAGGCTGGGCTTTTTTTTTCTGAAAAGGCAATAAAATTTACTTGGTCCAAGCCACTGACATAGCTACCTGACTACACAAGGACAAAAGTGCAGCACAGGAATCAGCTCATTCCTCAGCCATGATACATGCAACCATGAAAAAAGTAGAGGCAAGGAAGCTTTGCCCAACTAAACCAATACCAAATCCCTGCTGGACAGCCTTTCCATGATATTGTCAACATACTTTTTTTTTGGATGTGAGATGGTTTAAGTGGCCCATTTCACTCTGATCTGAACCTGCACTATCTGATCGAGCCTGATACCTATCTGACCCAGAGCAATCTCTATGCCTTAAGAGTATACAGATAACTGCTACACACCATAACTTTAATAAGGACCTTGTTAGTACTATGATAAGATTTTAAAGCTAGAAAACAATTTCTACGCACTATAAAATCCTAGTGTCAGCTGCTGAGCAGTCTTGTTACAAATGGGAGATTTAGCTCAGATTCTCATGGTCAGACAGGCAAATGTAGGCTAAAACAGAATTTCCATCAAAAATTCCGTTTGATATTCTCTATATGCAGGATCTAGAGCAGCATGTAGACAAACATACAATCAATCAATCAACAAGAATTTATTACCTGTCTGCTATGTGCTAAATAAATACTCTGCTAAGCAATGGATATATGAGGACAAAACTGAAGTCCCTGCCCTTACAGAGATTCTAATCTATCAAAGGAGATAATATGTACACACACAAATACATACAAAATAAACACAAGGTAATTTTGAGAAGGGAGGAAGGGAGGCGCTAGCAGAAAAAGCTTCATGTAAAAATAAGAAAAAACAAAGACACAGCACATGGGTTCACGACTACCAAAGGGTGTAGTAGTCAGGTACCACCAAAAACAGATGAGTGAGACAACGTAAACAGTGTGAGATCTCTCAGATGGACTGAGTGTAGCAATTTTGTAGACTGTTACAAACTCAAGGTTGATTGCACTAGCCTGAATAGGCCTAAGTTTCAGGTTCCTAGAAAACACATGATTTGTACTGTTACATCAGCATTAGGTAATGGCTAATGCTAAAAAAGGATAAAATAGCTAGGATTGGTAGTATTATAATGAGATTCCTTGTTTCTGGGGTAGATTTTCGCGTTTTAGATTGTAAGGCTGAAATTCCTGTCCAATGGGAATTCAATGACAGTGGTGGGTGGGTGTCTCTGTGTTAGGACTATATAACCTTTGTTCTGGCCTTTGTGCCTCACCTCGCTTCGCTCGGACTGCCTGACGAAGCAGACGCCTGCTTCTCGCGAGAACGTAATAAATCTTTCACTTTATACCTAGAAAATCTCTGAGTGTTATTTTTGGGTAGCTATAGCACACCGTATTTGGTGCACTGGCTGGGAAAACGTGACCAGGTGGAAGGACGGAGTCCTGGGCTCTTGGGAAGGCGCGCCCTGCCTTGATTTCAGGCCACCCATGCAACTTAGGATTTCTTCCCCTTCCACCAGGTGAAGTGACCCGAAGTAGAGAGACTCGGTGCATAGTGGAAGTAAAGGAGAGACCTCTGCGGCAAATCCCGACGGTCGTGTGGACAGAGCAGTCACGTAACTTGAGAAATAATGGAGAAGTAAGCTGAGATTTCTGAAAATAAGCCACTATGCCCTTAGTTCTTTTTCTGTCATGTATTTACTGCCATTTGTTCACTTTATGTTTTTTCTACATACTTACCTACGTACCTGTATGGAAGTTCCTTGAGAGTAAGAACTCTTTCATTCTTTGTATTTTGTAGCACCTAGCACAATATCTGGCACATCACAGACACTTAATAAATGCTTCTTGATGGGCTGATTTCTAACTCTTCCTTCTCAATATTCCTCCTCATGATCCGCCTCTGCCTCCCTGGTGTGGTTACTACCCAAGGGTTTGACCTCTTCTGAGTCTACAACCTATCCCTTAAAGATCCCATCAGTTCCCACAGGTTAAGTATCACCTGCATCTATTCACATGTTACTGAAATCCTTGCCTAGTGTTTCTCTTGAATTTCAGGTACAAATCATCATTTGCCTTCTGAATATTCCACAACTATCTCAAACGCAACAAGTTTAAAAACAGAACTTCTCCCCTAAATAACTTCTCTATTTCTGTTGCTGGCATCATCATTTGTAATATTAGACTCATCTTTAACTCTTCCTTCTACATTACTCTCTCCTATTATTCGTAAACTTCTATCCATTCTACTATCACAACATCTCACATCCATTCCCTTTTTTTCCACTCTCATGAACATGAGTACCTCATTCAGGCATTCACTATTCCTCACCTTGATTATAATAACAGCTTAATTGGTCTCCCTGCTTGCAGTTTCTTGCCTCTTCATTCACCCTCCATACAGCTGCCAAAATAGTCTTCCTGAGACACAGCTCTGACCATTTGATTCCTCTGCTCAAAAACCTTCATTGGGTCCCCATTGCCTACAGAATGAAATACAAATTCCCCAGGCTGGTATTTACCACCTACACAATCTGGTTCCCACCTGCCTTATTTTATACTATTTCCCTTCATGAATTCTACAACCCAGTCAAATTCATTAGTAGCTTTTCTGGAACTTGACACTCCATTTCCCACCCCTAACACTGGTCCAGAGAAATGTACAAGCCTGGGATGCACTCTATACTCATCTCTGCTTCTCAAAATCTTTGTCTTCCTGAAAGGCTTAGCTTAGGTGCCACCTCCTTTATAAGGCATTTCCTGGTGCTGCCAGGTATTAGTGTTTTCTCTCTTCTCAATTTTCTTTTTACTGTACTTACCCGTGTCCATTTTGCATCCTCCCTCTACCACCATCCCCTCCCCACCCCAAAAAAAAATCTCCTTAAGACGAGGTACTGCTTTGTTTTTGTCTATATCCTCAGCACACAGCACAATGGCTATACTTAATAAGTACTTTACAAACACTTCTGGAATTAAATTTAATCTTGTAAGGTACACATTTAAAAAATACTTAGTATCATCATAACCCCTACAAGAAAGGCAAAACAACCTGCAACTATTTGGAAAAAATATGTCAGGGTCTATAAAAAGGTTAACAAAAATTACTTAAATTTTTGCCAGTGATGGCCACCTTTTGCCTTGTAAACTCAAAAGAGATTCTCAGATTTTTTATATATTAATTTTTTGCACATTAGTAGACATTAACTAGGACTTTAAACTAGTTATAGGTAATACTTCATTAAAGATTTTAATAATGGTTATTTATCAGTTTAAGATAATAAAGTAATAAGAAATATAGAAATATAATCTAGTTTGAATTAAGATACCTGAATATCTAATTGTTGTTGTTGTATTTTTTCCAGATGCCTAAGGTGTTGCCCTATAAACATGTCAAACTGCTTCTCACGGTCTTGGCAACAAGATCTCTCAGGCTGAATTTTAATGTTTTTCTGCTGCTCTGTAACACGTTGCAATTGTTTATCTGTCTCCTGGAGTTTACTGAGTAATTCCGATACAGAATTAACTTTTGCTTCCAAATCACTCTGTACCTAAAACAAGAAAAACATAGCAAAACCAGAATTTCTTATATTAATATTAATTACCAGATCACCATTTATCAACAACATATCAAATACAAATATCTGCATATGTTTTACATATATTTAGTCATGTCTCTCCCTACATAGAACTAAAGCTCTCTGAGGACAAGAGTTGTACCCAGAACAAAGGAGGTATTATCAACCAACAAGTATTTATTAAACAGCCACTATGTGATGTGCACCATGCTAGGCTACTCAAAATGGACTTACATTCTAAGGTTAGAGACAAATACGTATTCTGAGTAGCCTAGTGTTAAAAGTAAGTTTATATATATATATGTATATACACATACATATTTTTTTGGCTAGGCAATGGGGTTAAGCGACTTGCCCATGGTCACACAGCTAGTAAGTGTTATGTGCCTGATGCCGGATTTGAACTCAGGTCCTCCTGAATCCAGGGCCGTGCTCTATCCACTGTACCACCTAGCTGCCCCTAAAAGTAAGTTTATATTAAGTATAAGGGTAAAGCAAGTACGTTCTTCCCACTTTTCTGCCATTACGTAGTACAAGAAACGCTAGTTAGAAAAATAAGATACCAAGAAACCAAAGACATAAACACCAGCAGAGAAAAAAATGAGAAAAGGATATATAAGAGACCTTTCTTGATCTTCCTAGCTACAGAGAAAAAGAAAAGATGTGTAGTCTTCCTTAACAGAACATAGGCTTCTGGAAAGCATGGATTATTTCTGTTTTCTCTTTGTATTTGAGCTTAAATGGTTATTGATTGATTTAAAGAGTACTATGAAAAGGTCAAACTAACTAATGAAAAATTCTACTAATTTAAGATCATACCATGAAAAAGAGGAAGTATAACACCAAAAAGAGAACAGTCATAAGCAAAACAAACTTCCTGATCCTGAAGGGGGAAAAAAAGAAAAGCCAAGAACTGAAATCTAAGAGGATGCCTATCAATTGAGGAACGGCTGAACAAATCGTGGTATACTGATAAAATGAAATATTACTGGGCAGTAAAAAATCGTGAAAGATGTTTTCAAAGACTCTTAAGTTATATGAATGGATGCAGAGTAAGTGAAAAGAAGCAAGAGAATAATTTATACCTGAATGACCCAACGTAAGAACAAACAACTCTGAAAAACTTCTGCAAAACCCAACGAGCAATCTTGTCTCCAAAGGACTTAAATCTGATGTCGTCCCTACCTCTTGATAGAGAGGGGATGAATTCAAGGCACAGAGACATACATTGTTGACGTGGGGCACTATGTGGACGTGGCTGTTTTTGTTGGATTTTTTTTTACTATGCTTATGTGTTAAGACGGTTTTTCTTCCTTTCCTTCCTTGTCTTTAATTGGGGGCAAAGCAAAGGAAGGGAGAGGGAGCATTAGCAATAGAAATGTAAAAAATAAAGAAAAAAAAGTTTGTGAAACATTTTTAAAATGCAGAGAAGAGAAAAGATGGGCATTCTGAAGAAAGTACATACAAGGCAGGACAGTTTTGAAATTAACATGTTTACATACTTTTTAAAAAAGTAAATGATATGAAATGAAAACTCATAGTTTCATAATACTTTTTGGAGTTCTGCTGTGTATATGTAAATGTTCATTTTTCATGGTGTTTAAGTTCAGAATAAAACTAAATTTTTAAAAATTAGAGAATAAATAAAAATATTTAGAGTAGCTAAGAAGCAAAAAGCAAATGGCAATGAAGAATGACTGCATTTGATCTCACCATCACCATGAGGTAGGTAGGCAATCCATACCACCACTGGCAAGCAAGAAATAGCAAACAGGCAACTTTTCCCTCTAGAATAACAAGAAATCTCCAAGGCCTAGCCTAGGTCAGGAGTAGGACGCAGCCATCTGTTGTATAAGTTTTGAGAAATATGCTTTAAATCTATAGTAATTATAAATTACTATATTATTATAAATTACAAATACTACATAATTACAAATGATAAGTATATAATTGTAGATTATAAATCTATAGTAATTATAAATCTGCTGAAGAAGCCTACTTTTATCAGTGGAGCTGCTGTTGCAATGGCAGCAGCCGTTGCTGCGGCCACAGTTGAAGCAGAATCGATTCCACTGGATGGCGATTTCATCTCCACAGAAACAGGGTCTTTTACTGTACATGCATCTTCTAAAAGCTGCACTTTCACTTCTTTAAAAGTAGGTGAGTGTTGGACTCTGTAAATAAAACAACCCCCAAAAAGTTAAATGAGAAACATCAAGAATATTTCAATAAATATCTTTTAATTTTTTTTATTCAATCTGCCTGTTTACTCCTTATGCACACTCTTCTCTACTGGGCATCACTGCCAAAATTATTCAATCAACAATTTCTTTATTAAAATAAGAACTCATTGTGTGTAAGACACAACTTCTAGACACTATAAAAAGACACAAAAGAAAGAAAAATCATTCTCTCTGTCCTCAAGGAACTTAATATCTAAGGAAACAGGACTTTCATATATAAAAGATTTAAAGTTAGAAAGAAACATATATAAACAAGTACAGACACATAACAAGTTAAGTGGCACTCGAGAGCTAAATAATTCGGATTTTTTCCCCCTTAAGGGTCTAAGTTCCCAAAAACTTATCAAATAAAACAAAACAGTTTTCACATTCAAAAGCTACCTGTTTATATCATTTAACCCCCCTACCCAAAAGCTACATACTAAACACAGCAAGTGTTTCTTACCATGCTCATATCTCCCTTAATGTTTCTCCCGTCATTTGCCATGCCTTCCTCATTCCTCTCCAGACACATCCATATTTAACCCAAATTTTCTCTTCCATGAAGCTTTCTAAGGAATCTGCTCTAAGATGTTATAGCTTTCTCAGAGGACAGTAGAAAACTGCTCCCTTAGCCCTTTCCTATACTCGAAAGGAAAATAGGCAATCTGACTTAATACAGCTGAACCAACTAGAACCCAAAACATCACTCCAAAGCTCTGATTCCCCAAAGGGACCTAATGCCACCATCTCATCATAATTCTCTACCATTCCCATTTTCCTTACACCCCTAATCCTGTTCTTTGTCCTCACCATGATCTCCAATCACTACCCCTGCACTGGCTATCCTCTCCTCCCTCACCTACCTCAACCATTCGGTGAATCAGTTCAACTCTACACTATCCTCCACACTCCAATTCCTCGCCCCTATCCTATCACCTAACATGTCTTGCCAAACCCTAACCTTGGATTATTTCCACCAGCCACTTCCTTCATACATATCTACTTTCTGCTGAGCAAAGCTGGAGGAAATCACAAAACTGCACTGACCAGGTCCATCACAAATTTATATTTACCTAATCTCAACTGGGCCATCACTACAGGAAGACATCCCCAAACAATATGCTGTCCCACTCACCACAGTGGTTGTTCCAAACATTCTTATCTCTCCTCATTTCCATGGCACTCCTGACCTCCACATTGCCAGCTAAGCACCTTTCCTCATTCTTCACCAAAAAAAAATTGAAGCAATTTCACTGAGAGCTACCTTTTCTCTCCTCCTCATTTCACATCAGTCAAACATCTTCCTTTTCTCATATGAAAAGGGGGCCCTTCTCCTTACAACCATCCTTTCTAGCAGACTGGCTCTTCTTTTGTTCCTTCTCTCTCTAATCATCAATCTGTACTACCGGCTCATTTTTACTGCCTACAGATATGCCCACATCAGCTCCATCCTTTAAAAAAATCCTCACTCAATGCAATCATGCCTGTTCAGCTACCATCCTATAACCTTCCTCCTTTTCTTGGTTAAATTCCTTGAGAAAGGTTATACTAGGCCTATACACTTTCTCTCCTTTCATTTGCTTCAAAAACCTCCATGTACTTTAAAATCTAGGTACACCGGCCTCCTTGCTCTTCTTCAAACACTACACTCCATTCTCTATCTCTGTGCCCCTGCCGCACTAGCTATGAGAGAATGGGAGGTGCGGATCAGGGACAGTTCTTGCCCTATGCGTTATGTTAAGTAGTCAGTGGCCACAGAAGGGGAAAAAAACATTCTCTTGGCAACCTGTTTTCCTTTGATTCCCCCAAATTGCCTCTACTCCAAGCACATCCAATTTACAGTATATATATATATATATATATATATATATATATCTTTTACGTACAACATTATTTGCATCATTATTTGCATGTTATCTCCTGCATTAGAATGTCAGGTGCTTTGGCTTTGGAGTCAGGAGGACCTGAGTTCAAATCCAGCCTCAGACACTTGACATTTACTAGCTGTGTGACCCTGAGCAAGTCACTTAACCCTGACTGCCTCACCAAAAAAAAGCAAAAGAAAAAAAAGAGAGAAAAAAATGTTACGTAGCTCCTTGAGGACAAGGACCATGTTTTTTTTTCCTTTCTACGCAATTTACTACAGTGACTAATAAGTATTTAAAAAATGCTTATTGACTGACTGCTACTCAATCCCTTTTTTCCTTTTTTGTCCTTGACTATCTCAGGAAAACCATGCTCATGCTTTAAAGTAGTAAAGATCAAGGAAAAAGAATATTTATGGAAATAACAATAGTAAGGTACAAGTAATTAAAAGAACATCTAAAACAATTATACTCAGTACAGACTAGATGGCTCCTGAAACTGGGAAAACTGCTTGAATTTCCCAGTCTTCAATTTCTTCATCTTTAAAATGAGGCCATTTACCTAGATGAATTTGATGGTCCTTCTACCTCTAAATTCTATGATCCTTCTTAGTTAACTTTCTCCAATGCAGTTCAGCCCACCATGATTTCTCTTCTCTGACCACCCTGCCGCTGCCCCAGCCCTTCAGCGTATCTTGGTCCCATATGATCACAAAAGAAAATGCTATCTTTTTCCAAAAAAACTTCAAAATGGCCTAGCTCCAACTGAAATTCATTCAAACAAGCTGAAATCCCAGGTTTTTAGCTCATTGGTAGCTTCCTGGTTAGGAGAATTATTTTGGTACTCATCTTTCCATTTAACCACCAAGTAACCAACATGTCCTCTCTAAAGGGAGTGCGCGAAATCACTCAACTACTACATGACAACATTATAGGAACCGATGGCAAGATCCCTAAGATAGAAGAAAACACATTTCCCTCTCATCCACACCCCTCAACACTTCCTTGAATTCCTTTTTCATTTAATTTCACTTATTACCTCTAAGAAGCACTAATTATACATCAGTATGTCAAGAACATGTGGTTTTGTCAGTATGCAAATTCCTGAGTGAACTCCCCATTAGACACAGAAAGCAGGTCATATATGTTATAGTTTTGGAGAGGTGACTGTGAATAAGAGAAATTAAATAACTCGCTTGTGGCCGCAGAGCTAAATATAAAAGGCAGAATTTGAGTCGAGGTCTCCCTATCCATTGTACCATACCGTCTCCATTAAGATATGACCTTATCATCAAACTGTCTTTATGTCACAGTTTGGTATTTATTACATGAATGCAAAATCCTTTTATATTTAATACTGTCTTATTCACTTGTTGTCTTACATGTATAGGTCTTTCTCCCCAAATAGATTTGAAGCTCCTTAAAGTGTTGGACAACGGCAGCTGGGTGGCGCACTGGATAAGCTCTGGCCTTTGACTCAGGAGGACCTGAGTTCAAATCCGGCCTCAGACACACAACACTCACTAGCTGTGACTCTGGGCAAGTCACTTAACCCCAACTGCCTCACCAAAAAGCAATAACAACAACAACAATAAAGTGATGGACCATATTTTATACCTCTTTTGTATCACACGATGCTAGGCACACAGCAGATGCTTGTGATATCAATTAAATATACTGTCAGCACATTACTGGAAGAGGCAATTTAGCTAAGAATAAAATGAAACTGAACACTGCATAATTATATACTGAACAAGCTTGGCCTCGAGGAAAAAAATTCAAAAATATACCTCTCCTTATTTCACTCGAAAAGAGAGGAACTATGGGTGAGAAATTTCATGTAAGTTGTCAGTGAAGTGTCAGATGGCGTTGCTGAAATTTTTTTTAATGTTTGGTAAAGGGAAAGCTTGCTAGTGGGAAGGGGGAAGGATATTTTCTGAAAAGAACATATTGCAAAAAACAAAATGCAATAACAACATTTTTAAAATAAAATGGCCAATACCTTTTTTAAAAAGGATATCGGATTTCTCTCTCTTTTTTGGGCACACTGAGTCTGAAAAAGCCAGCCAATGGGCAGAGAGGATTCTCTAAACCTGACTATTTTCTTTTAAAGGCAAATTAGATGAAGTATAAAGGGCAATTTCTGTCAATGTCTAAAGCATAATTGAAAAACTATTACTTTGGGACGGAAGCAGGGAAAACAAAAGGCAGTGCAAATTTAATTTCTCAATTCAAACTTACTTTTGCTTTAAAACAGCTCTTAGAACATCTTTCTGGCCAACAGTATACTGAGAAATAAAGATATCATTTGCTGCAAAACAAAAAATAAATATTTCAGAAACATTAAAGATTTCAAAGTATCCGCTCAAAGCATAAATTTCTCTTCCTAAATAATACTTCAATATATACTGAAGGACTCAGCAATATGGATTCTTCATACACAATGGCCAGCAACCAAATCACATCAGTAAAACACTTAATAACCATAACCAATTTTTTTTAACCAGACCTGTTAACTTCTTGTGAGGAAGATCTGAAATTTAGTTTTCTAGTGTAGTCTGGGGCAGAGAGAAGTTAAGTGACTTGCCTAAAGTCACAAAGCCAGTAACAAAGCCAGATTAGAACCCAACTCTTCTTGGCTTTGAGGCCAGGTAATTAAAAAAGATACTCCATCTCACAACTATAACCACACAGGGGAAAATTATATCAAGAGCAGATCCTGGAACCAATCCAGCAAAGGCAAATTGCCCAAATCCAGTAAAGTTCATCAAAGAAGCTGAACAACCATAGGCAAATAAATCCTTTTGTCCATCTCAGTATCCCTTTTTTTTTTGCTTAAAGTGCAAGAACTGGCAGGTTTCAGAGAATGCAACAGTTCTGCAGACTGACAAAAGACACATACAACAATGTGACCTAGTAAAATCTTAGGAACTTTAGAATAAGAATTTTTTGTTCATTCCCAAAAAGAGAGGAGTGGCCAGCTCCCTAAACTCCTCTTGGAAAAAAAAAAAGGAAGGAGTCTGTCAACTCTTCCATTGATGGATAAACTTAAGAGGGCTTCCCTGTTTGGATATATATGAGCCAGGGGCATCGAGGTATCACAGTGGATGGAACACTGTCCCTGGAGTCGGGAGGACCTGAGTCATATTCAGCCTCAGACTTGCTGTGTGACCTTGGGCAAGTCACTGGGTCTCAACTGCCTCAAAAAAAAAAAGGATTTATATGAACTCAGACTTCAACAAGTAGGTTGGAAGTCCAATTTCAATATTAAGTATTTGCAAACCGTCTGACAAGTAAAAGAAATAATACCTCAGGATTCAAGAAGGGGCAATTTAAAATAGTCTATTACCATACGCTTCTATCAATAGTCTCCTCTCCAATTTGTGCTCTCTTTGCTTCATGAGGAAACTAAAATCCTAGTATTTACTTATTAAAACTATTTTGCTTATTTGAAGAGGCCTAAAGTAGGTTTCAAATTAGAAAACATGAAATCTGACTGTTTTTTTAAAAGACCATCTATAAAAAGGAAACCAGCAAAATTAGAACTTCAATTCATATTCCTAGCATTAATGGCGAGATTTTCTTTTACTATAAATTCTCAAGTAGGTCTTTAAATTTCTAAATAGGGGCAGCTAGGTGTATCAGTGGATAGAGCACCAGCCCTGGAGTCAGGAGGACCTGAGTTCAAATCCAGTCTCAGACACATAACACTCACCAGCTGTGTGACTCTGGGCAAGTCATTTAACCCCAATTGTCTCACCAAAGAAAAAAATTTCTAAATGAATGTATTAATTACTTTTGACGTCAACGGACCTCAGAGGTCATTTAGTACAACTCCCTGGATTTTAGAAATGAGGAAACTGTAGCCAAGAGAGGGTGTGTGACTTGCCCAATGCCACACAGGCAATTGAAGCGGCAGAGTCCAGGGCTGGCTGTGACTACAACTTTAGTGCTTGCTCTACTGCACCGTACTGCCTCTCGCAAATGCTCGATTTCGCCTTGGAAACACATTTATAATCTACATGCGAGCAAGTCCTATTCAGCAGCTGAGTTCAAGCCACAAGGCCAGCCACCCGCCTCTAAGGCTGGTTTTGAATAACAAACCCTATAAATAAGACATGACACAGCAATCTTCTTACTTCTGCTTATGGTTCAATTTGAACAAGAACACAGAAAACTCAAAAATGATTTTAGCACATCTTTGAATATGTCCAGGAAAGGGGTTTGTCCATTTACCTTTTGCTCTATTACTTTCATCTGCATTATCCAAAGGAACCCCTTGGACTGCAATAGCATTAGGGTTATCCTTGAAGGCAGAAAAGAAAAACCAAAACCATTAAACAAGATAATTTTGATGATGTTTCTTTGGTAAGTACTATGCTCACCATTTTGTGTCAGATGGGGAGGGGGAAAGGGAGAGGAGATTACGCAAGCAAATTGCTCCCACGTGCTCACTGCTAACAATGAGCTGATGATCTTCGCATTCTTCATGCTTTCAAGACCATTCTGACCTCTCAAATTCATTCAATAATTTCCTCATTTTATTAAAGTTCTTTGTGTATGACTCACTTGCCTACTACTTTGCACAGGGATGTCTCTTTGTTTCTGTACAGCCTGACACATTCTTCATAACAACAACAAATCTTTATTAGGGTTTATAAGGCACTTTCTATATAACAATTCTACAAAATAGATAGTATGAGAATCCCCATTTTGCAGATGAAGAAACTGAGGTGCAAAGATGGTAAATGACTTCCCAGAGTCACACACCTGGGAAGTACCAGAGCCACAATTCAAACACAGTCTGATTCCAAGTCCAAAGTCTTAGAGGCCACTGGGGGCACAACAGACAGAGCACCAGGCCTGGAGTCAGGAAGACCCACAACAAATCTGGTCTCAGACAATTACCGTGTGATCCTGGAGCAAGTCACTTACCTCCTGTCTACTTCAGTTTCTTCAACTGTAAAATAAGGATAATAATAACACTACCTACCTTTGAGAGGAGCAAATGAGATAATGTTTGTAAAGTGCTTAGCAGAGTGCCTGGCACATGGATGCACAATAAATGCTTTTCCCTTCCTTCTTTTCCTTTTTCAAGTTTAACTAAAAGAGAAAATAAAGGCCGATACTAAAGTAGAAGACCAGACAGGAAGGCAGCATCAAGAATTGCTATGAAGTCTTGGCAACTGTTTGGATATGAAAGGGAGAGGAGGGGACAGGGAAAAGCAAGAGGTGACAATCATTCACTCTAGTCTGCATCAATTAACAATCATTTATTAAGTTCCAACTATGTTCTACGCACTACAAGTTACTGGCATAACGGTAATGATTAAACACACAGTAGCTGATAAGATGTGAGAGAGTATTTTTAAGGAGACGAGGACCCAGGACACAGCCATAATTAAACGACATGATATGGATGATAAATCAGCAAAGGAGAAAAAAAAGAACCGTCACAGAGGTAGGAGAGAGTACTGTCATGAAAAGTTACCAGTGATCTCTTAACTGCCAAACTAATGACATTTTTTCAATCCTCATCCTTCTTGACCTTTCTGTAGTCTTTCACAATGTCAATCACCCTCTTCTTCTCAATACTCTCTTCTCTCCAAGTTTCATGACGCTGAACTCTATCTGACCACTCCTCCTTTCCATCTGACCACTCCTCCTCATTCTCCTCTGCTGGATCTTCATCCAAGGTGCACACTAACCATGGGTGTTCCCCAAGATTCTATCCAAGATCCTCTTCTCTTCTCCCTCTATCCCATTTCATGTGGTGATCTCATTAGCCAGAGTTTAATTATCATCTCTATGTAGATAATTCTCAGATCTATTTGTTCAATCCTAACCTCTCTCCCCACCTTCAGTCTCACATCTCAAACTGCCTAAGACATAATAAAGCAGGCATCCCATGGGCATCTTAAATTCAACATGTCTAAAACTGAACTCATTTCCAAAAAAAAAAAAAATTCCCTTCTTCCTAACTCTCTTATTACTATTGAAGGCAGCACAATTCTCAGTCACTCAGGCTCACAACTTAAGTGTCTAGGTGTCATCTACAACTCCTCACTTTCTCCCCCCACCCATCATATTCAATCTGTTGTCAAGTTTTATAATTTCTACCTTCATAACATCTCATACATACACACACACACACGCACGCGAGCACGTGTGCAAGCTCCCTTCTCTCCTCTGAGATTGCCACCACTCTGGTGAAAGCCCTCATTACCTCAGGCCTCGCCTACTGCAACAGCCTTCTGGATGGCCTCCCTGCCTCAAATCTCTCTCCACTCTAGTCCATCCTCTCCACTCAGCTTCTAAAGTGATTTTCCTAAAATGTAGGTCTGACCATGCTTCTCTCCAATTCAATAAACTCAAGTAGCTCCCCTTTACCAACAACATCAAACAAAATAATCCTGTTTAACATTTAAAAGCCACTCATAATATGGCCGCTTCAACAAGCACATTAATGACGAATCAACTGCCCTAAGCTCCCAGGGATTCCTTAGGCTTCTTAAATTCAACCTGCTCTCTCACTTTACTTCAACCACACTTGGGGATAGTCCTTTAAAGGGCAGAAATTGGGAAGAAGAAGACGACAGTGAACTAGGTGCAGAACTCTGAGAAGAGAGGAAAAATAGAATCAATGAAGTGGTTTTTTTTACCAAGTACACAGAATAGAAGTTCAGAGGGAAACACAAACACAGACAATACATGCTAATATATTTTTTTAAAGAGCTGTAGACAATAGAGACTTCTGGTTTCATGTAAAATCCTCTTTTTCAGTTCTTCATTGTATATGGACATTTTTATATTTGCTGTTGTCTGTCAAGTTCAGAATAAAAAATAAAAAATTTATTAAAAAAAAAAAGCAGAGCTCATTTATAACTTCGAAGACAGTAGTTTCAGATCAATGGTGAAATGAGAAGCCAGACTGCAAGAGATTAATAAGTAAAAGGAAGAAGATAAAATAAAAATAAACTCCTTTTCCTAGGAGTTTTGGTTGTGAAAGGAAGGTATATAGGATGCTAACTTGAAAAGATGGTAGAGTCAAGTGAAAGGTTTATTTTTTTTTGTTCTGCTTTATTTTAAAGGATAGGGAGATACAGGCATGTTTGTAAGCAACAAAGAAAGAGATACTGAGAGACCAAAGAGTATAGGGGGAAAAAGGGGGGGGAAGAAAGAGTAATCTGGGAACCAGTACCCAACATCCATCATAGTGTGAATAAGGTAGAAAATTTTGAAACCACAAACTTCAAAGAAAAACAGGTTGCCAAGAGAATGTTATTTTTCTCCTCTGTGGCCACTGACTACTTAATATGGGCATAGGTAAAGAACTATCCCTGATCCCCGCCTCTCATTCTCTCATCCCTATTCCAACAATCCTACCCTAACTCACGGCCTATTCCAACCTTTTCCAACCTTTCTACTGTGCTATCTGAAATTCCTGTTGCCTAATGAACAAAACCTCCTTTCATCCTGAACTTTTTTCTCTCTCACACTCCTACATATTAGTCTTCCCTCTGTGACACTTTGCCTTTTCCCATATCCTGAGGGCGGTATGTTGTGCAGGCCTGCATTAGTCCTAGAGGCAGAGAAGGCATATTGCTTGCTAACCACTACTACTTCCTGATCTTTACCTCCAATTACTCAGCAACCTCTCCTCCTGGGAAGGAAAGAAGGAAAGGAGGAAGGAAGGAACAAAAGAACAAACAGAGCGAGAGGAAAAAAGGGAGGGAGAGATGGAGGTAGGGAGAGGAGATCAAGTGCCTATGTGTATATTTGTATGTGTAACCATTTATTATATATTCAACAATGTTTTTCAAGGTACAACATTTAAAAAGCACATGTTAATGAGGTGGGCAGGGAAGAGACATCTATGCTTAGCTGTCAAAAGAACTGCATAGACCAACATGTAAATATATCAAAATTGTACATAAAAAAAAATAAAATTTATTCCTTTTGGAAGGAAAAAAGGATGCAAGGGAGGGATGGAGGAAAGAAGGAAGAAAAAAAGGAGCATCAGTGAAATATTATCAAAATATACAGAAGAGAGCAAAAGGAAGTTCAGAATGGGACACAAACAGGGCAGTTCCATCATTATGTTAAATGAAAGTAACAGAGTCATAGTTTTACATATAATCCTTTTTCTTTGTATTGCTAAATACTAAAATATTCATATGTGCTGTTTATTAGGTTCATAATAAAAAGTAAAAACTTTTTTTAAGAGAGAAAAAAAGACTTGAGGGGTGAAAGGTAGCAGGAGACAGGAAAGCTGTCCTCAAGTACCTAAAGGTCTATCATGTAGAAGTGGAATGTTCTGCCTGGCCACAGAAGGAAGAACTAAAAGCAGTAAGTTAAAGTTGAGATGATAAATTTAGGCTGGATGTAAGGAAAATTTTCTTAATAATCAGCTATCCTCAATCAGAATAGGCTGTATTGGGAGGTAGTAGGTCCCCCCTCATTAGGGATCTTTAAGCAAAGGCTGGGAAGGGAGATGTAGAGAGGATTTCTTATTTCAAAAATGGGCTGGACCAGATCCTGAACTGTCTTTAAATTCTGTAATTTCTTTATATGGGTTTTAGTCTCATTTCTGCCATTTGCTAAGTACAAAGTCAGAGAGATTTATGACAAGAAAAAGAGTTCAGCTAGTCATAAAATGAAGTGTCAAAGTAAAAGGGGATTCATTTTTGTATTTCTTTACAGGGATGTCATAAAGCCATTTACAAATTATAAAATGTTTCACAAGTGTTAAGCATCTACTATGCCAGGCATTTTGCTGGATAAGCCCCAGGAATACAAATGTGAGAAAGTCTTTGCCTTTAAAGGAGCCTATATTCCACTGAGGCATAAAATAGGTTCTAAGTTAAGTAAAAAGAGGATACATTCAAAATAACTGGTGAGGATAATGGGTAGAAGTCCCCGAATAACTGGGAAAAATTAAAAAGGCCTCCTGAAGGAAATGATACTTGAGTTGAGACATGAAGCAAGCCAGGGGTTCCAAGAAGAAAAGGCAATGAGGGTATATATTTTAGGCATTTGGAGGGTGGGGGAAGGATAGGGAGGCAGCATGTGCAAAGGATAGAAAGGAGATGAAATGTTGTATACAGCAATCACCAAGTCAGTCAGTTTGGCTGGAGTATGGAGTACACGAGAGGGAGTAATGTATGAGCAGCCTGAAAAGATAAGTTGGTGGGAAATGAGAAATACAGGAAATGGGGTACAGAAGTCTATCCTGCTCTACAGGAAAACAGAAGGGGAAGGGGATAAGAGAAGGGAGGGGGAGAGATAGAAGAGAAGGCAGACCAGGGGAAGGCGTATTCAGAATGCATGCCATCTTGGGGTGGAGGGAGGGGTGAGAAATTTGGAACTCAAAAACTTGTGGAAGTGAATGTTGAAAACTAAAAATAAATATATATTTAAAAAAAAGATTGGTTGGAAAGATAGGATTGTAAAAGGCTTTCAAGTGTACTTTTCTACAAGTATAAGAATTTGGCTGTAAAGGGGAGGATGGATAGAAGTTGATCGGTAGGGTAGATAGTAGGGTTAAGTGAAGATATTTTAGGAAGGGAAGAAATCTGAGTATGTTCAAAACTACTAAGGAAAAGAGCCAGTGGATAAGGAGGACCTGGGGAGAGGCAGGTAATCAAAGAGGCCGCTAGAGGAGCTGGAAGTAAAGGGGCTAACCGAGGACAGCAAGAAGGCCAGCTCATCTCCAAGACCAAAAGAATCAGGGCTGATCCTGAGGCAATCTCAAGTTCGGAAAAAGGGAAAAGGAACTCAAGACAGATGGCCTCAACTTGCTCAGTGAACCACGAGGCAAAGTCTTCTGCGAGGAACAAGGAGGAAAGAGGTTAGAGAGAAGAAGATTTGGAACAGAGACTGTAGGAGTAGAAGAGACAGCTGATCACAGGAAAATACAAGGATCTGCAGCAAACAGGACTCAGCTGAATTTGGATGGCCCTGGAAATTGGATAAACAAACACTTGCATTAGTAACAGTAACCTGACCATTAAATAGTGCCCCTCTTTAATTATTCACGAAATGGCAATTATCTTACTAATGGATAATCTCTATTTCATGTAGAAATAGTTCATTTTAATGAAGATTCTGTATGTACCATTAAGTAAAGTTTTATCGGAAAAAAAATCCCTATAAGCTAAATTTGAACAGAAACAAAACTTGCTATATCCAAAAACATTCCCTGAGAGTACTGAAATGTTATACTTAAGATGATAATTAATTTGCTTACCTCTTCTGATAAAATGGGATCCATAACATTTTTTGGCTTAGGCAGATGTTTATGATTTCTATCAGATGCCACATATGATGTACCTGATAAAATACAATGGTCAATTTTAGTTCCTTATAACCTGGACCTCATATCTTTTTCACATTAGTTGTGTATATGATTATTCCATAGCAATAAAAACTGCCTTTTTGAAAGTCAAATGCGCAAATGAAATAAAAGGTTGAGCAAAATGCATGTAGTCTATATCAGAGGTGTCAAACATGCAGTCCACATTACTCCCAAATGCAGCTAAACTAGGTTAAAATGTAATTGGGGATATTTACAAAATTAAATAAAAGTACAATAAAATACAGATAATATTACATTTTTAAACTAAGTCAACATGCAGCTCAAAGGGATCCTTATGTATGAATTGCTGTGCACTCATGTCTGACTCTTCTTGACCCCACATGGGGTTTCATGGCAAAGATAATGGTTTTGCCAACTCCTTCTCCAGTAGATTAAGGTAAACAGAGGTTAAGTCACTCACCCAACCTCACACGGCCAGTGAGTGTCTAAAGCTTGACTTAAACTTGTCTTCCTGAATCCAGGCCCCGGACTCTATCCATTGAGCTATCTAGCTACCTACTATGTACAGATTAGCGGCTGCCACTTCTTTTTGCGTTTGACACCAATGATTTCTACTAAGCTAAAGTGACAAAGTGACAGAAAATTGCTGTGGCCAAAGAAAAAAAAATGTTGCTAAACTTCCTGTAATGAGATTTTCCAAACTTAGTAAGGCTGGTCCTCACATGACAGGGAGGCTAAGGGATTTGCCCAGTGTCACAGAGGTGGTAAATGAGCTCAAGAGTCAGATATACGACTCCTGAGCCAGGGTTCTTTCCCCTGTACTATTGTGGCATAATTGTGCCGTACAGAATCTTTAATGCAAATCCCTTAGCCTCCTGGGCCTCAATTTACTCATCTGTAAAATTAAAGGGTTGACCTAAACAGCCTCTGAGAATCCATGCAGTTCCAGAGCTGAAACTCAAATCTACAAAGTATATTTCAATATATCAATGATAAAAGCTTTGCACATTCAAAAAATGCCTGACATAATGGGAATTGTACAAAATGCAGAATTTAGTACTGTACACAGGTATTACAAAAGCATTCAGTCTTTCCATTGTTCTTGACAACAGTGTTTCTATTAAGAACAAAACAAATTTTGCAGCTTATATGGTTTTTTTTGCCATGGCAATCAGGGTTAAGTGACTTGCCCAGGGTCACACAGCTAGTGTCATGTGTCTGAGGTGGATTTTAACTCAGATCCTCCCGAGTCCAAGGCCAGAGTTTATCCACTGCGCCACCTAGCCGCCCCAGCTTGTACTTTTAAAAAAAGTAGACCACAAATCTTTACTGAATACCTAACCTGTGCAAAGCAATGGTTTGTCCCAAATACTACAAAGGGTAAAACAGCAAAAAGAGAAATCTTTATATTTCCATTGTCACTTCCCCCCCACCAAAAAAAAAAAAGGAAAAAGAATTTAAAACATACTCATTGGAGTTTTAAAATTTTTGTATGGAAAGTAACTTTAACTTTTTAAACACAAATACTAAACAAAGTAATAAAAATTATTGGTAGTCACAAAAAGTAAAGAAAACACAGGTAAGCACATACCACTCGATATTCCATTCAAGTCAGCAGGACTCGGCTTATTTGCTGACAAAGCAGGGGGAATGTATGCTGATTCATTTTCAGGCAACATCAAATCATTAACAAGACTGGGGGCAGCCATTTCACGGAGCATCTTCACTGGTATTTTAACACTTCTCTGCTCTTCAGGGTGAAATCCCTTGGAGTGAAGAAGACTGGTGCTAACAAGGCGAGCCCCATTCTTAACGAGAAAATAATCTTCTGTTTCCATTAAATTTTCAAACCAAAGATTACTGGGGAGAAGAGAGGATATAAATCAGTTTAAATTTCAAGATAATAAAAATTATTTCAGAAGGGTGAACTGTCAATGTAATGCAGTGTGAACTACTACCTAGAACAAAAGGAATCCTAATTGAGATGAACTGGTAATAAACTGGGACTTAAACTCGGGCAAAAACAGTATCATAAAGCTCATTTATAGAGTACTTCAAGGCAGCTAGGTGGCTCAGTGGATAGAATGCCTGGCCTAAAGCCAGGAAGACACATCTCCACGAGCTCCAATCAGGCCTCAGACACGTACTGGCTGTGTGACCCTGGGCAAGTTACTCAACCCTACTGGCCTCAGTTTCCTCATCTGTAAAATGAGCTGGAGAAGGAACTGGCAAACCACTCCAGTATCTTTGTCAAGAAAACCTCAAATGGGGCCATGCCTGAATAACAACAAAAGTTCCTTTTCAAAGCAGAATATTATATCAGTTGATCTCCCAACAACCTTGGGAAGTCAGTACCATTATTATTTATCTCTCTCTTCCAAAGCACTTTAGACATATCATTTGATCCTTGTAACACTGGAAAGTAGATGCTATTATTATCCCATTCTACAGATGAGGAAACTGAGGCAGACTGCGGTTAAAGGACTTTTCAAAGGTCTAAGAAGCGTCTGAAGGTATATTTGAACTCCGGTCTTTCCTGACCCCAGGTCCAGCATGCTATCCCGTGCGTCTCAAAACAAAGAGAGCAGATTAGTACTAATCCTTTACATATACACCAAACTAACTAACAAAAATCATAACGCTCGGTCAGTAGATGGGGAGGGGATGACAGAAGACAGAAAATCTGAAGCAGAAGCCCAAATGACGTGCAGACAGGGGCGGGGCAGGGCAGGGCGGCGGAGGGAGCAGCATAGCACAAGTGCATCTAGGGGTAAAAGCAAACTTAACCAATCTGTAGAGAGACGGCCTGGCTTCCTCCCCCGGGGTGCAAGGCACCTTTCCCCCACACTCACGGGTTCCGCTTCCCAAACCCGTCAGCACCCCACCGATGTACCCTAGCAACAACTTCAGCTGCCCGCCAGCTTCCCTTTAAGCCCGAGGCCTCGGAACACAAGACGCATGCGCCCTCGCAACTCCCTCCTTCGCTGTCCAACCAAGAGGCCTTCGGAGTGTTCGCTCATCCCTCACCGGCTGGAAACAAAAGCCGGCCATGAGAGTTCTAACAATTGAGTCAAAAAAGGGCATAAATTTTGTTTGATTTTAATTCCCCCCCCATCCTGGCCAAAAATAATTTTTTTTTAAATCACATCCCTTCGTAAAGGTTACACTGCAAATGAAACGGCGATGGCGACCAGAAATGGAGCGCTCGAAAAGTTACCAGGAAACGCTACCCGTGGTACAATTAATTGTAACTCCCAAGACCGTTGTAATACGGTAAATATATCTTTTGACAAGTATCGGCTGATTCGCGCGTAGGTTAGCAATGGTCATGCATCCCTAGCACGGCATTAGAGCAGAAAATGAAAAACAAAAACAAAAAACAATGAAATGAGAAAATTTTAAAACCAAAAGCTTATGGAAGTGTTTGTTGAAAATTAAAAGTAAATAAATTAGAAAAACAATGAAATGCAAGAGCCGGAGAAGGAGCCAGGCTTCCTCGGCGGGAAGCTTCAGCTGGAACGTGACGAATCGGCGACTGAAAGCAAACAGCGCTATCTGACAGACGCCCGCCCCACGTGTTCTTGTCTCCTGGACCGCGGCGCCGGCCTGACTTGAGCTCGGAGCTGCCCGCGTGCCGCGGGGACGGAGACCCCGGAGCCGCTCTCGGCTGCGCAGCGAGGGGGCCGTGAGGGAGCGCGCGTGATCCAGCAGGTGCGGTTTCATTCCTCTCCGCGCGGGCTGCTCCTTCTTCCTCGGTCCGTCCCGGCGGGGGTCGCCCGGAGCCTGGAAGCCCTGGCGGGCTTCCCGGGGCGCACGTGGGTCCGGGCGAAGGAGCGGAGCCTGCGGGGGAGGGGCGGCCCTCGGCCGGCCGGGCGATACGGGAGCCGGGGTCTCCTGGCACCCCTTTCCAAACCTTTCTTCCGTGATCTCGGGGTCGATTGAGGAGCTTTCCCTCCTTGGCTTGGACGCTCTCTTCTCACTGCCCCGACCCCTTAGATTTTGCTCTTTCTTAGGTTCCCGAACTGGGATGTCCGGGGCTCACTGCCTGCCAATGGGGGGAACTGAACACCTGAGAGGTTATGTGACTTGCCCAAGGTCACCCAGTTTAGTAGGGGACGGAGGCAGGATTGAATCTAGAGCCTCTGATTCGAAATCCGGCGTTGCACGCGGCCATCCGATGAATTTCAAGTCAGTTCTGGCTACAAGAATTATCAAGTGCTTGCTAAAGCGCATCCCGTAAGGAAACAAAATCTATGCAAAATTATGGGGGGCCGTAGCACTAACAAGTAGGGACGTCGGGAAAGGGAGGTAGCACTTTAAGGCAGAAATTCCAAGAGGTGAAGATGAGGAGGGAAAGCCAAGATAGGAAATAAACTAAGCTGTCCAAGGCACAGAGGGAGGAAACTGAATGTCCCGTGTAAGGAATGGCCAAGGGGCCAGCTGGTAGAACAGAGAATGTTGGCCATCGGGTGGTGAGGGGCTTTAAATGCCAAATAGATTACTATGTATTGTGTCCTAGGAACGGTAAGGAGCTGCGGAAGTTGTCTTGAGTTAGGAGGTGACAGGTACATGCATGCTAGAAATATCTTTGGCAGCTCTGTGGAGGATGATTGGAAAAGAAATTAAGAGAGACTGCAAGGCCATTTGGGAGGCTATTGCAACAGTATTGGCGAGAGATGATAAGGCTGCACTATTTCCTAAGTAGGCAGAAGGTGAGAGATTCGAGAGATGTTGAGATGTGCAAAGATAGACCAAAGACAGTTTCCACTTTCAATGAGCTCACAGTCTAAGGGGGAAGATGACATGAACACAACTGGGCAAATCAGCTGTCTACAGGTTAAATGGAAATAGTTGTCGAAGGCTTTAGAATTAAGGGGGTTTAAGAAAGATTTCCTGTAGAAGGTGGGATTTTAACTGGAACTTGGAGAGAGGCCAGAAGGCCTTGGTTAAAAAAAAAATTAAAAATAAAAAAAGAGGGCATTCCAGGCATGGGGGACAGTCAAAATTAGAGGAGTTGGGAGATGAAATGTCTTGTTTGAGGACCAGCAAAGAAGGCAATGACACTGGATCAGAGAATACTTGTTGGGGTTAAAAGTATAAGAAGACTGGAAAGTTGTATGGGTGGAGTGGTTCCTAGATATTGTATCTGGGTGAATGGAACAGAAGTGAGTTTGGGGGAAAGAAAATGAAATCTGTTTGGGATACCTTGGTGAATAATAATAGCTCACACTCATAATAACTTAACACTAACAGCAATCATAATTTCACACAGTTTGTCCTTATTTGATCCTCACAACACCCTGAAAGTGCAGTACTGTGGGTATTATTATTGTCATTTTTCAGATGAGAAAGCTGAACCTCAGGGATGTTAAGTGCCATGTTCAGAGAGGTGCCAAAGGTGGGATTCATACTATGACCCTACTAACTCCAGCTGCCTCTCTCCATATAGTGCTTTATCTGTATAGTTGGAAAGAGTACCCATATTGATGAAGTCACAGACCTATTAAAGTTTACAAACAGTAAACATTTATTAAATGCCTACTATATGCCAGGCGATTAATCTGTGATTCAAGTACTGTTGACATCTTGCAAATGAAGGAACTGAGGTACAATGACATTAATAACTTGCCCTTGAATACATATATAACTGGCCATGACTAGAACCCAGGTCTCCTCATTATCATTCAGTCAATAAACATTTATTAAAACACTTACTGTGTGCCAAGCCCTGAGCTAGGCACTGGCAATACAAAAATGAGTCCCTGCCCTCAGGGAACTTGACGTTCTATTAGGACATAACGTGTGTTTGTATAAAATAGACCCAAAATGGTGGGTTGAGGCACTAACAACCTGGGGTATCAGGAAAGGCCTCAAATAGGAGGGGGCAACTAAAGTGAGCTTTGTAGAAAGCTAAAAATTCCCAGGTGCAAGTGAGAAGGGAACGCACTGGAGCCATGGGGACATGAGAAAGCATAGAGACAGGCAGGGGAATGTTGTGTGTGGAGAACTGCAAGGTGGCCATTTTGGCTGGACCATAGAATAGAATGAGCTTGGAAAGGTACCATAGGACCACATTTGTAAAGGGTTTTAAATGCCAAACAGAGGAATTTGCATTTTATCCTAGGGAAGGTAGAGCCCCTTAGTCATTTTCTGCTACACAGCGTTGATTTTATAAGTTGTTTAAAATAAAATCCCTCGGGGTCATTTGGTGTTTTGGCACTTAATACTACTAATTTGAAAAATAATCACTCTAAATGTTAAATAGATTTTTTTTTACAGGCCAAACATTTACTAGAGGAGTCTGTTAATATTGAAATTTTGAATTAACGGTTATTCATATCATTAGTAATCATTACTTGTTATCTTTTCATAATTTACCATTGTTGTGCTTTGGGGCAGTAGAGAGTATCATGTAGGTTTTTTGCAGAGTAGGAAAGGGCTTCAGAAATCATCTCACTCCCTCATGTCATAAGTGAAGAAACAGGGCCAAAGAGATGACTTGGCTTCCTCAGGATTGCACGGTCGGTTGTAGAGCTGGGACCAGAGAGGAGGCTCATTGACTTGTTTGTTACCCAGTGCTTTCCATTGCCCCACAGTTGCATGTGTTAACCTAAAAACAATTATTTCGAAACACTGCAGGCAGTGTTATCAGCTTCCAGAGGTTCAAGCTAAAATCTTTTTACCTTGAGTGTAGAGCTGAGGTATTCCTTTTCCTGTGCCTACCACATAGAGATAAGGGAGACTAGACTTGTGGTTTCATTGACCTAGGAAACTCCCTCTATCCAATACAGTCTGGTACCTTTAGTTGCCAAAAGCACTGAAAGGTTAAGTGACTTTGCCTGAAGTCACACAGGATATGTCAGAAGTGGGACTTGAGCCTAGATCTTCCAGGTTTCAAGTACAGCAGATATTAGTTGAATAAAAGGAATAAGTTTACTATTAGAAAAGCCTCAGTTCTTCTTATAATGAAACATGGGTGGTGTGCCTACCATAATCATGGATGGGCATTGACCATTAGATCTGACGTGGCAATAAAAGCATCACAGGAAGGGATTTTGACAAACTAGTAAAATGTATTTATGAGCAAGAGATATGTTGAACACATTTGCAGATTTAACTTAATATATATTTATTGGTGTTTGGAAGATAAAGTATACTAAGGAAACAATCCATATTAAATGGAGAAAATTCATAGCTGTGTCTTATTTCAAAACCACATGGGGGCACTACACGACCGTCCATTTTCTTACAATTCAGAATGTTGGGCTTTCCTTGTATTTTCAGGAAGAAAATGAGCGTTACAGACCTCTGAAATGCATTAAAATTGTTAAAATATATTAAATGTAGCTTTCATGACAACTATCTCATTACTATGTCAGAAAAATTAACCAATTCTAACCTAATCCTTCAGGAATACAAGAAAATGAATTTGTAAACAGGTTTTGGAACGTAAGTTAGTTGATCAGATTACGTGGCTTTCACATTAAAATTAGAAAAATAGCAAGGAAACCAGACCTGCTCTTGGTTTGGGGTGCAGTTGAGAACTGGAAAAGCTTAGTTCCCCAGATGACCTGCTGTACTACAGTGAGCGTACTGTATTTGTTGAACAATTCTAAAGACTGAAAATCTAGTAGTTAAACCTATGTACTTTCATCTGGTGCCCTTTTGTTAAAAGTTCCTTGATGCTTGTGTTATTGACCTTTTTTACGCTTATATAAAAAAAAAAAAGATTTCCACAGGAAAGTGATTTCATTCAATGATTATTTCCAGAAAAGTAGCCCTTCCAGTTCTTAGAGCTATATGAGTTGGTTTTAGAGAGGAAAGCCAAATGTATTCCAGGTGTAAGCCTCTGCTAACAACATAGAACTGACTCATCTTAATATTGTGAAATCCCCTAGAGACAGCTCAAGCTAGGAAACTCTCTGGCCTCATTTTAAGCTCATGTTATTGGCGTACTTGAAGAGTGCTTTGTTTCCTTGTCAGTGGTGAGAGATGATCATGACCTGCAGGCAGGGTCTTAGCCGTCATGGAGATGTTCCTGCCTGGACTTGATCGTTCCTGGCTCTTTTCCGTAATTTGGGGTGATACAGCAATTGTTGTTTAGACTTCCAGGTAACTTGGTGTGGGTGCAGAAGCAGTGTTTGTGTTATTTGAGCCATCCATTGGTAGTGTTTCAGTGGAATGTTTACAATGGCCTCGATCGTAGAAGATTCCAGTCCTGGAGATGCCCCTCAAAAAGTGGGATGACTTCAGGCAAGTCACTTTTCTTCTGTGCGTCAGTTTCTTCATGCATAACATTAAGATAATACTATGTGAATGAAAATGAAGATAATACTGACCTAGACTAGGTTATTGTGAGGTACAAAAAATACTTGGTAGACTCCATAACTGTACCAGAAATGGTGGGCTTCACTTTTTGGAGTTTTCCCATTTTCATTCATTTTAGTTTAGTGAAATGTATTTTAGCACTGCAAAATAAAGTATTTCATTACTTGCATGGGTCTGTAATATCATTGGTATGGATTCTGTCTTCACAGTTATAACCTATCCATGGCTTCTTACCCTGTTTGAGTCATGTCCTTATTTTCCCATATGTCTTCCAAAGAGGACATACCTCTGAGCCTTTTTTAACATGCCATGGGAACTAATGCAGCATGCTGCCATTATATAATCAGTCCACCTCCTTTTTCAGTCATGCATTCCTTGTATGA